TCAGCCCTCTCTTTCGGCATACAAAACGGCAATCGGACTATCAATATAAGTAAAATTCTTAAAGACCACTGGGACATAATTTTAAAAGATTAAAAACTAAAACAAGTATGGAAACAACCCAAAATTTGGGAAACATTTGAGACACCCTCCCCTCCAAGATTTCTGAATCTTTTCTTAACTCGGCAGATTCTGCATTTTTCTACAAGGTTTCGTGTGTGCAAAAAATATGTGCATGCGTGTAACGGTGCAAAGTAGAGAAACAATAATGATGACATATTTCCGAATTATGTAAATTATGGAGATTGGCGGAAACTGTGGTCATTTGTCCGGGTTGCCTAAAGCCTGATTTACACGAGACAAATTTTTTCGTGCGAAGCGAATTTTTCGCCCCGAATGCGCGAAAAGTATGCGCAGAAGTGGAGATTAGAAAATTCGCAGCGAATTCGCAGCGAATAATTCGCTGCGAAAAAGTAGAAACCATTCCTACTTTTTCGCTGCGAATTTTTTCGCCATGTAAAATAAACCAATCAGAACAGCAATTGAAGACATCTGACACGAACCCAAAGGAAGGGCTAGGCCGAATGGTGCTACGCAATGTAAACATATCTAAATCAAAAGTATGCAAAACGACAGAAAACTACGCAATGGTTCAAACAACAACATGGGTGAAGAATGAGTAACCTATGACTAGGCCTAAACAATGCTGGGAAAATCCCGCACCCATAACATAAACAATGGAATGGGACGTTTCTAGCAACAGGCGTCTTTGGTGCAATAAACGACAATGTAATGACAATGTAAGCGTAAGTCACTTACCAAAAGATGAAACTCCCCCCTCTGCAGGCGTTCTGAATAAATTTTCCGAATCAAGTACCCATTTATTTGCTTTTTTGCTCGCTTTTTTTCAATAACAACAATCTTCGAACAGACGCCATTTTCTTTGGCATTATTCGCGGCGAATTCGCAAAAGAAATTCTGCCAGTGGAAATTAAACTTCGAATTCGCAGCGAATTCGCAGGAGAAAAATTCGTGGCGAAAAATTCGCTTCGCGCGAAAAATTCGTCTCGTGTAAATCAGGCTTAAAACCTTTAGTTACGATGCACCTGATTGATTGGGCGGAAATCCCCCTCGTTTTTCTATGTAATAAACCTCTTTTCAAAATCTTGCCCCTAGATTCCAGTTATCTAGAGCCTTTAGTTACGAGGTTTGTGATTGGCTCTTTGCTTATAGTGGAGATTCCTTGGGAGTTCGCGGCGGTCATATTTGTATGCATTTTCATTGGTTATTTCAGAGAATAGATTCTTCAAAAACAATAAACTTTGCAACATCAACAACTCCACAATCTTAGGCAGGTGTACTATGCATTTCTGCATGGGCATGCGTTTCTGCATGGGCTAAGACACATATGCGTCTCAAGTGTTACAGTGTAATGGCGGACATGCAGAAACTATCTGGTAGAACCCGTGTTTCACTATGCCGAAGGCTAGCCATTGGATAAGAAAGAGGCCCAGATTCGTCGCCATGGCGATTTATATCCCTGTGGTCATTTGGTATCCTTATGGCGGTGAATTAGGGCTGAATGGTACTGCCTAGGCCAACTAGCACCACTGGAAACAAAGTGGTAGAAAAGTGACATTTATCAAGTAGAAATTGACAGAGAGCCACATATTACTACATATGCTCGTGAATTATTGTCATTTTGAGACATCTCATGCTTTATTAAGGCCGGTTTCCACTTGATTCGCTCTGGTCGCGCGACTTGGCGAAATCGAATAAAAAAGTCAGCGAATCGGCGAACGCGACCAATCGCCCAGTAGTTCAAGTTCAACTACTCAGCGAATGTTCGCGCAATCGCAGCCAACGAGGCAGTTCAATTTGCAAATGCCCCAATGTGCATTCACTCAGTCGCGCGACGAGAGTGAATACAGTGGAAACCCGCCTATAGATCCACATTTTGCAAAACGCGAATCTGGGGATGAATCTGGGATGGAAAACACGTGAGCCTAGGCCCACTAAAAACATCAAAAATAAATTGGCAGAAAAAACATTTGGCAGGAAATTCCGGAAATAACTTATTGCCTAACTAATTATTGTCATCTCGACACATTTTAAGCAGTACAAGCAAGTTTTCGAATCTGGGGATGAATCTGGGGATGAATCTGGGGATGAATCTGGGGATGAATCTGGGGATGAATCTGGGGATGAATCTGGGGATGAATCTGGGGATGAATGGTACGCGGTGTACGCAATGACTTTGGATATTCATAATATAGAATACGTCAATACGCTACGCCAAAGATCAGGGATCATACCATGTTATCGTGACAACCACATTGCGGGTATACTAACTTTGGCATCCAGCGTGTCGGAGCACTGAGCTGAGAATTGTTGTATTGTGCCTTTAGTTTTTTTGTGTGCATCATACTTCAAAACACTAATCCAAAAAAAACCAACTATGTCTACAAAACCACAGGGGGTTAGCAAAATCATAGGTGGTTAACAAAACTACAGAGGGTTAACAATACAGCAAGAATGAGGAACAATAACTCATTTAAATCAATAGCGTTTTTCTGTTGACTTCAGGAGGTGTGAGCGGAGACCCCCAGTGCAATATCACAATCTGGAAGTTGATAGAAATATATAACCAAAAAAGTTGCGAAATCCAACGAACAATGGACATCAGATAAGCTGCAAATAATAATTGGATAAGATTCACATATTTCAATATCTAGGCCATTAAAATAATTGTAAATGATTTTGTGAGTGTGTAGCGAAGAATGAGGTCTTTTGCAGGCAAACTTTTCTACATGCTATTCATATCTACCAATTTTGACTATTTTGGTCAATTGCCGTAGTTAGTTCTCAGTGCTCTCACGGTTCCCATAATTTTTCCTTAAAATATTATTATATCCGTTAAAGTGCCACTGAACTGAAAAAAATGAAATTTTTTTTATTGTTGATTCTGGTAGACCTATCATCGCTGATTTCGGAAAAAAGTTTAGTTTTTTAATTTGGGGCCCACAAATAGGGGTTTCTGGGGTTCTTTTGCGAGTAGGTCGTGCGAAAAGAGGCTGGGGCGAGTGACGCATTCAGATTTATATAGTCATTTCAGCCATAGTGAGGGCTGTAAGAAGATAAAACGATACAAATTGTGTAAAACATGACACAAGCATGAAACTTGATAGAGATAGGCAGTTTGATACGCTGAAAAAGATAGGATATGAATTGACCCTGACAAATATACCCTTGTGCTATTTATAGACTGGGGTACTAGGTTCCAAACCTCTAAGCAGTAATTGACATAATTTAGCCATTAGATCGCGATACCAGCATGGAACTTGGTAGTAATAGGCAGTTTGATACGCTGAAAAAGATAGGATATGAATTGACCCTGAAAAAATCCCCCTTGTGCTATTTATAGAGTGGGGTACTAGGTTCCAAACCTCTAAGCAGTAATTGACATAATTTAGCCATTAGATCGCGATACCAGCATGGAACTTGGTAGTAATAGGCAGTTTGATACACCGAAAAAGATAGGGTCTGAATAGACGCTGAAAAATATCCTTTGTGCTATTTATAGACTGGGGTACCAGGTCCTAGACCTCTAAGCAGTAATTGACAGAATTTAGCCATTAGATCGTGATACCAGCAAGGAACTTGGCAGTAATAGGCAGTTTGATACGCCGAAAAAGATAGGGTCTGAATAGAGGCTGAAAAATACCCCTTATGCTATTTATAGACTGGGATACCAGGTCCTAGACCTCTAAGCAGTCATTGTCATAATTTAACTTTTAGATCGCGATATCGGCATGGAACTTTGTAGAGATAAGCAGTTTGATACGCTGAAAAAGATAGGATATGAATTGACCCTGAAAAATCCCACCGTGCTACTTATAGGCTGGAGAACAAGGTTCCAGATAAAGCAAGTTTTTTTCATAATTTTCATTTTGGATCACGATACCATGACAATGATGCTAACAATGATGCTACTGCTATAACCAGGGACGCCAAGACATTCTGGAAGCCAAAACGGATAGGCGATATTTGCAACCACGAATTCTAGATTAGCCTAAATTGATTCTTTTTCATGCAAACGTTTAAAAAAGTTTTACTTTTAAAGGCATAATTTTGTTACTTTTAATCAATTCCATTTAAAATGAACTTCTCTACTTTTGGAGGCCCCCTGACCACGGGGCAATTTATCCCATCTTGACGGCCCTGGCGATAACTGATGCTTTGACAGTGGCAACGCAAGTTGGAAAGTGGGAAAAGCGCCGAAAAATGTGCAATTTGTTTGGTTCTTTAATAGAACAACTTTTTCCCTTGATCAATTTGCTCACTTTTATTCATAATTTGTAAAGCTGTTTGTAAGAGCATTCTTATTCGACACGCTCAATTATTCACAAAAGGTAAATGATCGGGATGAAGTCTTGGTAAAAACTGCACGCAAAAAGTTTGCTTATTTCGTATCGGCTCGAAATTTTCGCAAGAAAATACCTTGCACATGTCTTGTAGTTAGATAGCTAGTGATATTTAGAGCACAAGTATCGCACTATTTTCATCCACTTCACGTTTTTTGGTTTTTTATCGCACTCGAAATACAGCTTTCAGTACTGAAGCCCGCATCACTTCCGCGACTTATAAACGTTAATGCGTCACACATTCCTGAAATTCCTCACAGACCGCGCACAAATTTTCGCACAAAAAGTCTTGAAAATCGCAACTTTGAAGCGTTGTAGCTTCAAAACACTTCACAATTCCGAAAAATGAACTTCACCATCGGATTCAGGAGCACTGACTTGACTTAGAACATCAATAAAAATTTTTTTGATTTTTTCAATTCAGTGGCACTTTAAGGCAATTCATTTGTTTTAAAAGCAAGCTCTTGAATTGTATGCTACCTACTAGCATTGAATTTTCTTTTTATTGCATATGTTATTGTAATGCCGCGCTCTTTTTTGCAACAGATCGAAAGCCGGGAGTGCCAAAATCATGGAAGGTATTGGTGGCAGCCTTGTGCGCCCTCATCGTGGCCCTTGTGATAGCTCTTTGCATCGTAGCTACCAAAGCAACCGCCGATGACTCTAGCAAGGCAGCCCCCTCCAAAGGACCATCATGCAGTTCTCCTTACAAACAGGACACAAAACTCCCCAAAGACCCTTCTGTCTTCCAAGATTTATCTCCAGATGAACTTCATGCTGTCCGAGATTATTTAATGAAGCAATCTTCCTTAAATCTGACTGCCCATGGAAAGTCGACGATGGATTCAAACTTTATTTATCTCATCGAACTTTACCTGCCAAACAAGAAAGATGTCCTTGATTATTTAGATAACAACGGCAAAATGCCGGCAAGAAGAGCAAGGGTGATAATAGTTAATGGTGGGAAATCTTCACCAGATGTCGAAGAATACCTCGTTAGTCCTCTGCCAACACCATCCACACATCAAAGATTGTATCTTGCACACCGGGCCAATCCAGTTCCTTTTTCATCAAGACCATCTACTGGGAAGGAGGATGACGAATTTGATAAAATCTTAAAGGAGGTGACCACAAAGTGCTACGTTGTTCTGAAAGAAAGTTTTAATTTGTGGTACGGAGAAAACTGCTCAAAGAATTGCCTCAGAACGTATATCGATGGAACCCCAGCTGCATTTCGCACAGGCCAAAGGAAAACTTGGGCTATTTTTTTTAAGGATGTGATTGGCTATGATTTGCATCCAGTTCCATTTGAAGTTCTTGTCAACCATGCTGACAGTGATGTCAAAAAGTGGCAAGTGGAACAGGTGAGGAGTATAAGTCCCTATTTATCATTTCCACACGTTCTCATTTTCTAATTGAATACCGTAAACTCTCTCGGAGAGGTATTAGAAACTCCGTGGTGAAATTCCTGCAAACTCTACTCTAGATTCACTTTCTTTGAATGCTTCTTATATCTGACTCGAACAATGTTTTGTGAGGCTGAGGCAATAAGGAAGATTTCAGTTTACCTGGTCTGGCCAACATGTCAACCATTAAGTATGCAGCCGCCTCTGTCTCCAGAAGAGGCTAGGGTTTTGCAAACACTGGACAACGTGCATGACCGAGTGTACCCACATGCCTATCTTGAGAACACTTTGATAGCAATCGATTCACGTTGGTGAAAATATGTTGTTTATAAGTATGATATAAACATGGTTAAAAGCCATCTACATTACAAGTTGCCAACAACATATAAGGTGACTGAAAGCTTAAGAAGCCATAGCACTTGTTTCCATCAACCTGAAAAACTGTTAAAAAATCCTTGTTGGAAATGATTTTTCAGGTGATAATTTGCTAATATCTTGTTCAACTGACAAAGTAGAAAGAAAAAATCCGTGCGACTGAGTAAGCGTTCAGTTTTATGTTATGTTATGTTATGTTATGTTATGTTATGTTATGTTATGTTATGTTATGTTATGTTATGTTATGTTATGTTATGTTATGTTATGTTATGTTATGTTATGTTATGTCATGTTATGTTATGTTATGTTATGTTATGTTATGTTATGTTATGTTATGTTATGTTATGTTATGTTATGTTATGTTATGTTATGTTATGTTGTGTTATGTTATGCTTTGTTATGTATGTTACTCTGATATTTAAGAAGCCGTTTTTTAAAGCTACCTACCTAAGTTTATTGAACTGTATTATTTTATTTACCCTTGTTAGTATTTCCAAAATTTGCTTGCGTCTTTTCTAAGTTTTTTAGAAGACATATCGTTATATTTTTTCAAAGTTAAATCAGACAACAAAAACAAGCCTTATAATCTTATTCAATTGCCATTAGATCTACTACCACAACCAATATTTCAAGTCTGCTGCCGAATTGGTTCAGAAGTATAGGCAAGGCACCATCAACAAGACAGTTTTAACCTTCACTAGTAGCCAAGATCTGTCTGCCAGTTTTCGCCGACGTGGAAAGTCATTCCTGAAATCACCAATGCGAGAGCCAACCTTGGTCAGTCCTCAAGGCAGGCGCTTTGATGTAGCAGGAAGAAAGATAAGCTACATGGGTTGGGATTTCCACTTTGGAATGCGTTCTTCTGCGGGTCCCGCGCTTTATGATATTCGTTTTAACAATACTCGAATTATGTATGAACTAAGCATGCAAGAAGCAACTTCTTTTTATTCTGCCAACGATCCCCGACAAAGTAGTGCACAATATTTCGACTCAGCGTTTCGCATCGGCTCAACAAACTACGAGCTAATCAAAGGTATTGACTGTCCTGAAGAGGCTGTATTCTTTGACAGCTACCATTTTGTAGACACTGCAAATGCTGCGAAGCATCCAAAGTCGATATGCGTTTTTGAGATCAACAACGGAATTCCCATTCGAAGGCACATTGGCTTCGACAGTGCGTCGTCTTTTTCCTACGTAGCGGGTCTGGTTGATAGCGCTCTTGTTATTAGAACAGTCCTAACTCCGCAAAATTATGATTATATCATTGATTTTATATTTTACCAAACTGGTGCCGTGGAAACGAGACTGAGTACGTCTGGTTACATTATCGCCAGCTCTTATTACCCGACCGAGGCTCCATATGCCTACGAATCTTTGCCCCGGACACAGGGAACTATTCACGATCATATCATCCTGTTTAAGGCTGACCTAGACGTTGTGGGAACCAAAAATAGTTACCAGACTCTCGACGTCCAAACAAAGAACGTCAGCGTGCCCTGGAATGACGTTGGCTACTTGATAAAGAAGCAGGTTGTCCGTAACACGAAGAAAACAGAGAAACAAGCCTTACTCAATTACAATTTCGATCATCCTAAGTACTTAGTTGTCCACAATGAGAACGCGAAAAACAAATATGGAAATCCTCGAGGTTATCGATTGCAGTTAGATTCGATGGTGAAGCAAAAGTACCCGGATGACTATTTTGTGACAAAAGCCGCCGCATGGTCAAAGTACCAATTGGCGGTGACAAAGTACAAAGATGGAGAGCGGTATGGTTCGTCGATATACAATCAACATGGAATGGACCCCCCTGCTTTTGACTTTGATGAGTACGTGAAAGATGACGAGAACATCGAGAACCAGGATTTAGTTGCATGGGTCTCTCTGGGGTGTTTGCATGTACCAAATACGGAGGATATACCAGTAACCGTTACTCCTGGTAACCGCTTTTCTTTCTTTGTCCGTCCCTATGGGTATTTTGATGAGGATCCATCTATGAGCTCGACCAATGCAGTTATCGTAAGCACTGATGGAAAAGGTGGAACAAAGGTTGAAAAATACGGAACTCCGGACGATAGCAGTTGCCCTGTTCCTAAAAGAACAATCACTTTTACGCCAAACCCTTAGCGACTCGTAGAATATTAAAACCTTATCCTACTTGTTGGATGGGGTAGTTTTAATCTGGACAATTCCATTTTAAAGATTCGTAGTTTTTTAGAGTTTGAATAAAGCTATTCGCTCTAGATAAAGAAATACATTTTTAAGCGTTTTCGATGGGAGTAAGACACCTTACATCTTGTATACTATCTATTCAGAGCATTTGCGAACGTCTGGTATAGTTAGTTATATTAACTATCTATCCACTATTTTTACATAGTTTCAAGTTATTTGCATTGCGTAGTTTTTCTTTGCCTGTTAGTAGTTGCCAAAAGGAAAATATTTCAAAATTACAATAAACTAATAAATTGAAATGGGCGACGAAGCAACCTCAATCCAGTAATGCAATCTACTGAAGAGAATACCAAGAAGACACACGATCAGAGGTGCCGACAGCTTCAATGATGTGGCGGGGGCAGGAACTGCAGAAAGAGCACCTTGGGGTGTCAAACTTTGCTGCTGAAACAGATCGGGAATCGTCGTTAAGCGAAAGATGAAGCCAGGTTGAAGGTCAAAGGAGAGAGGGTGGGGGGTCTGCAGGCGTAACTCTAGGGAAATTTTGCGTTGTTACGCCCTAAAGACTCTCAGAAATAGGGGCAACACCCATGAAAATTTACATTTGAATCAAGACTCACTCAAACTTCATTCTCGAAATTTTTATCACCTCAAGGGAGACTGGACCCAATCCTACCGTACAAAAAAACAAAAATTTGTTCTGATGACCATCTGCATGGCTTGATATAACTTTTGGATTTAACTCCTCTGAACAAACTGTTTTTTCTTTCTTTATTTAAAGTTGATACAATCTGTAGCTATATTCAAGCCAAATAAAGCCAACTAATTCAAATCACCAACACTAAGTATGATTTAAATCATATTCAACTGATGTTACATACAAATTTCTTGCAAAAATCACAAGTACAATTGAACGATAAAAATTCTGATTTTTTTTCTTAAATATTCGTAAAGTTGGGGAGTACTCATTTTGTTTGGAACTGAGATACATATTTGGCTAGATCTTGCTTATTTTTACAGTAGCAATATTTTCATTAGGCTATGTGACAAAGATCTTACTGAGAGCAAAAGGAATCAAATCATTCTATTATTGTTACTTCTGAAACGAGACAATTCGGCTTCAAAAGGCTTCAAAAACTTGCTTTTGAAATTTCAGATTGCACCTGGATTCCCGTAAGAATCTCATAAAAAACTCAAATCGCTCAAAATCTTTAAGAAGCTTTTAGTACCGACTCATAAAAATACATGTGCATTCTAACACTGCCTACCAAATTCAAGCCAAGTCTTCAGGATTTCTTTTAAGGACTTCAACTAGTGGGGATTCAAAAGGGTCCACTAAGACAAGCCAAAAGTGACAGCTAGGACAAGCCAAAAGGACCACTAGGACAGTCGGTACGTTAAAAGCGTCGAATAGGATAGGAATACCGTGCTGCGTTAAAAATTTCTTGATTCAAAAAACGTCTCGAATAAAACATCTTGGATTCAAGGACGTTGGAAAGATAAATAAAAGTGGGGGACACCTGTTTAAAGGGGCACCCTAACAAACATTTCATGAAATTTAAAATCTGTTGAAGAGGCACCCTAATAAAGAGTCCAAGGTTAAAAAGGCTGTTACATAAAGTCTGGCATATATGATATAGATATAATTTTCTGGATTAGCTGTGGGTAGTGCCAGCGAGGATTTTCGGAGACCTTGAGGCAAAAAAAAAGAGGAGGCCCTTTGCGAGCGAAGCGAGCAGAACATGTTTGGCGACCATGTCCTTTGGATTAGCTAAAAATCTATTTCACAATGTTTTTTGCAGTAATTTTCTTGCAGTCGTTTAAAAAGTTATAAAATTTTGCTATGTCTTACTAATTGCCTTCACATACTGGAAATCTCCAGGGCCCCTTAAACCTCAATGCGCATTGCCAATTTGCCATCGCCTTTCGGTAACCCTGGTTGTGATCTTGTTTTTTGATGTTTCTGAAAAGGAGATCGAATAGAAAATAGAACATTATTATCATAACCCCAACAAAGGTTAGCCCTTTGCTCATTTCGTAATAGCACAAGCACCTAATGCAATTCAAGGGCACTTTTGGTTATGCAGTTGGGAAAAAGAACAACTCGGTGAGCTGCAATAGGGGCAGGCTAAACCATGAATTTATGGAAAAAAATGGGGGAACGAGTAACTCCATTGTGCCGCCCTGTTCCTAACGCCTTTGCTTGAGCTTAAGACATAATTAATGCTTTGACTCGATGACTAATCGAACATATGCGACCACCATTGGATAGCATCTGAAATCCACTTCAGCATAATTCATAAAGGTTAAAGCGAACCTCAACGAATTTTTTGGTGTGGTCGTAAATTTGTTTTGCACAATGCTTTGCATTCCATTCTAACTATACTGAATAAACTACTGCTTCGTAGTGCTTAGCTTTTCCCTCCTAATCTACGGTGGCCCAATCAATTCTGCCACGCACTTAAATCAACGATTCGCACATACAAACAAAGCAGATTCACGTTGAAACAAACCGAATTCACACGTGGAAAAGAAGAACCACTCACACAAATTCAAGTGAGTCGCAAAAAAATTAAAAAGAATCGCAGAAAAAAGAAACTCGTCACACATTTTTAGTTTCATTCGCACAAAAATACAGACAAATCGCACATAAAACAAGCAATTAACTTACTCAAAAGAGGTCTGGCACTAGGGTAATCAAATGTCCCCCGTGTGTGACGCAAGCTTTCTTTTCGCGCACGTTTTAGAAATGGTTGGGGAAAAGCGGACGTGATTTCAAGAGGGCATGAGAAATTGAAGAAAAGGGCAATGAAACTAAATAGAGTGAAATGGAAGAAAATGGAAAAACATGAAATGAATTCGATGAAGAAACTCAACGACGAGATGTTCGATGAAACGACCGGAAGGTTTTGTTGATAGCAATCGGATGAAGGTTAGTCCCGCTCTTGTTGGAACGTTTTCCCGGCCTTCACTGAAGGCTACAGTGACTTTTTTGCAGTTCACCCAAACTGTAAAATCGTACTTGGAACTAATTTTCTGCCTTTTATACTCATTGGAAACAAACCAAATTCGTAAAAAACAGATTAAATAACGTTATTATTGATTCAAAAAATTGAGGAACAAGATTTGAGGAACAAGTTATCGGGCGGCCATCCCCTCCACGTTGCGCCGACTCAAATTGTATGTCATTTTGCTGATCTGGATTGACAAACCCCAACATTTATGGCGATCGTCTGAATCTTTTGCCCGTTTTTCTCTAAACAAATAGACAGTGTTTTCTCTCGCTGCCTCAAAGCAAATCATTGACACTTGTGTGATATTTTCGCTGTAATGTTCAATTCTAATTAGGCCTATTTGCTTTCAAGATATGAACTGTGCCCGCGCTAAAATTATTTTTGATATTATTTACCAGTTTTCGTAGCAGTGATTCGATAGGCACTGCACGGCGACCGGTGGAAAAACAAAAGGTAAGGAGGCTCTACCTAAATTTTTTCTCAAAAACCAATTTAAAATGAAATGAAAAAATGGAAATTTTTTTCTTGATGATTCTGATAGACTAATCATTGCTGATTTCGAAAATAAGTTCAGTATTTTCATTTTGAGCCCATAAATAGGGATTTCTGGGGTTTTTTGTGTGCGTAGGTCGTGCGAATAGGGGCTGGGGCCAGTGACGCATTAGGATTTACATAGTCAACTCAGCCATAGTGAGAGGCTGTAAGAAGATAAGAAGTTACCAATTGTATAAAACGTGATACCAGAATGGAACTTGATAGAGATAGGCAGTTTGATATGCTGAAAAAGATAGGGTGTGAATAGACGCTGAAAAATATCCCCTTGTGCTATTTATAGAGTGGGGTAATAGGTTCCAAACCTCTAAGCAGTAGTTGTCATAACTTAGCCAATAGATGGTGATACCAGCATGGGATTTGGTAGTAATAGAGAGTTTGATACATTGAAAAAGATAGGATAAAAATTGACGCTTAAAATTATCTGGGGTACAAGGTTCCAGACCCTGCAGGTTATTTTCATAATTTCAATTTTGGATCGCGATACCATGACAATGATGCAACTACGATAACCAGGGACGCCAAAAAGTTCTGCAGACCCTGGAGCGAATCGGCGAAACAAGGCCAAAACGGAAAGGCAAAAGAATTTTAGATTAGCGTAAATTGATTCTTTCTTGCAAACATTTAAAAAGTTTTACCTTTTAAGGTGTAATTTTTTTACTTTTAATCGATTCCATTTGAAAATGGATTTCATTACTTTGAGGCCCCCTGACCACAAGGCCCTGGGGCATTTTATCCCCTCTTGATGGTCCTGGCAATACCTGATGCTTTGACAGTGGCAATGCAAGTTGGAAAGTGGGAAAATGCTCTAAAATGTGCAATTTTTGTGGTTCTATAATAGAAAAGCTTTTTCCCTTGGTCAATTTGCTCCTTAGAATCAAGTTGTGCGCTACTAACTTTTACTCGTAATTTGTATAGCTGTACGCAAAAGCATTCTTATTTGACATACTCGATTATGCACAGAAGGTAAAATGATCGGCACAAAGTCTTGGTACAAACTGAACTAAAAAAGTTTGCTTATTTCGTATGGGTTCAAAATTTTCGCAAGAAAATACCTTGCATATGCCTTGTAGTTAGATGGCTAGTGATATTTAGAGCACAAATATCACACTATTTCCACCCACTTCGCGATTTTGTTGGTTTTTATCGCACTCGAAATACAGTGTTCAGTACTGAAGCCCACATCACACATTCCTGAAATCCCTTACAGACCGCACACAGATTTACGCACGAAAAATCTTGAAAATCGCAACTTTGTTGCTTCGTTGTAGCTTCAAAACAGTTAACAATTCCAAAGAAAGAAATTCAGCATCGTATTCAGGAGCAAAGACTTGACAGAGAACATCTTAAAAAAAATTTCGTTTTTTTCGTTTCAGTTTTTGCTTTAAGAATAAGGATAGTGAAAAACATTAACCATAAAATGGACGCTAACTCCTGCTAAACACGAGTCTGCAAAAAACTGCAAATATCTGCACATATAAGGTGAAAATCTTTGGTTGCCATCAAATAACTTTGCTGGTTGTTAATATCAGTTCCTTAGAGCGCATATGCCCAGTTAATAATCGTGTTTTGTCACTCGAAATACTTGTTCTAAGGTACTGATTTCCAGCTCTAATGTCGTTTTTTTAGTGTTCAAGATTTCTGTTCACTGGCCAATCTTTGTAAAAGTGTTTTTTAGAAATACTAAATTTACCATCTTTATTGAGCCATATATTTAAGAAAGAGTTGTGTGATAAATTGAGTTGATTGGAGATGATTGGATAATTTTTATTAGGAATGAGGAATGAAAAATGCACTAAAAAGCAATGGTTGATTGTACAAAGCTAAGACAATAGATGTGAATGAACATGAAAAGATTCAATGACCTAAATTTGGTCACTACCTATTCAACTGCCTTCCTCTTAACTTTCTATCAATATTCTTCTCACTAGATAACATTTTATGCAAGAAGTCAAATGAAAATTTAGTTGTTAAGATCAAACAGTATACACTTACTTTTTGTAAAAATATGAATCTTTGTACAAATAGTTCCTAGTTAATTCTTAACAAGAAGACCTGATTGTACCTAACTTAGTATCCCTAACTGCCATATGTTATTCGTTGAATGACCTGTTAAAGAGCAAAACAGGAAAAATCATTTATTATGACATACTCAACTAAAAAATTTGCTCTACCTATTTTAATTGGCCAGAAACAAGCAAGGAAAAGCTAGTGTGGTCATAGGATAGAATGTTGTGCATCATGCTTTGCAATAGTGTTTCTCAGTTAGCAAAGTTCTTTAGAACAGTTGTCAAGCTCCTTATGTTTTTAATAAGTGGTCCTATATTTTTTTCAAATTTATTGTAAAAGAAATTATGCTTTCAAATTTTATTTTGCTCCTAACTTTCTTGATATAATTTTTTAGCTCCATTTTATTTTTCTGTAGCAAACAACAGTCATAACTTAATTTAACTAAATATCAGAAGTATAAACCTGAAAGATAAAAAAAATCTAATGCACTTTTGTGGTATACCTAATGCACTTTTGCATCTAACTCTGCTGATTAAACTTTTTCCTGTAAAACATGTGGTGGGAAGTTAGCAGCTGAATAAACATTGATGTAAATTTGCACTGACTTCTTTATTTTTTGATAAAGCAAATAACACCAATTTGGTTCCAATCGCCAAATCAATCACTGTTTGAAATTTGAAAAAGCAATTACATTTTCACCTGTAGCATTCCATTTTGTGAAAAATGGAAGAAAATAGTTTTTTAAACATTTTAAGGTTGTTCTGTACCAGGCAGTGTGACCAGATCTAGCATAATATAATGCTTTCAGCATAATATTGACCAAAATTGTCATTTAGCATAAAATCTAGCATAATTTGAAATCTTGCAAAACTCTGGCATAATTTTGATAGTTTTTTTAAAAAAATCGCTGTTTCCATTGATCCGTTGTCTATCACCAACAAATGGAAACACTTCACACAAGAATGTGTGACTTTCCACTTTCAAGGTTTAGCCAGGTGTTTGGAAGGGTTGGCAGCCAAATATTTTATGGTTGGCAGCCAAATTCAGCCAGCTCTAAATTCAGTACACAAAAAAGCTAAATTCTTGACAATTGCGGGGAGTGATAGTGTAATCAAAATTTGCTTTGTAGGTTACAAAGCTTTCATTTACTTTTATCTTACATTGTCTGTTATCTTTTACGTTGTTTCATGTTTCTTTATTTGCAATTTTGAAATCATTCTAAAACAAATTTGAATATCATCTATAAAAAAATTATTTTCCTTTGCATTTTTTGTGATTTTTTGCAACATGCTGCCAGAATTCTGCCAACTTTTGCTTCTTCGGCCAAATCAATTTATGACGGTCAAGGGGTTAAGAAATTTGGATGTCAAGACCATTGATCTAAATTGCCTTTTTGTGTAGAAAAGATGGCAATTTTGAGTACACTGTGTTTTAGATTGGGGGTCAAAAAGGCCAAATGAAAACTTTGGTCACTTTTGATATTCTGAGCATCCTCTAGCCTCTTTTACAAGCAGGGGTGCCTTGATTTGAAATTTAGCATAGTTTTTGCAAATCTAGCATTATTTTATGACAAATTTTGCATTATTGGTCACACTGATACCAGGGCTACCAGCTGTTTTTATTGTTTCTGTTATTAGGATTCTTTTGATATAGATTTTTTTAACTCATTCCTGTTTTGAAAGTAATACTTCACGCAGACTAGTCTCAAAAGCTGTGCTGAAAAGCATGAGATAGCCAACTGCACTTAAGTTTTTCTTCAAAACATTATTTTTGATGAAGATTGTTCTGGTTGCATCAATCTTGGATTTGTTGTATGGATTATGTAAATGGTCTGACAAACATTTCCTGCATTTTTTGCAGAGCTTTTAGGAGATATCCTCAAAGAAGCTCCAAAAAAGACAGATAGTCTTGACTCTATTATTGTTGTTGATAATGTGCCCATGGTTGGTCCTGACAGATTGGAAAAGCTAAAGAATGTTATCAGAAAGATCTTTAATAAGTTTGGAAAAGTTGTTTCAGAGTTTTACCCAGAAGAAGATGGACAAACCAAAGGGTGTGTATTTTATTTTGTTTTTGTTTTTAACAAGACTTATTTCCTTATTTTATCTTGTCTTTCATTCTCAAAGCTTTTTCACTTGTTTTTGCTGATTGTTTGAAGGTAAATGAATAATACTCAAAATGGCATAAAAGGTACTGATGCTTAATTGTGAAATTGTGTTGCAGTTTTGTTGGTCATATTATTTACACATAGCAATTTTGTGGTGTAGTAACAATAAAACCTTTTCTTCAATCATATTAATCTGGTTTCAATCTGAAGAATTTATTTATGCACAATTTTTCTCTATCCACTTTGTAATGTTTATCTTTTACTATGCATTTGTTGATGTTGGCAGGTTCATATTCCTTGAGTATTCCAATCCTAAGGATGCAGCACAAGCTATAAAAACAGCTAATGGATACCAACTTGACAAGAAGCATATCTTTGATGTTAGTGCGTTTTCAGATTTTGAAATGTAAGTTTTCAAAAAATGTAGATTTTAGCTACTCTTGATTGCACATTGAAATATGATTTTTCAATTTTTTGAAACCATAAGAAGAGAATGGAGATAATAAAAAATGATGGCTAACAGCTAAAATAAGGACAACTAACACACTTACAAAATTTGATTATTAAATTATTTGCTGTCAAGTTTTTAATGTTTATAACAGGTTTTCCTGGCACGTATATTAATGAGACTAATTTTATGCATTTTCCTTGAATTTCAGATGCAAAACTGTATCAGAAGACTGGATGCCACCTGAAAAGCAGCCTTACATTGACAGGGTTTGTAGATACCTTTTGTTAAAAGCCTGAAATACACTAAGATTTAAACCAATCAAAGACAACTTTGATTCCAGAACTTTTTAATCTAATGGTTGTGCTCCCTTTGAAGTGAAGCTGTGGCTAAAAAAATTTGTTCCCTGTTTGGTTTGTGTAAAAGATATTTCAACAGCAAAGGAAATGCTTCTGTAATCATCATTCACATCCAGTAATTAAATCTTCTTGCCATTTCAGATAGCTTTTTGCTCGTAGTTTCAAATATTGTCTATCACCCGTGCTAGGCCAGCCAAAGCGAGCAGCATAATCCCTTAAGGCGGGTAGACCAATTGTTCATATAAGCCAATCATTGATGGGACAGGCTGCCTTTTAACCTAAGTTCAAATGATATACAAATGCTTACCACATACTGTACACCACAGACTTCACATTCCATTTGATACGCAACATCTATGCAGCATTTATGTTTCTGTTTTATTTAAAGTTGTTATTTATTTTAGATTTTCTATTACTTGTGCTTCCTAGTAAACAGCAAGAGGCAAAAGAAGCATGTTCACAAAATTTTATTGTCAACTATTTCCTGTTTTTTTTTCATAAATTTTTTTTCTTGTGTGTAACAGGGAAATTTGAAATCATGGCTTCTTGACAAAGACTGCAATGATCATTACTCTGTGATATATGCTGGTGGACAGCAAGTTGCAGTTTTTCAAAATAAAAGAAATGGTCCCGAGCTTTTAACATTACGACCAGTGAGTTTTAACATTATGACCAGTTATTCTTTTTCTTCCAACATATAATGAACATGTGGATAAAGATGCATCATAGTTTTTTCTTATTTTGTGCAGAAAATAGAAAAAAATAGAACAGAAAAGTTGGAAAACAGTAACTGCTTTACCTTATCTTTAACAAAATTTATTTGCATGTGTTACTTTAGAATTGTTTAAAGATTGAAATTTTATAGATAGTGATCAGTTATAATTCTAGAAATGCAAAAGTGCAAAAACAGTTATAGGCAGCTGAAAGTTGTTATGCAGAAAATATATATTCAAATAAGTAGGGGGTTCTCAAAGTGTGTTATTAGGGGCTCATAAATCCTTTTTATCCAGCACATATTTAGAACAGAAAACAGTAGTTCCAGTAAACATATTCAATGAATTGAGATGTTCTGTCATTAATGATAACAAAGAAATTGAAAGTTTATTCTAAGTAAACACTCAAGGTTCACATTTTTATTAATTTTATTGAGAAAGGTTGAAATTATCATGAGACACTGTCAGGATTATTTTTTTCACTTGCATCATAATCCTTGCTGTCTTTATTCTTCTTCCTAAAATTATTATGTTCACTTTCAGTTTATACAATGCTGAAGAAAGAAACAAAAGTATTATAAATTAAATTCGCTTCAAGAAAGCTTTTTATTCTATTTAAGGGGTGGACAGAAACATGTGTTCAGTGGTCCCCTCATGGTACATATTTGGCAACATTTCATCAAAAAGGTATTGCACTATGGGGTGGAGCAGAGTTTACTCGTCTTCAAAAGTTTAATCATTCTGGTGTTCAACTGATAGATTTTTCTCCTTGTGAAAGGTAAGAAGACAATTCTTAAGCATCATCAAGGGCCTACTGCATTATTCTTACCCCAATCAGTTTTTTTGCTTCATAAATGCTTCGGTAATATCACAACTTCATATTGTTTTTGCTGAAAATGTTCTGCTGTCATTGTCAAACTGTGCTGTTCTCTCAACAAATGAATTTTTAGATATTCTTTCTGCTAGATATTTGTTTCATTTATATATATACATGTTTTGCTTATAATGCCAGTATTGCCTGTTTCTTTTGCTATTGTATCAAAGTGGGCAATTCATCAGTTTTTCTCAAATGCCAATATCAATTTATTTTAATCTGTATTTTCAAAGGTATCTGGTCACTTATACACCTCCACTAGACCCGAATGATCCAATGGTAAGATCATATATATATAGTCAATCCGGGTAAAAAATACGCACGTGTCTCTGCGGGGAAAAATTACGCACCACCTTTTCAGCCACGCCCAATCACTTATACCGTTTTGCTTGTGGTTCCCGTATAGCCTAGAGAAGGCCTGTCAATTTGACCTGCTTTTCCCTTTTGTAAGGATTCTTGATTTAGAATAAAGCGGAATTGAATGTTTACCTTGTAAATTGGCCCAATATAATGTTTTGTCGGAAATCATTGAACTTTCTTATTGTCGCGTCAGTAACTGTCAAGCCCACAAAGTCAAGTGTTCTCAGTTGTTCTAAGGGATTAACCTTTTGACCTATGATAATTACATTTGCTTGCTATCTTTTGTTTTGTCTACATGGCATGCGTATTTTTTGGACACACAATTTTTGAGCACATGGGGAAAAATTACGCACTCCTGATTTTGATTGATGTTGGTATGGGACCTATAGAGATATGTAAATATGAGTCACAGAGGCACAAATTATCATGAGATATTACATAAGCTTATATTAATGGGAGTTTACAATGTATTTTTGGCACTTAAGTCATAGCCTCGCTTTCATATGCCAAAGTTTTTAATAGCAGACATCCTCATGCTTTTCAACTTTAAAATCACTTAGAAGCTGTTCAAAACTATTGCTTAACATCGTTACATGGAAAATCAAGTATTATATGAATGTTCTTCATAAACAAGCCTCTAGGATTCATTCTTTTATGTGTGCGTATTTTTTCCCCACCTATCCGCATTTTTTACCCCATTTGATGGGGGAAAAATTTCGCATTAGTTTTCTTTAATTATAAGAAGGTTAATTGGATTAGCAAGACAACAAAGGTTTGGTTAACAAGGTATTACTATTCAAGTTCGAAAAATAAAAGAATATTGACAAGATATCTTTTGAATATTTTTCTGGAGCAAACTTTGTGCAAAATGCGTATTTTTTCCCCCAACTGACTATATATATATTTGTTCATTAAATTTGTCCATTAAAAATATGAAATTAGCTTTTTATATTGCAATGACTGCACTTTTTAAGCTCATGAAATGCCATCACATTGTTGAATGCATTTCAATCAAAAAGTGCTAGAACAAGTTGAGGTTTTATTAGCAGCAAGTAGCAATTCAACTACTTGTAGCCAGTCGGCCTTTCAGATATTCTATCATATTTAAAGCCATCGTATTTGAATAAATGCAGAATTGATTAGAGAGCAAGAAATAGCCAAAGAGGAAATGGCCTACATGCCTACTTGAAGTTGGGGCAACATTGGGTTAACATTTAGTGTCTAGAAAGATTATCTATAGATATGTTATTGTATGCTCTGGTGTGTTGAACAAGAAGATTTTAAGCTGAAACTCAAAGGTTTCGCACTCTCAGTGTGATTATTGGGTATCTGTATCTTTATGTCAATATTTAAATATTTTAAAAGGATGTTTGAAAGTGCAAAAGCTCCTAGAGGTAAATCAGTTCTGTTATTCAAATTCTTGTATAAAATGCTTCAATAGATGTCAGCAATGCTCTTTCTAACCAATGCTTCAATTTGAAATGGAGGTCTGTTAAGCAACTTTTTCCCTTCCGCAGTCTATAGTGTTTTGGGATGTTCGAACTGGTGCTAAGAAAAGAGCGTTTGCACCAGGAGAGTCTGCACAATGGCCTGTTTTCAAGTAGGTTTTACAAAATATACCTAAAACAGTGAAAAAATCTTGGTCTGTTTTGACCTTGTTTACACTGAAGCAAAATAAGAAGGAAACTGTCATTTATGATCAGTTAGATCGAATTGGTCATGGAAGCGATCAGTTACAGACAACCTCTCTTCATTAAAGAAATCAGCCGCTTTTTCAATCGTAACTAACAGTTCCGTTTCCGACCTTTTAAATTGTTGGAAGCAAGCATGATTTAGGGGCAGAATCAAATAGTTACGCTTTCAGAGAAACTAAAAGAAAATAACAGAATTGAACTAGAATTGAACCATGATTTAAACACAAAGCCTATCATAGCTTTAACACACAGAAAACAATTTGTTTCCGTTCTTTTTCAGTGTAAATGGGGTCTTTATTTTAATATTAATGATCAAACCATATACCAAATCTTTCATGTTTATATTTTCATTATCTTTCATATTAAAGTAACTGTTATTATAAAACTGTTGTATACGTACTCTGAATTTGAACTATATTTAAAATTTAATTTAATATATGACTAAATTCTAATTAATTTTCGACTAAATCAAGGTGGGGCCACAAAGGAAATTACTTTGCAAGAATTGGCGGGAATAGTCTATCTGTTTATGAAACTCCAGTAAGTCCGTTTGCAGTTTTTTTATCTTTTTGTCTATTTTTAATTCCTAAAATTCTTGTTTTTCTTTTGCTGCCTGTGTTTTTTAGTAATACAAATGTGATGTTGACATCTGATATGAAGCTATAATCTGTAAATTTAGTTCTCGCTGTTATCGATATTAGTAATGAATTCTTTAATTAAAGACGAACATACACTCTCCTCATTTTGGAACCGAGTTTTATGACACTCTTGTCTTTCCAAGGCTAATCTTAATATCCTACCGTAGGGCGACTGGCTGCCCGCGTAGGGGGCGTCGTAGAGGGGCTTTATTATTATTATTATTATTTTATTCATTGTTTCATTTAGGGCTTTGGATTATTGGAAAAGAAAAGCATAAAAGTATCAAACATGAAGTGAGTATTCATTTATATGTACTGACTGCTGGTTTCACATAAAATATTTTCTAAATACTAAGAACGGTACTTGATCATTGCCGTATGATGAACTACGTTCTTGATAGGAATTGCCGTCTGATAATTCGTGAAGACAGCTTTTTTCTGAGGCAGTTGATCAATGTGTACTTACCATTTGTTGTTTATTGTGTTTGTCAAACTATGTTTCTTTAATGCCCTTTGCTCCTATAAGCTATTTGTAAGAAAAATCGGCTCACCATAGAAAGAGTCTAAGGAACACAGAAACTGAAAGCGAGCAACGGTTCCATTTATGTGTTAACCTTAGTAAACGAATAACTGACGGATATAAAAAGTATAATGATGCAAGGCCATTGAGTCAGCTGAACACTGCTGTCAAACGTGCAACTTCACTCAGAAATGTCAAATAAAAGTTTAGAGTACTGTCTCCTTGATTTGCCTATGCTTGTTTTCCCCTTTCTTTCAAGTATATATTTTCAAATTTTACGTTTTATCACAGCCCTGCAAAACAGTCAATGACTGACGTACTATGACTAAAGAATTCAATTTAGAAATGAAAATGAGTGAATTAATGAAATCTGTCATCACATTCGTGGATGTTTTTCTATTGCCTTCGTATTAATCGATTTTTGCGTTGATCTTCCAGGGACTTTACTTGGTCACCGTCAGACAACCTTATAGCATACTGGGTACCAGAGGATAAAGACACGCCCGCAAGATTAGTCATGATGGAAATACCAAGTCGACAAGAACGCCGATCGAAAAATCTTTTCAATGTTGCAAGTGTAAGGATCAATATTATTGCAATAGAAGCATAGTTATCATATTGATACCTTACATATATATGTTACAAGCATTACAAAAATGCTTAATCTAGACATTTGATATCGATGTGTTTCTAACCAGATTTCAAAATAAATGTTGTAGTTTTTTCAGAATTTTGTTTACTTTTTTGACGTTATTATTTTAAATTTTGTCTTCGTAAGTTGTCTTCGTAATTCGTATGGTATTTGAAAACTATTGCAACCACAATATACTATACCCGTTAGAGTAAGACTTATTTGGTTTGCTATTTGGAATCACTGAAGACAATGCTTTTGAACCACAATATCAGTATTTTGGATTAGATTATCTTTTTGTGCTTTGATTTATACTTTGGTTTTTTTCCGTTTTTATTGAGAAAAATGCAAATGAAGTGAATTTACAGATCGTGAAAAAGCTACAAAGCGAGCTATTAGTATGGCATCTTGTAGATGATTTTTGTAACCCCCTCCCTCGAAAAAGCACCCTTGTAAGCTGCCTAATTTAATATGTCTCTCGCGTTAATTCAAGGACTTTTTGAAAGTTGTCTGTATAAAAGGACATTCGCATGGTATATGAAGTCAATAGTTAGATATGTATACAACCATTAAAATAAGAATTGGTTTATACTCCTTTTGTAAGCATTGTTATGAATTTTCCCTTCTAAACCATTTCATCGATTCAATTATTTGCATACAGCGAGACGTATTGATTTATATACACACTTTTACTAATTTAGCTCTCCTAGTTCTAAACGTTAATCAATGGACATTCAAGGCTATTGATAATGTTAGTGCTGCTTTGTCTATCGTCAGTGTATATACATAGTCTAAGAAAATGCACACAGCTTCAATTGCTCTCTTCGTTTTTAGTGCAGAATGTATTGGCAGAAAAATGGCGATTTCCTAGCTGTCAAAGTCGAAAGATACACAAAAAGCAAAAAGGTAAGCGAACCTCACAGTCAAGTCAGTGTTCGTAGATTCATTTCTGCATTCCATTCAAAAAGTCTTGAGATTTTACCATCCTGCTATTGCTCAAAATACATTGCTCCTTCACAGTGTATACACAAATCACTTTTCCTTACTCACACGTATCTATTCCACATTATTTTATTTTGTTCTTCTCGAGCAGTTTTTATTGAGGTGAAGTTGCCAAAAGAGTTTCCGCTGGTACATTTAATTTGCTACAACCGTGAAGATTTGCCTGCTTATACCCGTCACTGAAGCTAACAAAAATTGTCATTGTAGCCATGATAAAAGCGGAAACGTGCAACTGCGGTTTAATTTTCATATAAGTCTCTATATATATATATATATCTTGTTTATTCTGATTGAATTATTATTGTTGTATCCCATCATCTAGGCCCTATTTAGCACACTCGAGCTATTCAGGACAAGAATGAAAGATATCCCAGTTGATACACTTGACCTAAAGGGTAATTGTAATTTTTTCTAATTCGTTTCTATTCAGGAAAAGCCCTGTATTGTTTTTTTCGCACGTTAAATTTAATTAACTAAATAATGTTTGTATATATTAATTGACCTTTGAAGTCTATCGGAATTTCATTCCAGCTCGCTCAATTAAGTATCAACTGTTGTTGTTTTGTGTCCATGTTGACTCAGCACAAAAGTTTCTGCTCTTCTCTCTCTGATGAATTTTTAATCGTGAATTGATTACATATATGTTGCTATCTTCGCATAGATGATTTACCAGGTTGCCAGTGTGTACAATCCGCTTGTGCAACAGAGTTCATTTGTGCTAGAAAAACCGTGGTTTTATTAGCATTTAGTAGAATCTTCCACTACTAAAAGCCAGTCGACCTACGTACATCGCTTAAAAAGCAATCTCTTATAGTATCTCAATTTTTTAAATTTATATCAGTGGATAATTTTTTATAATCTTCCTAGAACCAATCATTGATTTTGACTGGGAACCAAATGGAAGCAAGTTTGTTGTCTTGCATGGAGAATCACCGCACATATCAGCAAGCTTTTATGATATTGAAGAAGGGAGTCTAGGAAAAGTTGTTCGGCTCAGTGAGTGTTATTCTCAACCATACCCAACCATACTTTGACATTCTTTGGGCCCGATTTTATGGGAGTTTTGGCCTTTATTAAGCCTTAACTTCCTTATTTTGTCACCTTTCATTATTGCTAAGTCCCTGTTGCTATCGGTCATTGTCTTTTCTGTGGACGTAAAACTTAAAGCGAAACTTCCTTGTTATTCTGAATTGCTTTATGCTCTTAGGTTTGTCTGTCATCAAGAGTTCAAGCTTGCAATTTGAGGATGTGTTGTTCTCCTACGTCATCGAATCACGTGCACTTTTGAACTTTGTTAGCTATATATTTCCGCTAAAATGTGAACCAAACTTTTTCCAGAGACCTTTGAAAAGAAACAACTCAATAGTATATTCTGGTCACCAACCGGACAATTTGTGCTGTTGGCCGGTTTGAAAAGGTTTGTTACTTCTCCACTAACCAATTTTGTTAACTTTGTTTTGTCACCTCTTGCTGCAAAAAATTTTTAGATCTAGGAATCGGACACTCGTGATCAAAGGGGCACTGTTTTTTTATTGCATAGCACAGTCTCGCATTCTAAGAGTTGATCATTTACACTCATTTTTTTATAAGAAAAGAAGGTCGATGTTGAGTACTCCAGTTTTTTAATGTTCTGGAAATTTAGCATTTTCATTGTTTAATCTTTTCCTACACCAACGCTTAACTTTTCGTTTACATCTGTTTTAGTGTTTATTTCTATGTTTATGTTTTTATACATTTCGTTTTTGTAGCTTCAGTGGAGTCCTTGAGTTCTATGACACCGGAGACATGACGCTCATGAACAGCTGCGAGCATTTCATGGCTTCAGACGTTGAATGGGACCCAACTGGCAGATATGTTACCACCTCAGTCAGTTGGTGGGGACACAAGGTAAAGGATACCATTGATTATCTTGTGTATCATTACCTGAATGACAATTGTAAAAACGAGAAATCATGTCTAATGTTCCGGAACGATTTCGTGCCCGTGGTAAAGACATGATTTTAGTGTTGGATTTTAAGAATTGGTCTTTAATGATGTTTTTAACCTACATTGTTTGATTCATTATGATAACAATAATTTTCTGAAAAGACCAATCAAATTTAATTAATTTTTCTTTTGTTACTGACTTCTAACTTATAAATCCAATTTCCTTTCTACCATTTGTGGCTTGATTGCAAGTTCTCTCATTTTTTATCCTTGACCTAGTTTCTCTCATATTTAAAGCTGAAACTTTGTAACTTTATAATTATTACCAGGGAATTTTTCTGTTTTCATTGACAGGTCGATAACGCCTTTAACATCTGGTCATTTCAAGGACGTCTACTTCAAACCCAGGCCATGGATCAGCTGTGCCAGTTTTTATGGCGCCCAAAGCCGCCTTCCCTTCTGTCAGATGAAGATATTAAGGTTAGTAGATTGCTGCTTTAAACAAGGTCAAAGTAGATGGTCGAAAATAGACTGCTGTTGGTTTTGGATAAAATTGGCGAGTGTTCAATTTTCGACTGTTTGAATTTCACTACAAATGGGTTCTATTCCTTTTAACAAACGCTTTATCCTAAGTATTGCCAAGCCTGTTGGGAGCTTTTTATTTCAACTAGGGGCACTTGTCCTAAGATTATTTTCTTGGTCTTTAATGATGTTTATAACCTACATTGTTTGAACTACAGTGATGACAATTAATCTCTGAAAAGACCAATTATTATTATTATTGCTTTTTGATGAAATATTTGACATTTTGCGTATGTGTGGAGAGCAGTATCGTGGCGTGGATCGTAGCTCTCGACTGGTGACAGGTAGTTGGGTCTTGTAGAATGTTTCTTCAGAAAGTACCTAGATATGATATGAACTATATGAAATATCGATATGAAATATAGATATGAACAGGGGAGTGGAGGATAAAGGTAGCAGAATAATTTTGTAAGTTTTGAAATGGTTTTGAAGTACATCTAAATAAAGATTCCTGACCACTGCTATATTGTTATTAGGACTTAAAGAAGAATTTCAAGAAATACCAGAAGATGTTTGAAGCTGAGGATATCATGAAAGATACTGAGGCATCCAAGGTGCGATAATCATAGCCGAATTTTAAATATGTTTGCAAAGTTGTTTGCATTCGAGTATGATTTCTTAAAGATCTTGTAAATGGAGTTAAGGGGTTGCTCTCTACTTGATTATTTTACTTATTGAGAGAGTTCCACCTTTGATACATTCCTTACATGCAGGTCCTCTTTTAAAGTTTGTAATTGATCTCTATTTGTTACTTACCTTAAATTTGTATGTAGTGGCATTGAGAATGAAAACGATGAGGACCTATCCTCTTAATTGTTAAAGATTGTGATTTCTATGGTGAAAGAAATATGTATTTACTGAAGCTTAATTTTTGATGATGTGTTCAATTAGTGTGTTTCTTTTCTTGCCATTTAATTTTTACTGCACTTTTGTCCAATGCAGGAAATTCTTGAGAAGAGGAGGAATCTCTTTAAAGAGTTCTCTGAAATTCGCAAGGAACTGAATGCAGCTTATAAAGATTACAAACCAACCCGTATCCAGCTTCGAGGTAATAACGAGTGTTTTTATTGGTTCTATCATTCAGCGTGTTGATGTGCCGTGCTAAGAATTAAAACTCAGTATATTTGAAGTATTGTCAGAGAATGGACTTTGCTGCAGCATAAATGCATCCAGTTCGCAATTCTCTGTCATTGCGTTTCATTGACAGCTGTATTTCTATTCCTAAAGCATATTTTTTAGTTTTTTGCAACAATTATTCGTGCTCTTAAGCTTCAAGTATAAACTTGTAAATGAACGCTCTTAAGCAATCAGGCAACATGAGGGAGGGGTTGAAGTTGAACCCCCTATTTGTTACGGGCTGAACTTCAAGAACACTACTTCTTTCCCATACTTTTTTTTATTTTGCCATAAGAACTAGGCCTAAGATGGTACTGCAACTTGATCAAGTGCAACTTTCAATTCTGGTGATATGTGTATTGGAGATAAGCATTGACCTTTGGAACTACTGAGGTGTGAAAAACCAAGATTGTTTGTTGTGTTTGTCTCAGACGGTCCAATGGCTTTCAAAGTTATATACAATTACGATGTGAATCATTTATTTGTAGGCCTGGACACAGACTCTTTGGATGAAGACACCGACATAGAAGAGGAGACGATTGAATTTTTCATTAAAGAAGAAACTGAAGTGATTGAAGAAGGCGAGTGATCAACTACACTGCGATTGATTTGAAGAAGGAGACAGAAATCACCGTGCTACCCTCACCATTATCTGAACAGAAATTCATAAAATAGGACATCTAACACTAAGGGCAGCCAGAACAAATAGGCTTTCCTTAGTGTAATATTTAAATTTCACAGTTAATTAATTAGGTTTCATTATGTACTTCATACACAAACGGTTTACTGATAGTTACGTTTCAGTGGCAGTAATTACACACTTAGTTTATCGCGTAGTTTTTAGAATAACGTGCGCATCATTATTCTCGTGTATACAAACCGCAGCTGCTGCGGGACAACTCGCGATAGATAAATGTGTTTATGATGTAGACCTCAGTAGGCTTTATAGATGGTTTTTAAGGCAACCTTGGAAAAGGCGTCATTATATCAATCGTGGTGTTGTGGCCATATTTGTGGTACAAAAATTAAAGAAATATTTTTGCAGTGGAATAAAAGTTGAATATTGTCTCGATGCTAGTTGTCTTTTTGTTATTATCTTCAAACAGTCGTCTGCTGATACAATAAGACTGATTCATGCTTGGTCATCTTGCAATTAAAAATTAAGCATTAAGCAATCTTGCAATGAGTCAAGATTGCTTTTTGGCTTGCTATTGCTACCACGTCAAAGCTTGTTTCTGACACCGAGTTTTTAGTTTTACTCAATTGTTGAAGATTTGCTAAAATGGAGTTCCGAATCTTTGCTTTTTCTAGTTAAAATAAACTAGTTTGAGTTCAGGTGCTTCGGCAATGCGTTGAAATGAATATGTTTGATTCGTTCTATTGAAAAATGTTTTAAAGATTACTTATTTGATATCTGCTAAATGCGGTAAGAATAGCAGAAATTGGGCTTTTTGAGTGGTGGCTGTTTTAGGGAAATCTTCATATTCACCTCAAATTGGAAGGGGAGGGGGTCAGTTGCCCCTCGCCCCTATACTTTCCCGTACTTTACTCTCCTCCTGTGCATTCATTTCTTTGGATTTCAAACAATTATTTTGAAAGTGCAGAGGGAAAGTTGCCCTCAGTGTAAGCCTTTCCTACCAGTGGTTGTGGGAGAATACCAAGAGCTTTCATAAAATTTGCTGGGGGAAAATCTGTGCTGCTTTCCTTCTTCATGCAAAACAATAGCAAAGTATCTCTGGAAGTAACAAGATATCTTCCGGAATTTGTTTTGAAAATTGACTAATAATACTTTTGCCAACCGTCCGCTGATATGTAGACGGGAGGGATGGGGACTTCATGGATGTAATAAATTATCCACTCGTTAGAGAAACATCCAGTCATATTTACTTGAAAAAGCGCAAGCATTTGAATAAGCGGACACCAATACAAACCAATATAGAAAAAAGCGCGCAGATCAGAATAAGAGAACACCCTTAATTGCGAATAGTGTGCGCTTACACAGAAAAGGTAAAAACACAGATCGATTTTGATGCATGACATTTAGCCTTGTCATGTCTTCACCTACTATGGCTAACAAGAAAAAGCATTTTTCATGCTCCTCCATAAAACCGAAATTAATGTGTTTTGCGGCCACTGCTAAAATGGTTCAAAGCCAGTACATGGCATATTCTAGGCGTCTAGGTTTGTTTACCTTAGCGTAAAACATTGTTTTCTGTAGAGTGATGTATAGAGTATCGAAAAAGTTTTGAATAGTAGTACGTGGGTGAAAACTTCCATATTTTCATCTCTCCGTATCTTTAGAGTTAGCCCTCGGGCTCGACAAAGCGCACACGCTCAAATAAGCGCACACCCTAGTTTTTTTAAATACTGTAGAGGAATTTCCGTTATATTCTGCCGTAAATCCTCGAATTGATAATCCATCCATCCATCTATCTATCTATTTATCTATCTATCTATCTAAAAAGTGAAAATGAAACTGTTGTACGCATGCGCTTGCCTGGTTCAGTGCAAAGATATTTCTTGGACCTAAAATGGCGGATGACTGTACAACGCGGAAAGGTTAGTGTACTAAAGTCATCGGTGTCATGGGGAACAGTACGTCAAACCAAAACAGCGACACAGAGCAAGAAGACGTTGAGGTAACTTTATATTCTCCTGCTGTTAAGTTTATTCTCCTTAATTCAGCTGGGCGTCCTTGCTAAATCAAAACTGACTATCGACCTGCCAGACCCAAATGCCAACTGCATGATTGTTCCAGTATTGTCTCATTTTGTACTTCTCGTTACTTACAAACTATTTATAACGTACTTCAAAAAGAACGTACTGCAAAAGCAAAGGCTAGTCGAAAGACTTGGGAGTTTGCAAAGAAAATTTCTTGTACCTTCATACATAACATGTAGCTAATATATTTTGAAAGGTAGGCCTAGCAGGGTTGACCAAATTCGTTAAAATACTGCTGAACTTATACTATAATAAGAGAGTCGTAGTATAAGTTCAGAAGAGTTACCAGTCGCCAGTTCATTGCATTTTAAAGCCTAATACAAATTTGTCTCGTTAGAATATTTAAAGTATGAATCTTAATGACATGATGGTAATTACATATAGTATATATAGTATACTGGTAAGGTTCAACAATGCTTTACGAATATGTATTGATAGAAAAGAAAGAAAACTCTACGCATTTTAATCTCTATTAATTTCATCTATATCAAACATATTTTAGGTTTTATTGATTTAAGTAGAAAGGCGCCCAAGCATTGGCCCTGTCCACCCTCCCTTGAGTTTGGCATAGCTCTCAGCAGCCCAGTGAATTGTATATAGCAATGCCATCCATTTTTAGCAGATAGTCTGTGAAATGTAGGTAAGGTAGCGCACAATAGTTAATCTCAATTATGTATACTGTTTTTGCCTGTGTATAAGCCAAGGTTTTTATTGAGGTTATTTGACGTCAAAATCATACCCAGCTTATACAAGGGGCAAGGTCTAGAATTTTTAGGGTGGGTTCCATCAGGCTCTAATCTATAATTTTGCCAAGGCCAAGTTAAATTTATCTTTAAAATATTGTAATGCACTTATGTCATGTACATACGCGCGCATAGAGCTAAATATATTCTATATTGAAAAAAGTATATTGTTGCCAGAATTAAATTCAGACATCATTCTATGGTGATTTAAACCTGGCTTTCAAAAAGCATATTGTTTTACTGATCTTTAAACAAGTTAAGGTTTGTCCTTCTACAGCTTATAATGGGGTGCAGTTAAAATCCAAGAAAATAGCCCTGCAAAAAAAATGGCCTCTGCTTATACAAGAAGTCAGCATATATTAAAAAAGCCATCATGAAAAACAATTCCAGTATGCACCCCTGCCTGTGTGCATTTGTCAAGAGATGCGAATTCCACAAGAAAAGCTGATTTAGTATGAGATAAAAACTAATTTGAAAGTGCTGAAAGGTGAAAGATGTAATCATTCAGGTTTAAAGAAATAAAGGATCCCTATCAAGTGATTCTGTCAACCTTTCTCCTCCAAGTAAAACATATAAACATGCCTTGATTTTGGCCTACCCCCTTGCCTCCTTCACGAATCTAAAGATTGTTTGGGAAAGTAAATTTTTGCCAATATTGTTCATTTTATCATGTTACACAAGAATACCAACTTACATTACACTGACGTAAAATTGCAGATCTACAACTGTTTCAGGTCTGCACATCCTGCTGATCTTACCTGCAATGACTTAAAAGGGTTGGTGTGTAATGTTGAAAATGAGGCTATTCATACTTAAGACTGAGCACTGTTCTTCAAATTCACCAAAATTGCAAGTCATTGTGTGTGCTCAAGCCCATTTTGTTCACTGAGCTTGTGGCAGAAGGTGCTTTGATAAACTTGGTTAACTCTAATTTTGTCAACTGAGCCGGGTTAACCCAAAAGCCAACTAGGCCATGGCCTAGGGCCAGGGGCTGCTTACAGCGTTATTAATGTCATTAGTCTAATAACAGTTTTTTCCAAACCTATAGGCGTAGTGGCCCTCAGTGATTGTTTTTGTAGACCTTTGTTTGGATTCTTGATCGAGGCTTGGCACGTCAATACTCTTTTATTGAAATTCTTTCCCTTTGAAAATGTCAACAATACCTCTTGCTAACACCTCCTAATTAAGGCAGGTATCTTATAACATGGACTGCAATTTCCTTTGTGTTTACTCTGTGAATGTGACTTGCATGTCATAGAAAGCAGATATTAATGCCATTGTATTTTACTCGAACGTTATTAGCCTCCTTGGTCTAATAACACTTTTTGGGATATCGGTTGCTGACTATGTGAAGCAAAACTGTGAATGAAATAACTACCACAAATCTAATTGGTTCTGTGCACTGGTTTGTTTCTCAAGTTTTTTTGGTATTTTCAACTGGTAAATGACTAACACACGAACAATTTTACCACTAATAATACGATGTAAGGCCATACCCAAAAACAGCCGCATCCTAAGCGTCTAATACAGGTAGCTGAAAATGTGCCGCAATGTTTAACTTCGTGTCCCTGTGGTTGTTAGGGCCCAGCGCTAAGCAAAGTAAATTTTTTTATCCATAATTAAATTTAGATCTAAACTAAATGTTTTGATCCATGATCCATAATGACAACATCACTGGAATAGCAAGTTAAAGCAGCAATATGGAAAACCAATTAAATCTGTTGTATATTATTTGCGATATGGCAAGTTTGCTAATGATATATATACTATAAATTTAACTTAGTTCAAAGATTTTGGGGTCCCTTCGTTTTCATGACTTTCCACTTTGTTTTCTTGTTTACTAAAGACTTTACTGTACAATAAAAGCAAACAATTTCCTGTTGTCTTTATCCTAAGTTCTTATTTTCTTGACCTTTCTTTTCGTTGTATCTTTCTTCATCCTTTCTTTTTGTTTTCTTGCATTTCATTAATAAAAATACTATTAAGCATCACTAACACCTACAATTAACACCTACAATTACAAATTATAGAACATTGATGACCCAAACACCAAAAGGACCTGAACAGTGTCTTACACACAGCAAATGTCGATGTTCTACAAAACATCCCTGTTGGTTAAAAAGATTTTTTATATTTTATCTTCTATAGTATTTCTTACATTGTAATTGTTATAGAATCAATGAAATTTAAATCTAAATTACACAAATTTTAGAACCAGAACCAAACTACATTGGTTTTGATAAGGGAAAGCCTATAATCATGGGGCCAACCTTTTGAAGTTTTTGATAATGCTCTTTGATATCATTTATTCAAACTCAAAAAGTTCTGAAATAGATTTTGATGACATCATCACAGTGCCACTCTTAAGTCATCACATAGGCAAAATATGTTTGGCCTATTTACTGAACATGTAATTGAAAATTACTGATATGATTTTGCTTTAGTGAAGAGTTCCATCGGATATGAAAGTGTCATTAAATGAATTGGCCTTGGCTAAGGAATTCAACCTTTATTCAAAGGGGAAGATATTGTATTTTGCTTTGTGATTTTTGTGATCAAGTAAAGACTAATCTAATAATCTCCTGCAAACTTTAAAGAATGATTCTGCCACACATAGTTTGCCTTATTAAGATTGCTGTAAAAATGATCTGATTTATAAAATCCTGTCTTTTCTCTTGCCATTCTTTACCCAAAGAAATGTGGGGATAAGACTAAAGACCTTTTATTATTTTTTTGCTTTCATAAATTATGTTAAAAATACATAAATTATGTTTAAATTAACAGAAGTTCATTTTTGTCTGTTATGCCTCTGAATGCTGGATTATGCAAACTGATTTTGGGGCAGATTTATAAAAATCTATCATGTATTGGTTTCAAACTAAAAGAAAGCAGTTAATTTATTATAATTTTTGGGGGCATCTTAATTGAAAGAAGTAAGAATTATTCAGTAACTAGACAAACTTAACTGAAAACAGATCGTTCCAATGTTTTGCAAATAGCAATTTTCTTTCCCAAAAATATGACCTGCTTAACATTATTTAATTTGAATGAAACAGGCAGCACAGAATCTCTTCCTTGTGCAATGTTGATTGCTATCCAAAATACTGTCAACTTTGCTTAGAGTCACTCTATTTAAAATCATATTACTGGTAAATATAGACCTAAATGACCTAGTATGCAAAATTTTTCAATTTGGCTCTGTCAACAGTCACACTCCACTTACTGTCACAAAGTTTCAAGCAACTGTTGGTGTGACCACAACTAGATTCACCTGTGTAGTGTACAAGTTGCTGGTTTTCTGTTCAGTGTAAACAGCATATGTACTCTTACCTTCCTTGCAGTGGTAGTTGACACATCAGCAACCATTCCATTAAACAAGTTGCTGATGGCTCTATCAGATGTTTCTATAAAACATTTATATCTAATCTGCTGGTAAAAAGATTTCTAGAAATACAGAAGAAAAGAAAGTCTACTTAATCCTTGTTTACCTTGCATATTATTTTGTAGAAAGTGAAGTTTGCCTTACACATTTTGCCTATCATTAAAGCCATTCACATTCTTTCTAATGATTAAAGTTTATTTTATAACTCCGTATGGCTTTGCAATAAAAAAGGGGCCATTGATAGAATCAAATAGTAAAGCTAGGGTTAAGGGCAGAAGGCCTTATTTTCTTAAAGCTTTTGCAGAATCTTGCATTAAACAACACGTTGCAGGCTGTACAAGCCAAAGACTGTATGTAAATATGTCAAAAGAAATAAATCTCAAATAACAAAGTGTCTGCAAAAAAATTTCAATAGTTCTGTTTATATGATATTACATGTCTTTAGAATATTTTTTCATAATGAGCTTACCATTTTTCACAGTCCTGTAAAATATAAAAAATTACCGAAGTTTAAAACTCTTTGAAATTATTTTCTGGCTAAAAATTTTGTTAAACAAAATTAGATTACTCTATCTTGTTCCCATACTTTCCATGCATATTTTTACCTCCAAAATGCAATGCTTAATGTCAATTCAGGTTGCCCCAAAAAGCTCCAAATTCAAATTGGCAGATTTCAGAAATGTTGGATGAAAAACATTAAATGTTTCTATTTTTAGAACTAATTAAGACACTCACCTAAATTTTTAATTTCTACTTACTTCATAGTTACCTACATTTAAATAAAATATCAGCAAAATCTGAGAGGATGTGTGGCAAATTTGCTGGTTTTGCTCTTTATTGACATGAAATAACCCAGTATTCAATTTTGATAGACATTTTTCATGTCCCCTTTTGTTCACTGATTTTTATCTGCCCCCCTGAAGGTAGAAAGATTTTAGATGCCCCCTCAATATCCTCTGTCCTCCTCTTTGCCATTGATAATGACTGGTCTCTTATTTACTTTGACATATTCTATTGTTCGGAAGTTAAATGTTGTCTGGTTACCCTAATTCAAATTTCAATCGAATGCCAATTTCGGTCTAGTCATCAAATTTTCATTTATTATGTTTGGCTCATGTTATCACTTCTTCTGTGATTGAGACTCACAACCCTAGCCTAAACCTAGACTTTGCTACAAGACAGGTTGAGACATAGCAAAGTTGTTGCTAGGTATACATGAATTAGTAAGTGTTCTCGATATTCTTTGAGATTACAGTTGTCTTTGTTTTGGAGGTTGATATTTTGACTGTGCTTCATATAATGAATTTTTGGACATTTTCTTCTTTGCAGGATTCTTTTCAAGAAAACGAGAAAGACTCTGGTAATTTATACTTATTTTTTATATTTTTGCTTGAGGCAGGCCAAACGATTTATTTTCAATTTAACTTTGCTGATATCAGAAAATTGAAATATTCAACAATTTTTCTAATAGTGACATATTCTTTTGCCCTTCTCGTATAGAGAAAAATGCCTTTTGAAAAATTTGCTTCTTTGGGAAGCGCTAATATGGAAAAGCAATATTGTTGTGATGTGCCAGGTGAATTGCTGATGTGAAATTGTGTAGCTGAAAAATCCTATAGAAATACAAAACTTAGGGATGAATGAAACAGCCATATTAAAATTGCTGCATCTGACATGCTTCAGATTATGAAATGTTAGCATGATTCTTGAACTTAAATTGCTTTATTTTACATTCCCCCTTGAAACTAGTTTCAATTTCATGTAAACATTTTTTCCAAGAATGATTATAGGAATACAAATGCAATTTGTGACTCGTTTGAATGCTGGATGTGATGTTGCAGGTGGCTCATGAAGTTAGATGGCTATTTAGTACTCACTAGCGTTGTCTCGATTTCAAAAACAACAGTGTTTTCCAGCCCGTAGAGCTGCCTCGTCTTGAAGCATGTATTTTTTCTTTCAGCAACTAACATCGAGGGAAACCTGGACTTGAATGTGTTATTTGATCTTCAAAAGCTGAGAGAAGCCTCTTCAAAATTATTGTAATTATTCCAGCTAATTTTACCAGTCCTTTTTTACCATGTTTAATGGTTGCACAAGGCTTTCCACAATATCTAGATATTGCCATTCGTACCAATTTTACAAGCTTCAGCAAATTTTTTACAAATATCCTAGAGAAAGTCACGCCATGTTTATTCAAAGCATTTAAGGCACCATAAATTAGCAACTTTGTTTTGACCCTAGCAGAATTATAATCGCACCGTAGCAAAAATATTGTCCGTTCAATCGTTTGGGATTTGAGTATAATTCTCAGCATTTATCGGTTAAATTTTGCTTTGACGTCCATCAATTTGAGTTAGGTTTTATTGCTTTTCTTAAAATTTGTAGAGAAGAAGCTGGTCCTAGCCTTCTACAGCAGCACCAGAGTACGCTTGTCAGATGGATCGACGATCGAAAGTCGCGCGGTGAAGTGAGTTTCTTACGGTTTATGAGAGCCCATTCAATTCAGTTCAATTCAACTCAATTCAACCTTTTTCATATAATGCAGTCTAAAAATACAGCTAAATCTGCCTTTTATGGGACCAAGGAAATAAAAGCCTATCAAACCCGGGCCCTTAGTCGTTTACTATGGAATTAGAAGTGAGGACGTATCACAGAAAAGGCACAAAACCCCTAGGCTGAACGACACCATTGCGAAAAGGAAAGCTACACTGTTTGGGCATATTGCGAGAAGATCAAGTGTCACAGTATTTGTAACATCATGGAGGGGTTTATTCCAGGTAAAGATCTCGTGGGAGACAAAGAAGGATATGGATAGATAATGTAAAAGAGTGAGCGAACATCTGGAATTATGGTATGCTGAAAAGAAGGTCTAAGGATAGGGCTTGGTGGAAAAAATGGTTAGCGACCTATGGACCACGTAGATGCTACTCTGAATGAATGAATGAATGATGAATGAATGAATGAATGAATGAATGAACGAATGAATGAATGAATGGATGAATGAATGAATGAAAGAATGAATGAATGAATGAATGAAAGAATGAATGAAAGAATGAATGAATGAATGAATGAATGAATGAATGAATGAATGAAAGAATGAATGAAAGAATGAATGGATGAATGAATGAATGAATGAAAGAATGAATGAATGAATGAATGAATGAAAGAATGAATGAATGAATGAATGAATGAAAGAATGAATGAATGAATTATTCAATTAATCAATGGGACATCTAACATTTTTATTAAATGTGAATATTTCCACCTCTACTTGTCAATTTTCTATTTTCAATAATAAGTTTTAATTTGGATTTAACGCAATTAACAAACTAATCTGCAATATAAATAGGGTTTAAAAAACTCAGTTTGTATTTCTACCTTGCTTAACGAACAAAATTGTTTCTGCACAGGAAACGGTGACATTGTCTCAGTTCACAGACTTTCTTTCGAACCGTGATATTGACAAAGAGGTCGCTTCAGAGGTAATCTATTTTTTTAGGATTTTGTCTTTTTTTGCAATCCACTATTCATTCATTTTAAAATAGTTGTCACACCAAGTCTTAAGCTATATGCAAGATCAGGCAAATTTATTTTCATATTAATCATGTGTTTTGTGTGTTTGAACCTGTCACGTTTATTCAAAATCTATTCTTTCTTTTATAGCACATTCTTTTTACAGCATAAACCAGTCTTATAGCACAATCTTTTTACAGCATAGCATAAACCAGTCTTATGGCACATCCTTCTTAAAGAATAAAGCTACTTATAATGTTGCTTTCAGCTCAGTTAGTTATTTGTAAATTAATTTTCTACGTCAACCACTCCGCTCTCCTTTTGAACGTTAAGAATCATGATATGATTTTGATCATATTCGTTGTTGTTAAAATAAACAAGTTTTCACCCCTTTTAAGCACAGTAAAAGACCTTTCGGTGAGATATTGCCTTATGCATTTATTCAGTCCATGAATATGTTGTTGCAGTTAAGATCAGAAAGCCAGAAATCTGTACTCTCTCTTTACTGCAAATTCACTTGCGAAAAAATATGTCAAAAATAAAAATATGTCAAAAATATGAAATCAGTCCAGAAATAAAGATATAAATTATAGTTAAGTGATAAACATAAAAAGTTATAAATTAAGACAAAATTTCTCAGAAACTAACAATTGGAGATCATTATTTGGTTGTTGTCATGCAGCAAAGAAATGGCTTCATGGGGGACTGGGGGAGTAACCCCAGCAGCGGTAATTTATAGGCATTTATTGTCATTTATTTCAAGAATGTTAGGATAAGTTTATAGCAGGTATCTGCACTTTTTGTGATATTTTTAGCGCTGTTGACTTTCATTGATTTTGTGATTTTTTAATCTTCTGTTTCTAAAGATCTTCAGACAGTTTGACATCGAAGGAAGTGGCGTAGTGGATGTTGACCAGTTTCATGAGGTGAATTTATTTTGCTTATTTCAGCTATAATGTTTTCCTTCCACTTACATTCAGTTTTTACACAGAAACTGATAGAAAATATAAACAGAATTAGAAACCGCGTTAGAGACCATGTTAAATCTCCAAAGAGCGGATAATTTATGGTTGTTATTTGTAATTAGTTACTTTTAATTCTGAAGAAACTGATTTTTTCAAGATAAAGTGTCCTTTCAATGTAAATTTGCAGAACGAAGAAACCATCTGAATTAACAGAATGTTTGAAATGAACGAATTACAATTTTGTCAATTGATTTTGTTTTATATCAAAGTTGTAATGCAATAAGTTTGGGATCGATACTCTTGTAAAAAGTCTGCAATCTTGTAAAAAGTCTGCAAACTTTGCAATCTTTAATAATTTTGTATAGTCTTTAATAATCTTGTAAAAAAGATGACAACGATTTGTTGAAAACAATTATATCATATCGTTTGATCTCATATTGTCTAACTAACCACGTGGCTGTCCTTCCATTCTCCCCTCTAGATCCTGGTAAATACCTGTAACAGCAGTGGTATTGGCTTCCGGGACGATTTACAGTTTGTCAATGGACTCTTTCAAGAATATCAATACACACCAGGTTTATATAACCTCCATATCCTTATCGCTCCACCATTTTCGTCGTGCCCGGCTAGCTCAGTCGGTAGAGCATGAGACTCTTAATCTCAGGGTCGTGGGTTCGAGCCCCACGTTGGGCGATTTTTGTGTCGCTCGCCAATTTTTTTCTTTTAACAAAAAGGAATAAATAAATATTTTTTGAACTGTTTATAAAAGCTAATTTTTTTCAAAATGGGGTAATCAAATTAAAATATGCGAAGGTTCTCTTAAAACTTGGTAATAAAATTTCAGATTGTTACAGTTCATTCGAAATTCACCTGAACAGCCACGTTTGCATTTGTTACTATAGTGGTAACGTGTAGAAGCGTAAACTAATGACAAATTCTCCATACTAGCCTACGTCATAGTTTTATTTTTCACCGACATGCCTAACAAAAGTCTTGTGTCTTAAGCAAACAAATGTCGCCGGTATTGGAGAAACAAGTGCCCATCATCAACCATTCCCTTCTGACAGTACGCTAAAGGCTGTTCTACAACTACTGCAGAGTTGATTATTGCTGCACGTCGAGTCCAGGCACCGCGCACCAGGATAAAAGTTGGTGGCCTGAAGGTGTCACCGAAAATTTTCGAGGCCACGCCCTTTAGAACGCCGGAAAGCACCTCTTATAGAAAACACTTGCTTCTTTCCACTTATTTTTTTTAACAGTCCAATTCAGAGAAGATAACAATTACTATGGAAATGAATTAGCATATAACATGCCAAGAAAATGAATAAAGAGGTTTCTCAGTCAGGATGAACTGCTACTACTTAGGATCCGTTAGAGTAAACTTTCGAAAAATTTTCTAACCTATTATTGCAAAAAGCGGGGGGAGGGGGCTAGGCCATAGCCCCTGCTAGCCCAATGGCTGCGCGATGCCTGGTTAATGTTGGCACTCGGAGCCTTGACACAACACAGAGCCATGAATAATCAAGATAATTCAAATATCTATGTGTCATGTCACCACTGCTTTGGTTTTAGGATTCTTGGACGCTTTCACTGATGGTAAAACTGTTGTATCGAAGCATGGAAAAAAATTAAACAGAGTAAGTACTATATTAACTGGCCGTTACATGCTGTGCAAACAGAGCTGAAAAACTTTCTTGCGAGCATATTAAACTTTTCCTTAAAACTAACAACAAAGAATATTTTAGGATAAGATCTGGCTTTGTAAATGCAGGCTTTGAAAATGCTTGCTATAATTCTCCTTGTATACAAACTCTTAAAGGTCTTTATTAGAAATTTCCCAAAGGTTCCTGAAGATACAACAATAGAATTACGGTCATACTTCATACATGTTTTAAGGCAGTATGCAAGGAGATCGTACAATGAGTTTTGTATGTCAGAGTACATTCACATCGGTATTTTCTTGTATTTTTATGTCTGATATGATAATAACCATTTTCTGTTCAATAATCTTTTTACGATAAAGAGGCAAATATCATTTTCACCGTAGAACATTAAGGAAAAACTCGCAAATCTGTTTTGTTGACGTAGTGCTTTGCTTAAGTGCTCGTAATTATTTTTCCTTCAGTTCCTAGAACGTAATCGTGCTCACAGCAATGCAATTTCGGTTCCCGCTTTGGAAAGTTTCATTAATACAACTGACATGCGAATGAGGGTTCTACAGGCCCATTTATCATCAGTGAAGGAAAAGGCTGATATGAGAAAACGAGACCCGCCTCTACAGGAAGACGAGGTTCTTAAACCAATCACAAGATGTTTTACCTTGATTGAAGTGTCATCAAACCGAAGTGAAATTCCTAAGTGAGTGGGGATTTTCTAATTGTGTAGGATATTTGGATTAATGACTCAGTTGAGAGTTAGTAACTGGGATGATACCAAACTCATTTCAATGCAATTTAGGTCTTTGCTTGTTTCCAGGAATCTCCAATGCTGTTCCACAGCACATCCCCTTAAGCTTTAAGTCAATGAATTGTATTCTCCTTTATCGATGTGATTAATAACAGGTTTGCTTGTGTGAAATGTATACTAATGTTAAGGGGATAACAGTAATGCACTTTTTTAAGAGATCTTGCTGTTATTAACAACATGTTCTAGAATTTTATATACGCATTTTCGTGAGGCACTGATCTCAGTGGCTGTGATAAATATTCTTGACGCATTTGTTCCGAATGTTGAATTTATTGGTTCTATGTCCAGACTTACTGATGGTGACACAAGGACTTTTTGGCAATCGGATGGTCCTGCAAGATCACATTGGGTCAGGCAAGTTTCTTTAAAAGCCCAAAGCTATTTTGCTTTCGTCATTATTTTTAGTCTATAAAGATTTCACCTTTCCTAAGTGTTACGATTTCAGTTTTAACATGTTTTGATGAAGAATACGAGTCAGGTTATAGAATAGCCCGGTTGACTTGGAAATTTGACAGCAAGAAGCAGGTTCATCTGACCTTGTTTCCAGGTACTGTCTATGCAATGGAAATTGGAGTATTCTACCCAATAGTAAATCTTCTACAGCCTTTAGCATGCTCTCCATTTTTTGGGGCTGGCATGTCAGAGAATGCCTTGGTTGCTCGCAAAGGGAAATTATATTCCTTAAAAGGAAGCTATAGTTGCAATGTTTTTTATTATAAGATTCTTATCTGCATTTTGTGACTTCGTTGTGCATATAAAAGCAAGTCAAGTTATGCAGAAATCTAGATGTAAGAACATGCTAGTTACCAGAAATTCCGCGAATGAACTTAGCTAGATATTCTGAATTTCCCAGGTTGAAGATTGCACCCAATGTTGTCATCCGCCAGCTGTCAATCAATGTGGCATCATCGGATGAAAGTTACATGCCTCATGTTGTCGTTGTATCGGCCGGACGTGACATCTACCATCTGACAGAAATCATTGAGATGAAGGTGCCGAGCCAGTTCACAGGAAACTTTGTTTTAGTTGAGAACATGAAAACATACTTTCCAGTAATCCAACTCAACATTAAGCGTTGTCATAGTGATGGTTGTGACACAAGGGTACGCCAAGTCAAAGCTATAGGATACAGGTATGTGCTCGTGTTCGAGAGTACCTTTCATTCTTCGTCATTTACAATATATCATTTACAATGCATACTTTAATGGATAAAGCGCTGGGTAGCATAAATGGCTGTTCTAAATAATGCAGCTCAAGTATACAGATGCACTCTAACGCATGTGATGGAGCTCTCCAATATGTAGCTTATCGTATCTTTGCGACCCAAATGTCTTGGCTGTCTCTGTTTAGGGTTTTATATATTCTAGATCATCTGCCTTGTTCTGACTGCTATACAGTTTCCTGGGTGTAGTCACTATCTTTATTCTTTATTGATACTTTCATTGCCATCGTGCTTTCAGATTTAGGAACTTTTCCTTGGGAGAGGTTTCAGCCAATACACCAAAAGGGTACACATCAGTATACAAAGTTCCAAATCATTGTATTTTAGAGTAGCATTGCTCTCGTTTCTTTTGCATCTTAAAGAGCCTTAAAATGGCAATAAATTCGTGTTTTATTTTCAGGGTTGTCAAATCAAAAGGAGTCACAGTCGTAGATGCTACTGCCATGTGGTATTTGTCAGTGCTTGCATCAACAGCCCAAGCTGCGTTGCCCATTGCTCCTGGATTGAGAGATGCCATTATTGGCCACACGAAAAATGCACTTGTCCATATACAGCCACTCGCATTGTCATCTATGTCATCTGACAAACCGGGTTTCTTGAGTAATAATGTCATGGAACAAATGGAGAAATTTTTGAGCAATATCGTTTCGTAAGCACTTCTTATGGTTATTTAGCTTTTTTCGACTCTGAATATTTTATTTACAAAGGGGTAGCTCAAGACCGATTCGGATCACTGGGGAGGTTTGTGAGTTGGGTCATTGATGGGTCATACGGGGATCGTTAGAGGGTCATGTAAGGGTCATTTGAGGTTATGATGATAGTTTTTGTAATTTTGAAGAAATTTGTATTAACGGATGCTAATTTGTTAACTAGCAACTACCTCTGCACAACCGGGATCTGAGGTTGACTGCCCACCAATCCCCACGCAAAGACTGGAATACTTTCTTCACTTCGCTGTTGCTTTGTCCTTTCCCCTTGCCTTAACGCTGTTTTCTTATTGTCAAACTTTCTTTTTTCAGTTCTATTTTCACTTGTTTTCATTATATTAATGAGTTCTGCATTGATTCCTGACACTGTTAGCTTGTGATCCATGCAACATTATATTGTTATTCATACTTATCTTCTTTATTTAATATATTTTCCTTTATATTTTCTCTCGTGATTCGTGAATCTTATGAAAAGAATTTCATGTCATGACAAGTTTATTGAGCTGTCCTTGTTTCAGCTTCAGTATTATGTTCTAGAATGAGTGAACAGGCAGATCCAAACGATCTTTGCATCTTGATTGAGTTCGCCATTGCCAGAGGAAGTCTTGGCAGTATTATCAATGTACTAAAAATTCTGCATGGTAAGATTCTCTTTCGGTTTCAAATCATTTAATCATACTCGGTGTCACTATAAGCCTTAAACAGGTTCCCTTTGAGTATATATCTATACCTAGCCTGCAAGTACTCTAAATTTTCTTTCACCAAGACGTTTTGTACCATCTCAGTTTCTCTTTGAAACATCATATCATTGAGCTTCAGTCAGGTAGATTTTGTTTTGTGATTATAAGCAAACTAAACTTTTTTCCGCAATAAGCCATCACATTGTCCAACATTTAAGTATTTTTCTGTTGCCCTTCCTTGTATTCAGTTGCCCTTTAAGTATTTATGGCCAAGGGGTAGACACAGTCTTTGCTCCAAATAGTTCAATTTAAGTAGCTTTCTAAAGTTAACTTTCAGTTGTGTAACATTTATATGCAACATTTTTCTGGAAAAATAATAGTATAGTTATAGAATTCTCTTATAAAAGTAAAGAATTGAAGGTTTAGGCGAAAAATTTTCTTTGAATAAAATCCGTAGTTTATGTCCCCCCCCCCCCCCCTGACCCATGAAATGAATCAAGAATCCAGTGTTTAGCGATATGAAGGTGCTTCTGTCTTAATTATTTTATATAGCTTGTTTTTTCTCTCTCGCTAAATAAGCACATTTTCCTTATTTTGTAACTACTAGATCGGATAGACGAGGAGTATGATGCAGGAGCCTTTGTGAAAGATTTGGCAGACGTTAGGGACAAGGCAGTCAGGAAACATGGTATTGTGTTTATTTAAAGCTTTGGCGCTATTAGTGGTTTTCCGTAACTTATCAAAGCCATGAAATTGGTCTTTTGTAAGCCTCGCTATGTGTCATGCACAAGTCTGACTTTCAGCCTGATTTCAACAGTTGATTTCATAAAGAGTTTTTTCACATACCATACTTCTTTTTCTATGAAATGAGCCCCTCCCCCACCCCTAAATATTAGAAAGCCAAATATCATTATTTTATCTTGTGATAACAAACATAACTCTCAAACCTTAATGTTGATTGTGGAGAAACGAAATATTTCTATACTAGCATTGGCTGAAATTATGCCTGAGTAACGCATGATCATTAACATAACGTTTTATTTTGTTTTTATTCATCCACTCTCTGAATTCTTCAACTCTTTGAATAATAACATTCCTGGTAGGCAGTGCTGGATAATTTTTATCTTGCAATTATTAATTTGGGATTCTTCTCTTAGCGGCATTGCTGGATCTTTCTGTCTACTGTTGTGACGGCGGATCAAAAGAGACGTCAAGTGGACCCTCAAATGTGCTCTCGAATTCGCTCAGTGGAGATGGTATTTTATTTTCTACGCGCTTTTATTTGAAAATTTAGTAAAAACCTGCAGAAGATCAGCATATTGTCTTTCCAATGTGTCTTTTTTTGTTTTTTTACATAGTATGTTTTACCCTAATGTATGCCAAATTTATAAATTTTATAATGTCGTAATTCTATCTTTGTAGCATATCTTTCAAGTGCTGGCAAAAAGATAATAAATTTTGCATTTAATGCAAAATCTAGAAATTTGGTAACACCAACCAGAGCTTTCATCAGGGTAAAGTATCAGATTCGAGCTTGATTGCATTGCAGATAAACTTTGCTTCCTCCACAGTTGTCTTAAAATGTTTCAGTGAAATATTTTTCTGAAGAGGTATATCACCGAAATTGAACAACGTCCTTAGTTATATGAGGGCTTGCCATGAAATCTTAAATAAGTTTTAGCAGGAACAACGCTTATGGACAATGGACATTCCATTATGATCTTAAATGGTAAAATGAAAATGTATAATTGGTAACAAAAATTTGTAACGAAACGAAATTCGCATTTCGTCCTCCATGCTATTGGTATTGTATGTACTTTATGTTATTGATTAGGTAAATTGTTTTTGTTTATATAGAATTAGGTTTTAAGCATTACGTTGTCAATCTTTTTCGGAGACCCCTAGAACATGCACATGAATATTTTTTGTACCTGTAAATTCTGCTTTAAGGAAATGCCTACTGTGACATGTATTCGGTTGAATCTGCCATCGAAGCCGCAATTTTTTATCACTTTGAACCCGATATTTTTTAGTTGTCTACAAAATACTGGTTCGCACAAATAAAAGTGCATGCTCTGAAAATACTATTTTCAGTAGATAATACAGTGAATTAAGACGCATATTGACGGCAAAATTCTAATAAGGACGTTGCCAGAAGATATCCATATACGTGTAGACCAGGCCTTTGTTTTCCATTCTCTCTTGAGTGAGGAGTATCAATGAAATTTTATCTTTAAAGGTCTCAAGAGGAGCGATTGGTGCTGAAGACGGTCTTGTATTTGTCGTTGATTCCCTCGAAGTGTAAGTTCTCTTTTCCCTCAACATTCTCTAACTTTCCAAAAGTCATTTCTCTAACACTTGCAGTTTTCTGTCGAATACTACCTCAGGCATCTCTTGCTGAAGAATCTGTCCTCAAAATTTGCACATTCTATTGAAGCTAGCAAATGTAAGTTATACCAACAAACAAAAACTATAAGGAACAAATTTCGTTATGTCTACGGTAGATTGTCATTAGACGGACGTGGAATGAAGATTGTAGAAAATAATTGATGGGTTTTTTTATTCATAAGTTATGACAATACTAGATCAAAAAAATAACTCTTAAAGGCAACGAGTAGGCTTGATCAGTAAAACCAGAAGCTTGAGTTTCGGCAAGCAAGTGAGGATTTGTAAGGAAAATAATGTTTGGACATGTTTTATAATTATTCTCTCGTTGACAGAAAACCATTGTCCAAAAAGGAGAAGGAGGAGAATGCAGAAGAAGACAAGTTTGAAAGGCTCAAAGATTATAATTCGTGGACGAGTGCTGATTACAAAGAGCTATGCTCTAAGTAAGTAGAATGATCTTGTTGTAATATCGATAGCAAGCATTTTTACAACGAGATTTCTTTGGTAAAAATAACCTATTTAGAATCATTTTGTAGAGAAGCTTTAGAGTCTTGTAAGAAAAAATACTTTACATATATACGAATTAGCCAGACACTTTCATGATAATTTCTCATCACTCAAGATGCTTAATTATTTGAGATCATGGCAATCACTCGTACCGTATGTGTGCGTTTTTAGTGTCTTCCAGTTAAGGGATTTGAAAGGCACAAAGCTTCATATACGTTTGTTTATCATAGATCACTGTAGTTTACAATCGTTTACCAGAGGTTACCATTGTGCAATTATTTAATCTCTTTTGCAATGTGATTTTAGTGCAGTTAACCTATATACAGAAAATCTGAGTGGTTAAATTTTATTATTTCAAGTGCATCTGCCTTTTAGGATAAAAAATGGTTACAAACCAAAGGAAGAGGATCCTGTCGCATATTTCAGTTTTGATAAAGACTGGTGAGTAGATTTTAATAATTATAGAATGTAAATAATAAGGTTGCAATATATAAATTTAATAGCAATCTTGGAAATTGTCATTTTTCTTCCGTGTCCATTTAAAATGCTGAAGATGATATCTTCGAATAAGAGAAATTACCTAAAATAAAAAACATCTTGCTTTCAGAGGAATATCAGGATCCCAAATCCCGTGAAAAGCTCACGTGGTGTTTGATGTCATATGAAGTTTAATTAAGACGAGCAATGCAATCTTTTCGTTTAGGAAAATAGAAAATTCTGTCTGTTTATCAGTTAATTGCAATTTTGGCTGATTAATGAAGTTAAGCTTTTATAAGTTTCATCTACTCGCACAGTCAATTTAGAATGATCGCCAAGCCACACCGCAAAGCTGTGCTATTAGAGTATTTGCAGAATGTGTGTTATCTCATAAGATTGCATCAAAAAGAATTTATCCATATGTTAAAAGTATTTGTTTCTCAAAGACATTTCCTTTTTTCCTGGCTTCTTACAACTGTGTCCCTTAGACAGGAGGCTTTCCTCTCAAACCATAGAATTTTGTTGTAATTGTCTTTTGTAATTGAATTGTCGTTTGTTGAGCTAATAGAACAAAACAACTGATTTATGTCAATCCATGCTAATTAATGCTAATTATTTTTTAAGGGATGACACGGAGTTTCAGATGGATAGAATGAAAGCTGGGCGGGTATGTAAAACAAAAACACTGATACTTAAATGTGACGATTTGATTAATAGATATGCTATTGACCCAAGGGCTTAAAAGGTTGTGAACATTCGTATAAAAAGTGACTCAATGTCCTCTTTTAATAGTACATTCAGAACTTGTTATTATGATGGAAAGTGAATTTAAGAAGTGAAGCAAAGTATGTTGTTAGTAATTTTTAACTGAGATTGTGATAGAGGCTGAATGTGGAGATTTTCTGCAATACTTCAATTTGTCACATCGCTTCCTAAATACATATTCGGTCTTCTTAATCCGTAAGCAGCGAATTAAAGTAAAGATCGATTTCTTTAGGGATGTTGATGCAATCTCAATCACTCATACAGCATTTAACTTCACATTGCACTATGAGTAAACAAGGTTGCCATATTAAAGTAAAATTGTTTTGCCACTTTGATATTTGTTTGGCAAATGTCAAATCAAAACGAATTCAACATTATTTAGTGCTCTCGTCTGTTGTTAGTATATTTGCTACTTGATTTGCAAGTTAGTTCCCAAAGTTAAGGATTCAGTATTTGAGAATTAATGATAAAATTTTTACTGTTTGATAATCAAAACTTTTTGTGGTAGAAGGTCTAATGAATTTATTGCTTCTGCTATAGGATTGCTTTAATATTTTGCAATGCTATTCATCATAATTGAGTGCCTGTTAACATTTTCCTTGTAGTTCATTGTGATAAAATTTTTACGAACCCGGCAAGAATCTGCTGAACGAATGGGAGTTTCTTGCATCAATCTGCATGGGTATGAAGTGAACGAAGCCCATTTGGGGTTCAAGCAATTAGTGGTAAGGTCGCCTCTGTTTATATTCAACTATGTGTCCTTTGAGTTTTACTCATTAATGCTCTGCAGGGTCCCTATTGACAATATAAAGTAGAATCTATTGTCTCTATAAAACAGAAGTCTCCAATATGAAGCATTAGATCTTTGCGATTTTAAAAGGTCTTCTGGAACTTAAAAGGTCCTTCCATCTAGCAGTTTTGGAGTCGATCTACATAAAAACGAAAAAGCCGTCATTGTGTAGACAGAAGGAGTTCGTTTTCTCTCTTGGACTCCATTGGTAATTTTTCTTTAGGCTCGCGGCACTGATTGGTCAACTATACCGGTCTTGTGCTTGCGTTTTTCTGATTGGCCTATTTCGATCCACAACTGGGTATATATTTTCCATCGTGTTCTTTCTGAACCTTATTCTGACGTTTTATGCTCTGTGGAGTGTCAGACGAAAAAGCTTTTAGTATGTCGTAAAATATTTGCTTTTTTCAAAGCCATTTTCAAATTCTGTACCGCAATAAATTGTTAAAAGGTCTTCTTGCACTTAAAAGGTCTACCATGTCATAAATATGTCTGTTATTCTGATTGCTCGCTAAAAGTGATTCGGTCAACAAAGTGTAAATTTTAGACAACCAAGGTCTAATATCTCTGTTCTTTGTGTCAAAAATTACTGGACTTCCCAGCTCCTAGACAAAATACTGACAGACATAGCAACTGAAAAGGTTGATATCAGAGTTGTGGCTGCCTTTGACCTTTTCTGAGGTTATCCACTTCAGTCACAACGTTTGTACCCGCTAGTATAGTAACAGACAGTGATATTTTTTCTTCTGTTTAAAGGAAAAACATACACCACTGCCTGAAAATATCCACGAAAAAGTTTCCGGAAGACTTCTATTCCTTCATATATTGAGATTTTTGGATGCCATGGCTGCAGATACGGTAGGTTCTCACAAATGAAATCAAATGACAATTTTTCTTACAGCGTCAATTTCAATTTCATTTTAACAACGAATTTATAAAAATTACATATTCTACATGCTGCGAATAATTTAATTGTTCAAAAATAACTATTCAGAGTAACTGGGTACTCCAGACAGGGAAGAGCAGGAGATCGTCTTAATAGAAACCACAGGGGGCTGGTGAACTAAGTGTCCCTTAGAGAAGTGAAAAAGCCTGCACATGTTTTACAACAGTTTAGAGTTAAAGGTTTCCCATACTGCTACAGTTAAAAAATAATTTTTGTATGTTTAGAAAGTTTCTCTATCTGCCTTTGTTGTGTTACTGAAAGCAAGAAAATTTCAATGAATCTTAAAGAATTTAGTCTTATAAAATTCTCCTCTCATAAGTAAGTGGTGGTCAGTGGTTTAGTGCTATCAAAATAACAAGGTGGACTCTTGCACAAAATGTTGCAAAAAACCATAGCAAAAGTAGAAATTTGCCACTTTTTGGCATTAACAAAGGGGACTAAGCCCCCCCTGAGCCCCCCTGAGCCCCCTGAGCCCCCCTGAGCCCTCCAGAGCCCCCTAGCTCTACACCCCTGGTGGTGGTTAATTATCAGATCGAATAACACTCTGTTTATTTATGAGCGACTACCTGCGATATTTGCTTTCCTATTACTGCCTTTCAGACTTCGTGTGGTGATTTTCGTCTTATAATTTCCCTTCTTTGTTCGCCCTACAGTTAAGCGTCAGAGCTCAGAACCAAAAAGAACAACTCATTGTTGAAAAAGTGAGTGCTTTTATCAACTTGGTTATGTAAACTTTCAGCATATTGCCTATCAAAAGAATCTGAAGTTTTAAATCGATTTAGAAACTTTTTAACTATTCCGATGAAAGAACAGTCCCTGAGATATTATCGATGAAGTCGCATCTTCCAATGAGCATTTTTATTTGTTTAATCTGATCACAAATAATGCTAGGTTCGAAAAATGAGCCGTTTCAAAGCATACCTAGATTGAACTGAACAACATAAACAAATGAGATTTGCATGAACGGAGTAATTTTATCTCTAAGGTATGTCGATGGGTGATGTATTCTTTGCATATGCTGTTTTTTTGCACTAGACCATAGCAGTATGCGCTGCAAGATATTCACGAAAATTTAGCATTTTTTGAACGAAACAACATTAGATTTGACACCAGTTTCCCTATTCAACAATTGTAATCATAACTATAGGTTTTATCGATAGTGTCATATGTTTGCTCCTTCGCAGGACTCTCTTCTCGATATTAGTGACGCCTCGATGCAGCGAATTTGGTCATTGTACAAACTGGCATCAACTAGGTGAGGTATTTTTAGCAAGATGTTTGTATTTAGAACCGAACAACAAGCAAAAGCATTTCAAATATTGGCATCGGTGAAAGACTAAATATAATATCAAAATTCTAATGTTATATAAGCATTATGTGTATTGTTTTGGTGATCTGAGATACTCCAATCCTAGCAACACCAATTTTGTTTGAAATGCCGTGGAAACTCTGTAATAGCACGGACAGTGTAAACTTGCCGGCTATCCGCACTAATTGTTGTGTGTATCTAAATATTATAATCGACACTGCTAACATAATCTAAAAGTAATCAGTTGTTATTGAAGGAAAAAAGATCTGCTAAGTTATAAATAATTCTTCGTTGGTGTCAGAAATCTTGTCTACATGGTGCAATATTTAGCTTTGGCTGCTGGCCCGAATCCCCCTTTCCCTGCAAATATCTGATGCTTTTCTCTCTTTAACAGGGGCTTCGAAACTGAATACGTTGCCGTTGCTTGCTCGTTGATTCTGAGCGTGTTTCATGTCACGCTACCAAGCATGAAAGCAAGCAGTCATCAGCAAAAGGACACTTCCAGGTCAAGCTCACGTTCGGAAGCCAGCACCGAGAACGTATGATCATTTTTGTTCAATAATTCTTTGAATCATCGTGGAATTCTAAACACTATTTGCATTGTAACATTTACTTTGATCCGCTATATTCACCAATTCGGAGGCATACTGATCACTTCTATTTGCCACTATAACACAAGCATAGTGCAATTTATTATAGCTTGTTTGGCTAGGCAATCAGTCACTAAATAACTGAGCATGCAATAAGAAAACTTTGGCCAGTTGTAATGCTTATGACTGACAAAAGGTCAATAAGCAAAAGCAAAACAAGCTGTCGTATATTGCATTTATAATGAGAACAAGAATGAAGACAAGAATAAGACCGTAATAAAAAAGGAGCTAATGAAGAACCTTGTGTTACAACAAAGCAAAATTGCAAGGCGTAGAAGAAAGAAAGTGTACGTCCGCGAAAGATTATTTCAGAGTGAAACAGATGCCGTCCATTTATGACATTGGCTATTGATTTTTTCATTCTAAAGTTTTTAATGAGAATTAAAGTCGACCCATGTCGCATTGACAGCCCAAACAATTATCTAGTGATTTCCTATTTCATTCTTTGGTTATTTTAGATTCTAGTTTAGTGTGTAAGATTTTTAAGGAAGGCGTTCCTTATCAACTATCCTACCTCTATTCGAAAAATTTCCATTTAATAGCACAGAACTTCAGTTAAAAATTTCTTTCTCTCTATCGATACTTGCCTGTCTTTTTTTGTCATGATCTTTGTCAAGTAAATTTTATTGTCATAAATTTTTTTTCGCAGGCTGGACAGCCCTGTGCAGAAGTTTTCCAGTACCTTTGCGATTTAGTGGACGATGGCAAGGGGCCAGCTAGCATCCTAAAGATTGCTCAGGGCATCATTTTAGACGGTGTGTTTGATTTTACAATTATTGGCGCTTGTACTTGTAAACTTGTACCACAGAGAGAGTCAAATCGGTAGCACGTCATACGTCATCTTGAAGAGATCGAGCGTTTTGGTAGCAATTCTTTCGTGGGCTAAACAATTCGAATTGTTTTTATGTTTTATGATATAAATGTTTTTTGACAATATTAGCTTTTTGAAATGCTGTAACAATTTTGACCTTGATTGGGCTTCTTTGTGATCTTTTAAATTTGCTGAACATAAAATGGTGTCATTTTGGCCATCCGATCAAGTTCTTTGCCAAAGTGAAAAACCTTCCTATCAAAATATTTATAATTTCAAATCCCACCATGAAGTATATGCCACCGTTTCACAAGTTTTGTTTCTTCTCTTTCTCTAGGCGCAGAGATATTTTTCCCAGATGCCCAAGCAAGACGCGAGCATCTTCTGTCCTTGGTCGACCAGGTTATGGAAGAGAAAAAAGCCGTTTCCGTTGGCTACACCTTCGAGTCCTTGTGTCGGTTTTTCAGCAATAGGGATTCAAGTGGCCTGCTCGGTTTGCCAGATAATTTACCATCCGTGAGTGTCATTTTTAAACCTCTAAATACAATTTCTAATCATCATTTCAATTCGTTGATTCATCCAACATTCCTCTTCGACTCGAAAAAGCAGCTTGATCTAAAAAAGATTGAATTATTAAACACATGGGGGCGAATTAAGAACTTATCTGAGATCTTAATCAGAAGTCTCAATCAGATCTAAGTCTTTATCATGCCTCGATCAAAAGTCGTATTCTTGGAAATGGAGAAGGTGTAACTTACTGAACGCTTAAAATATGAATATTTTCATGTTTGAGAAATTTGTCTTGTGGAAGATTGAACACGTTTCTAGACTCCGCAAAAAGGAAGAATTCTAGGATAATGGTGACACAATGGGAATAGACTAACCTTTGATTCTCACAGTCTGAAAACTTCCTGTGAAACGGTTGTCATAAATTGGTCAAGAAGAAGCTAATATTTTCTTTTTCATATTTTAAATGTTATGTTTATGTTTTTGTAAATTTTTTTTCTTTCTAGGCTGATTTTGATAAGAATTCGGTTGTTTACGTCATGCAAACCCTGGTGTCGGTCGCCTTCAGAGAGGTACTTTAGTTTTAATTGCCATTATGCGTCCAATCGGCACGTTAGCTGCAAATGCTGCCAGCTTTAGGATAAGCGATACAGTCCCTGAAAATGTTGTTGATTAAAAGTTAAACCCGTAAATGAAAATGCTCAAAATTTGAAAAGAGAAGAGGCTGAGATTCAAGCATCGTTCCTAGCAATTTTGCTGGCTATGAGATATTTTTTTAGGGTGCCAAGAGATATTTTGCCAATACCTTTCTAAAAAACAAAAATTTTACCACATATTAAGTAAAAGCTTTATTGTTTAGTTAATATGTTGTAAAATGTTTGCTTTTTTGCAAGTTCTGTACCGCCAAAAACTGCTTACAATACCTTTCTGGTTACCTTTGTTTTGTTTACAATGGAAAATTGTAATGAATGAAGACCTGGTTTCATCCTATGAATACCTCTTATCTTCCTATCAAGACCTCATATAACTGTTTCCCATCCTAGTGCATTGTACGAATCTCAAAGGACGAGATGTCTGATCGACCAACCAATCTGGTTCAACTTCTCTGTGCCATGCAGAAAAGTCTTCTCAACTGGTGTCATACGCATTGTGGAAGTAAAAATGAAGAAGCGCAGAATGTTGCCAATTATATCGTTCTTGAATGTAAGTGTAATTCAACTGGGGCGGTTTTGTAGAATTATTTCTTGGGACTAATTTATAGATTTGGACCATGTTTCAATTTTGTAAACATAACATATTTTCCTTCAAATTCAATATTCTGATACCAGGAAACAAGTACGAACTTCCCTAAACTTTTTTCCTTCGTAACATGAAGGGTTATTCGTATTAAGATCTAGAAGTGAAGCTATTTTTAAGAAAATCTTTCTCACTTTGCATGGTTAAACATAACTACCGGAATTCATCACGACCACATTTGATTAGCGTTTGAATTTCCTCCAATACGTGTTAATTGCTTGCATTGTTGTCAGTAAAAAGTTGTATACCATACCAAAAGAAGACTATATCAACTGACCATATGTTCTGTAAGAATCATGCTCAGAAGCATTTCTAAACAACAATCAACAATCAAATATTTTACTACTCGCCTTTTTTCTTCAATGTTAAGTTATTTCTGAAATCAATCATTTCAATTTTCCTGAAACCTAGAGACGTAGGTCGTTGTCGTTTCTTTAGCCATCTCATATTTCATCTCATATACTCTTTTTCAGATGTCAAATTAATGTCTTGCAAATGTGAAATGGTGCTGCAGAAATTGGATAAGATTGAAAACATGGTACGTGGAATAGACTTGCTTTTGTTTTTCTGCTATGTCTGGATACATTTTGCAGCCATGAGTGTCTTTGTCAAGGACTATGGCATCTGGTTGTATTCATACCAATATCCTGGACCGAACTGTGTCTAGGTACTTTCAACTTCCCAAAAATTGAATTTGTCAGACCAGCAGATTATCTTCTACTTTGGTGAAACTTGTACTATTCCGATAAAGCCAACACATTTGAAAATCGAAGCCTACATTTTACTTTGAAATCAGCGCCTTTTCCAGTTAAACGTCTTCGATGACTATTAGTTGGTTTTAAGATGTTGCAAGATCACAGTTAACGTATTTGAATCGAATGGTTGTCCTAATCTCTTTTCTTTTCGCATTTTCCCATCGATTATTGTTTTCATGTTTTTCCCCAGCCGCTTCAGGGTGCTAATGAATGCTTCTGTTTTCAGACAAGAGTTATCGATCGCCTCGAACACACTTTCATATCTGCAGCCATGAGGCAGTTGGTGAGTTAATTTACTTTCCACAGAATCCGAACTGAAAGCACTTTCATCTGCCAATCTTAAAAAAACATATTACATAATAACATATAGTCTTTAATCACAATTAGCGACTGAGAAGTCCTATCCTACTTATCCGCTTAGACTCCACATTACCAGTCGACGGTCTCTTGGCGACTATCAAGAGGATCTAAGAATTGTTTCATCATTCTTGATGTTTTCTTTAATTAAGTCAAAAGTCTTTTCCTTTGTGTGAAGTGAAGCTTTTCCTGAATGTCTGCGTTGGTTTGCTTTTGTAGGTCCTGTTCTTAAACTTGTTTAGCACGATGGATCTGCCGAGTGTCAAGCTCCTTAATACGCTGCAGAGTATGGACATGGAACTGAAGAAGGTCTCTCAGCAAGTTCCTGAACTGTTCCACCAGTCAACGACTGATGAATGGAGCGACAAACAGGAGAACGTTACACTTCGCACATGGGATGTCGAGTCAAGACACAATTACGACAACAATTTGCGTGTTGTAATGGTATGTCAAAAGCTAGTTTTAATGTTTTCGACGTACACGCGTAGACGCTCACAATCTTCTTTATATGCAACCACTATAATTCCTCTGTACTAAGATTATCGTCTTCCCTGATGCCTCCTAGCCAACGCAATGCTCTCTTCATTAAAGAAACATAGAAACATACACTATTTTAAGCTATTTTCACATAGGTACAAATCTTGTTAACAGAATCACTTTTTGCGATTCTGTTTGTGTTTTTCTTTTTTAATGCTTGTCGCGTGTATTATCCCGCATATGTGAATTCTTGCATGTGAAATGTCAGTTCATGGTTCATTTCACACAATCCTCAATTTATTATTTTATTGTTTTTGTTGGTGTTTTTCAGTTGTTCAAATAACATACTTCATTGGTAAATAAGCATGTTCATGAATTTCTTCTTCTTGAAGGTTTTCAGTTGCCCTGGATGCACGGAGTTCAAAGTTGAATTTGATCCAAGATGTGAGACAGAGAGAAGGTGGGCTCTCCACATTCAACACAAACTGCGTTCTCAATGCAGCTCATATAATGAATCGATAGTTTCACAGTTGCTTTTTTTAAATAAACAGCTCATGGAAGCTCAGTTTTCCCATCTTTGCGTTTTAACTTTAGCTCTGAGTTTTAGCTATAAATTGGAACGTAATTTTTGTGATTTATGTCATAGAATGTAATCAATCGATCGTCTTTAAGGAATATCATTTATTCATTTTGTATTTTTTATCCTTTTTCAAAGCAAAAGAGATAGCTAAGAAAAACGTACATATATGGAAAAAATAAACACTGTAGTTTTCCAATCGGCCTTGCTTAACCTCAGGCTCAAGGCTGTTCCAATTTGGAACTTGCAAAGATGAATGCCGCATTATGTACTTTCTCTCCATTAAACCTTTAGTAAGATGAGCTTGTTAGACAGTGTCGTGCGAGGAATTTTTTAAAAAGATATTAGAAAGATTCACTGGCGGAAGACCATTTATTGATTAGTATTCAGTACCACTGTCTCATTTTGATCATTTCACAGCTATATTTGACTACCTTTTCTGTATCATGATTTGTAATAGCAAGCCTTCAAAGCTTCAAAGCTTCAAAGCTTCAAAGCTTCAAAGCTTTATATTTTAAACAATGTCAAAGTGTTACCGATTTTTTTAAAATGTAAAATCAAGTTCTGTTTAGCAGTACAATAATCGGATAAACATGAATATTGTTTATATTTTTAATGCCAAGAGCTGATTCTCATCCCGTTTTTCATCATAGATACGACTATTTAGAATTCACTGATTCCAAGGATCAGAAAAGGAAGTTCGATCAAAAAGTCGGAACGTCCGAATGGCCACAGGTACTAGCAAAAAATATGTCGTGAAAAGAGCATTTCTCTTTTCTGTTTGTCATTTATCCCAAGTATAAGCAGTACAGCACAGTATACTTCATGCTTCCATCACTGCATTTCGCCATACTTCCGTTCTTTAGCACAACAATTTACTGTAAAAGGTGGAGAAGTTGCCTTTGTTTTAACAATTTTCCTTTTGTAAACAATACTTGAGGACTCTAACTGAGATTTCTTAAGCAGCAGTTTTCTTATAGGAATTAAAAGTTGCACTGAACTCCCTTGTTTTTTTACAAATATCGTGTTTCGTATAAAGATATTATATTTGATCGAGAATTGTGCATTCTGTTTGTGCTTTTCCTGTTATTCAGTCTGTAGAAAGCAGTGGCGTGATGACGTCATAAGAATGCTTGTTTGGCATTTTCAATTATGAAGATACAGTCCGAAAGAAAGTTGTATTAATTAGTCTTACCGGTGTAGAAAAGCCAGCTGTAGCGAAAAAATGGGCTGAAATATCACATGTTGAACCAACATGACACAAAATTATCTTCTGTTTACAGTTTGTAAACTAACGTTATAAGTATTATTTTCTAGGTGGTTGAATTCAAAGCAGGCCAGAAGCTTCACTTTCTGTTTCATTCGGACGGTAGCAACAATGAGTGGGGATACAAATTTAAGGTGTGTTGACTAATTTCGCATTCCTCGAGGCTACGCAAATCAACTTGACACAAAAGATATTTCATTTTACCAGCTCGAAAATGAGCTTACACCATTTCGCTTTTTTAAAACTTTTTTTGAGCCATGTCAAAGTGTTTAGATTTCTGAAAGTCTGCTGCAATCCTTTCCAAAGGTTTTAGTACATAACATTAAATATTTGAGAATTTTCCATTGCATCCCGCTCTCCGAACAATGTTTTTATTTGTCTAATTTATCCCTGTCCGATAGCAATGATATTTAACATTGCAACCAACATTTTTTCGGGTGAATGGGTGCGGCCTTTTTTACCGGAAACTGTTAATTTTGACAGGGATTGTACTGTGTCCTTTACCCTGTCTTCTGACATAAAGTGCCTCGACTTTGCATGGGTGCAATGTTGTATAGTCCTCACGATACGTTGATATTCTGACACATATGGGCCTCCTTTAGTAAAAAAGACCTCCAATTCGGTTATACATCACGTCACATTTGAGAAAACACACACGTTGAAATAGCATTCACATTTTCAATCTTCGTCTCTTTCTCAAAGGTTTCTGCAATTGGTCGCCCAGACATCAATGTTTCATGGATATTTGATTTGCAGTTGAACATATCTAGGCTGTTTGGAATCCTGTGTAGCAATGCCATTGACTGCAGAAAAGGTACTGTATTTTGTGTTAAACGAATTATTTGGGGTCCTTCTTTGTTCCCTAATAATGAAACTCGATTATGCGATGGTCGATTTTGTCATACTTATTAGTCGTAAAACTTTGGGCTGTATTGTAAAGCAAAATCTTTTGTGCTTTCTGAAATCAATTTTTTAATCTAGAGTTTGTTAGTAATGACTAGGGTCGTTCGAGAAAAGTGGGCACTATCCCATAAGCTCTAGAAAATGCAGTTTTGAGAGAATGGGAACTTTTTAAGTTTGGGAGCATGTGCACTTGATGAATGATTCACTGTCTCTAAACTTACTTAAATAATCACACATCAACATTTTCCTGACGATATTGTATATTGAATTGAATTATTATTGTGTAAGAGTGTTTTAGTAACAGTGCCACAATAATTTTCACTGGGAAGTGCTTGTTAATTGTAAGGAAAAAGACTGTTCTCAACCTAGCCACTGGGAGTTTTTCTTTGAAGGAATCCGTAATTTTTGAGCTTATGACCCTTTTAAGATGTTCAAAGTTTTATAAAGCTTCTTGATATTTTTCTTTAGTTAAATATTTACCAAATTGCTATACTGCATCATTTCAAATGATTCCCTACTTTCCCTTCGCAGCCGTGGAAACACAGTCAGAGAAGGCAAAAAAAGGAGAGATTAGGCTCCTTCACAACGAGTTGTGGTCATCCCTATTCAGAGGTGGATACCGTGTTGGCAAGCTTCAGAGATCCCTTTCTGGTTACTATGTAAGATTGCCATCTCAAATACAACTTAAAACTAAACCAGTACCTCTTTAATTAACTTAGCAAGGGGTCAGAAAAAACCCATATCCGATGCAAACGTTTATTTATGCTTTTTTTTTACTTTTTGTTAAAAAAGTTTCCCTAAAATCAACCTCCATTAGAGTCCCTTGATTTTCTTTAAATGCCCTCATCTATTGCTCTAAATTCCAAGTCACCTTATTAACCGATTTCTTTTTGCAAATTCAACTTCATTTGTTGCCTTTCCATTTTCTTTTTCACTCTTGTAGCCGAATTTCTCTCGATGGAATGATACAAAAGATATTGTTTAAGTTTTTTTGTCAATTTTTTTATCAATAACTGTGCTTCTTTAAATAGAAGTATACTTTTTCTGTGAAACATAATTGCATCCCTCATCAGTTTGTGTAACACCGTTTGCATTCCTTAGGGTGCCAGCCCAGCTGATTCAGATGTAAATGGATTTCTTGTTAAACTGGTAGCTTCAGGTGATGAGAAATCGAAAGCACTCATTCAAAGGTTAGTACTCTTATGCTTGCTTACTCTTTGTCAAAAATGGCCACGTGAGAAAGACGGTTGCTTGATCTACATCGTCAATCCCCTTTATTAGGCCACTCATTCAAAATTTTCATCTTTGCTTATTCATTTTAAGAATCTTTTTTATTTCAAATATAATGATGTAGACCAGTTGTCTTGAAGTGTTGTTTCCCCTGTTTCTGAATGAATGTTTATAAACTGAAGCGTGGACTTAGATATATCTTCTGAAACGTGAAACTGACCGTAAACATCGAATAAAACTGAGGCAGTTTGCAGCTTTGAACGTTGCTATATGGACCTACCTTCCGTATTCTAAACTCGTTAAATCTCCATCCTTAATGGGCGTAGAGGATGGAAAGGGTGACTTTAACTCGGAAATAATTTTAATATGGTGGATACCGTTTTAAGATTTGTCTAAACATCATGTAACAGCACTTATATTTTTTTCATCGATGCATCAACAGCAGTGATCCCAAACCGCAACAACGGATCGACAACAACGCATTTTATGACTAAAGCGTTTCAGTATCTCTCAAATTTTCAATTTCAAACCAAAATAATGATACCCAAGGCAGATTATGATGCCACCGAAGAATTGACGGCAGCTCTTGTGTAATCATGCAGTGTCCATTATGTGGAACCTTTTCCCAATCTTGACTCCCTTTTCCGCATGGCATAATGGTGTATGTTTGTACAAAATGTTGGGCTTTTATTGCCTCACTTTTGAGCAACCATTTATCTCGAATGCTAAGTTCTCTCGCCTGCACACCTTCCAAGCCTTTCTAGGAATGACCTAAAAATGCTGTCTGCCTCGTTTCAGATTCAGAGCATCGCGCACGGGACACTATCTGGGTGGAGCAGCCATGGATGAGGCCGTGCATTCTGTGTTTGCAGCCTGTGTTTGGCACACGCAAGAGATGAGAGAACAGATATCATCGTATGGTGAGGCAGTATACCTTGTTTTGATTTATATCAAGCTGTGCGGTGTTAATGATACCGGGGCATACAGTAAGCGTGTGATCACCCATGCAGTAGCTAATACAACACAAGAATAGCAATGCGATTGAATTTGGAAGTGAGAAAATTGGATGTAGACTCTGCATGTTTAAGATAAATCTATCCAACTTTTACATTCCATTTTACATTTATGGAGCTATATTTTTGTTATGAAGTTACTTGTTCCCACTTTGTTTTAATTGTCTGATTTTAGAAAATATATTATTTGTGAAAAGATTTTCAGAACTAACTTTTTATCGATTTTAACTTCTATATGGATAGGTATTTTATCCGCTGAAATTGAGATGCAGTCTTATAGCAAAACTCACAGTCTTATAGCAAAATTCACAATTCTTGTCATCAGCAGAATTTCCTTAAACAGCCGAACAGTTTTTTCTTAATGCTGAAGACATCAACTTTCTGCAGGCTGTGAGTTCTCTTAGGCTGAAAGTACAATCCATTTGTATGCGTTTTTATAGTTTAGCTACTGGCCTGAGTTTGTGTTTAATACATTACTCTTTTTTATCAGTAAATGGAGAGTTACCCGCTGAAATTCCCTCATGCCTCATGGCCGCTTTCACTGCAGCTGAGGGTATACGAAGACTCCTGGTTAGTGACTTTTAATCTTTAACCCGTTTTGTTTTTCATTTAGACCTTTTAATGGTGAACTTGATTTGTATTTCATGCAAGACGATCCTTTTTGTTGATATTTCCTGGTTTTTATTATATGACTTAAAGTTTGTTTAGATGTACCTTCTTGGAATCTACCCAAGGCAATCTCAATCACTCGCACTGCATTCACAAATTGCATTGCAAGTAAACAAGATTGCAACAACAAAATCTATTTTGTCATCTTAGTGTTGCTTGTAACCTCACAATGACAAAATTTAGTGAACATTCACATCTTTCAAGTCAACCCCCTTTTTCTCCCCTTTTCTCTCCTTTTTCTCCCCTTTTCTCCCCTTTGCTCCCCTTTGCTCCCCTTTTTATCCCCATTTCCTCCCCCTTTCCTCCCTCTTTTCTCCCCTTTTCCTCCCTTCCTTTCCTCGTGCATCCCTCAGCTCTTGACATTGTAAACATCTGTCTGTCACTCTTTAAAACTATCCAGTTAACCCCCTTTTCCCCCTATTTCTCCCCTTTTCTCCCCTATTTCTCCCCTTTTTTCTGTTGCTGTTCTGTTGCTGCTTGTTAAGCTGTGTTTTCCCTACAATATATAATTGATTATTTAGTATCAACACTTATTTTGTAAAGAATAGATATCTTCACCTTCCGATTTTATGATTAATGAATCCGATACACCATCCTGTCAATCTTTTACTTTTCATTTGTAGACAGCGTAATGTATTAAAGTTTGTTGATAGATTGAGTTTCCTATTCTATCCTTTTGTAATTTAGTTCTTGTCCAGAGAAGCACAATTATTTCCTTCTAAAATTTATCGATTTTTACTGAAAGTTTTATAGTCCAGAGAGACACCGGGCACTTGCTTTTTCCACTGAGCCGTTTCATTCTTACGACTGTTATCATTTTGGCCTCTGAATAGCCCGAGGAATTATTGAAATAATTTCGCTTAATATTGCCACTAGGTATTCAATATTCGTAGAATATCTTATCTCTTATGCATTTGTTGTTTTTACGTAGTTGGAAGCACGACAGAAGTTATGTGTGTTGGCAGAAGATGTTAAAGAAGGTGATGGCGAGAAAGATGTTGAGATGGTAAACCCAGATGCGCCGAGTAAGAATCTCATGCGTATAGTCCTAATGTTAATCCGTGTCTCTTTGACGATTGGTAGAATTACCACCCGGAGAAGTACTATTCGACACTGTTTTCCTGTCTTCATTCCTAGGCTTCTTTTATCAATATTTCATCAATTCTTGGCTTCTTTTAAACTGCTTCATAACATTAACTATTGTCTCTAAGCCAAAATTTCTCGTACACTCTTGCACACCCGTGTTATGTGTTGTATTTTGCAGTTCATTCATGTAAAGAAAAGTCACTTTTTCTGCTCAAATTTGCTGGCCTATCAAAGCTGCCCAAGAAAATGAAAGATGTAAGTTGTTGCTCGGATTTAAAAACATAATTTTAAGCTTATTAAAAGTGTAGTTGTTATCGTCGTATTTCTATTTGTTTTCTCACGTTACCACGACCGCGAGTGGGATACGTGATGGCCCTGTTCTACGATTTTTCGCCTTTTCATTGCATTTCGAGGCATTTTCAGCTCAGTGATGTATATAGGGCTGCGTACCGTTTTAATACCTGGCGTTACAGTGTCCCGGAAACGAACCGCCTCTTCTTCAGTTCGAGACGGCCCTTATCTACGTTTATCAGCAAACCACCACCAGACGTAAACTGTGTTATTCAACGAAAAGGCTTTCCTGTAAGCATTGAGTATTTGATACCAGCAGTTGTCTGTTAATCTGTGATGCTATAAATAACGCTGCAGTCTTATTTTGCAGGGAGAGATTGGGATTCTTAGTCGTGCCAACTCATTACATCGCTCAAGATCATGGAACAAACATGACTCTTTGGAACATAAACATGTAAGCGAACTCCCTAACTACTAGGTTTAGCCAAGTAAATGTTTAATACATATAATGCCTCAGTTAACAAAACTTCCCTTGAAAGAATTTTCCAGTACAGTTGACGTCCGCTATCTTGAACTTTCAAAGAAAACTGGACTTTGTTCGGGATAACGAATATTGGAATCAACAGATGTCACATCAATATCCAAAAATTGCCAGTTTTCAAATTTTTTATAGAATTTTTTACTACTGAGATGCATTTTAGGCCAGTTCGGTTGAAAATTCGTAAAGCTAGAGATAGTGGGGCGTTTTGTCTACAAGGGAATATCGAAGGTTTTGAGACAGCAAATTTTCGAGATAGCGAGCATTCGAGATAGCGAATGACGAATCTATGTAAAATCTTATATCAGAAGGATGGAACATGGAGAATGTTCGAGATAGCACAAATGTTTGAGACATCGGGCAGTCAAGATAGAGAATGTTAAATAGAATGTCATTATATCAACGTTTCCTTTCTACCAGGAAATTGTCATAGAAATTTCAGCAAAGATATTAGGACGTGTTTGCAAGCTTAATGGCTATTTTCTATTGTACAGATATTGAATTTTTTAAGTAGATATTGAATTTGTTCTCAATATTTAAGTAGTTGCTTATATCTTCTATTCTTCTTTTTTCTATCTTTAAACCTTCTAGATTTTCTTTCTAGGCTTTTGATTTTTTTAAAAATAGTGACTCTAAGTCTTTTCCTCGTGCATCTCTCAGTTTTTGCCATTGTAAACATATGTCATTCTCTCTTAAAAACTATCCAGTCATCCTGGTTTTTATTATATGACTTGTAGTTTGTTTAGATGTACCTTCTTAGAATCTACCCAAGGCAATCTCAATCACTCGCACTGCATTCACAAATTGCATTGCAAGTAAACAAGATTGCAACAACAAAATCTATTTTGTCATCTTAGTGTTGCTTGTAACCTCACAATGACAAAATTTAGTGAACATTCACATCTTCCCAGTCAACCCCCTTTTCCTACCCTTTTCTCCCCCTTTTCTTCCCCTTTTCTCCCCCTTTTCTCCCCTTTTTCTTCCCTTTTCTCCCCTTTTTTTCCTTGTGCATCTCTCAGTTCTTGCCATTGAAAACATATGTCATTCTCTCTTGAAAACTATCCAGTCAACCCCCTTTATCTCTCCTTTTCTCCCCCTTTTCTCCCCTTTTTCTCCCCTTTTTCTCCCCTTTTTCTCCCCTTTTTCTCCTCCTTTTCTTCCCTTTTTCTCCCCCTTTTCTTCCCTTTTTCTCCCCTTTTTCTCCTATTTTTCTCCCCTTTTTCTGCCTTTTTCTCCCCTTTTTCTCCCCTATTTTTCCCCTATTTCTCCACTATTTTTCCCCTTTTTCTGTTGCTATTCTGCTTTGTTAAGCTGTGTTTCTACTAGACGCAGTTGAATGCCTAGTTACAGTAGTCTGCAAATTAACATGTATTATTAAAAGTAATTGATCTATATTTATCATTCTTCTGCATGTCTGTCATTTTTTCTTAAGAGTCGTTCAGCAAGCGATGACTTGTCAGTCTACGAAAGATATCCAGCGTTGAAAATGGTGACAGATTTTGTCACCAATGATGACTTCTCGTTACAAAGGTACAGTAATTCAGTGAGATATTTTAGGGATTTGTAAGTTGTTTTTCGACCTGTTTTACTTCCCCTTTCATGATTTGATCTTCTGAATTTTTGCTCGTAACATATTTCTTCACAAGCTACCCCTTTTCACCCTAGAATAAAAGACCTCCTGAAGCAGCGACACGAGTATGCAGACAATGTTTCATGTATATACTCATTCAGCAAAGATTTTCTACAGCAAGAAAAACCTTCCGAGGTCTTCTCAGTAAGTCATACATGTGTATTATCATTATAATGTTAAGCTTAAGAATGTGCATTAGCACCGCTTCATCTTTATCAATTACAGTTAAATCCTTGTTATAGCTTCCAGTTAGTGGATTGCAAGGCACAGTCTGTACAAGTCTTGAATTGAACAACCTTGTATAGGTGTTTTTTCATCCTTTTTAAATAAATCCAAATGAAGGAGATTTTAGGAAGAATCCTGTTTGAAAACTGTAAGGGTGACCAATTTGTTTTGGTCAAACTGGTTTACGTCTAGCTTAGCCAAATGAGCATAACGTTGTTAGATCGTATTTTTTTAGGATAACAAATTGTAGATACCTTAGGAGTTGGGAATGTCACAATCCCTAGTTTTAATTCAATTTTGCAATGATCCTTTATCAGAATGCTGATTACAGTTGAACAACTATTTGTGAATATGCATACATCTCCGTGAAATTGGCATACAGCATCTAGAATCCTTAATTAAGCTCTCACTGCATCTTAATTGTTGGTATTGAAACTGTCACATTTTCACAGCCTCACGTTATTCTGTTCCTCCAACAACTGCTACACTGCCAGCACAACTTCCCCAGGCACTACTGCGATTTCCTCAATGGATGTGGGCTTGAATACGAGAACAAAGTTCGAAAGCAATTTTATTTGTTCATCAGATACCTCAGCCAGGCAGTCATAATGGGAGCTGCCTCTGATAACGTCAGGTATTTCCAATCATAGATCTAGTTCTTACCTCTCTCACTTTAAATTCATGCGTATTGGAAGAAGGTTCAGGACCTGTGACTTAGAAAAACCTTTTTATATTATTTCTAACTATTCAATTATTTAAGTATTATAGAGATGCAATTATGACCCATGTACCTTCTTTTTACTGCTTGATTCAGAGGCTTGTTGAAAATTTTAATTTTTGGTAGAGACAATTGATGGCAAATAAATGAAAAAGGGAAATATATGACAGTGCTTACATCTAATATTTTAATCCTAAGTCGTTTATCAACCATATTCGATTTCTGATTTCTGATTTCTGATTTCTGATTTTTTATTTCAAATTTTGCTTCAGTTAACTAAACACTGTTTTGCACAAAGTAATTTTCTCGGTATTCATTTATATTCTAAGATAAAAGTTTCATGCCTTATTTAAAATTTCACTAAAACCTAACACAGATGTATCTAGAATTTATCGAAACTGGAGGATTCTTTATTCTAGTTATTGTATTAGTAGTATTCAGTAACTTTTATGCGATCTTCATTCCAACCAACAGTGCACCCTTCTTTGAAAGTTGCAGAGCTTTTTTACTTCATTTCTTGACCGTCGACTGGAAGGTAATCTTCAGTTTTTCAAATTTTGTTATTACTAGCATCCTATATGAGGGTAGAATGACTACCGAGGTCTTACTGAACTGAATCGTTTCTAAATTTGTGCACGTAAACGCCGTGAATGGATGGAAATGAGTTTTAATAAGAACAAGATTAGCAACCTGCTTTGTAAAGGAAAATTGTCACAAAAATGTATCTTATTTTGTCAACGTGATATAACTTAATGATAATATTGCTGTTTTTGTTTTCGCTCGGTATGTTCTGTGCCCGTAACCTTTTACAAATAAGAAGTTCTTTGATTTGGGCTTTCTCGAAGGAAAGATATGTGATCTACCGTTTTAAAAAAAGCTTCCAAAACAGAATTCACAATCAGCAGTGGACGCCAAGACAACATCTAGTAGCGAGCTGATCTTTGCTACCAGTTCTTGTGAGAATTCTTAGTGTGAAAATACTATATAGTTTACATTAACTGCTTTGCTTACGTTTTAGCCAAATGATTATGTATTTCTAATGGAAATCGAGCTGCCAAAGCTATTAATGGAAGCAACCAAAGGTAAGCGCAGTTGTCTGAAGCGCAGTTTTAATGATTTTCAATTTGTTTAGCTGGTTAGTGATTTGGTGATCGGTGATTAGAATCAATGATGATTTGAGTTGCCAGTTTTTGATTCTAACGGAATAGTTCATTTACCATGTTTGGCAATGATCTTTAGTTGCATTATCGTTAGCTGCTGATTTAATTTGAAGCGGCTACCATGCCCATTTTATGACAAGTTGTAGCCTTGACAAGTTGTAGGGATACCAATAGAAAGTTGTAGTCTTGACTTAAAGAACTATTGCTTTTCTATTGTGCTTTTTTGCACTTTTCGTTTCTTCATTCTACTAATTTATTCTTGACATCTCTAATGCCATTATGACATATTTTAGCCACTGCGTCACATCCTGGTGACAACATGGAGCGATTTGAACTCCAAATGCATGAGAGGCATCTTAATTATTTCAAAGAGGCGAAGTCCATGGATATCGATAAATGGTGCGAGAAGACCAGGGAGTCTGCACCAAGAGATGTGAAAAGAGTAAGTGCCTAAAAACAGTTTTCACCTTCAAAATACATATCTTAGCATTCGAAGTTTTGTTGTAGATGCTGTGGCTCATACCGTAAATTCCCGAATAAGACCCCAGCTGCTTATTTCTAAATGTAAATTTCTAGATTGTGTCTTAATCGAGGATTTATGCTAAAGCCTAGCGCACACTAGCGATTTTTGTCGCCAGCGATGGCGATTTTTGTCGCTGGCGACTAAATGTTTTCCCCCGCACACTTGCGATCTTTTCTGCCTCGGCCAATGATTTTTTGTCTTCACCTCATAATGAGCCTCGATAAAAATGACCAAAAATTAGTCGCCAGCGACAAAAATCGCCGTCGCGGGCGACAAAAATCGCTAGTGTGCGCTAGGCTTAACACTGTAAAGATCCGGATATGAGAACCTACCTATAAGAACTTGCAGGCTAAAAAGGGGTATTTAGGCCAAATAGGCACCTTTGTTACCCTTGCTACCAAAGAGGATTCTTATGCAGATGATTCTGAATAATTTTAGTTATTTGTTAGTGTAGATGTTAGTGGTGCAACAGGCCCAAAAGAAACATAAATTAAATTTGAAAACAAGGCTTGCGCTCCGTAATAATGCCGTAACTGACAACTTTAGAGGGCAAACAGGAAGCACTAAAGGTATTTGGAGCGTAGACCCTAATTTGCAAATGGATAGTCATTAAATGCGATCGACAGTGAACGAAGTGGCATGAGCCACAATTTCAGTCACAATTTGCCAATCAGTATGCATGATACCATCCAGACGCTGCTTGATTGGCTAATATTTGATCGACAGGTGGCTCAAGTCACTTTGGTATCTGTCGATTAGTTTTTAATAAGAACCACTAAGGTTAAACTTAAAGAATCTGCAGGCTCCTGCTGCAGTCAAGTGTTTTTTTATGTTGAAGATTGAACCCTGTTTTTTCGGGTTTGGCTGAAAGATGAAGACGGTTTTGTCAACACTGGCCAGTTCCGTTATACTTTTATAATTTCATCATTTATCTATTATTCTTGTAGGACATCAATCTGTTCATTGCAAGATTTTCAGAGCATCTCAATGTTCAAATCACGTGCGATGGTTGTGGGGAGAAGTTGTCTGGTCGCCGTTATCGTTGTCTCAATTGCATGGATATGGATTTATGTGCAAAGTGCTATGAAAGTAAGCGATTTTATCTTCCCGTGTAATTCATCTTGTATTTTAGATCTACAATAACATTATCATTTATTTCCAATGACCAACACTGAAGTTCTTCTTCTCTGTTTTGGTATCTCGTATATTTGAATATGCATTATTATAGAAGAATAAGTCGTGGAAGATGTAAGCTTGCTTTCCATCTCAGAAATGTATTGTCATAGCATTATATGCCTAAACCCCTGCTTACAACATAGCTATGCATCTTGAAGTTCGTATCCGTTATTTGTTGCATGTTCCTCTCTTGTTGTGGCTCATTAAGTTGAGATTGCAGTCTTATTCACATTGCATTGTGCAAACTTAAAAGTTTAAAGCTAGTTATTATTGTCCTTGCTAGATAACGAAAAGCCAGATGAGCATACGGAGGAGCATGAAATCATAGATCTACGGTATGAAAAACTAATTTTGATACTGCTTTTAAGAATGAAGTCAGTTAAGCCTTAATATTGTGAGTACCTGTGGGATTAGAGGAATTGTCACGTTTTCGATAATGTCCGCTGTTTAGAAGTGTCCGTTGTTTGGAAGTGTCCGTTATTGTTAGGTGTTAGTTAATGAATGTTTTGCTGAAGACAATGGACTGATCTGTTAGAATTCAATTAGAAAAACTGAACAGTTGATTGAGCAGTATCAGGTCTCTTTCGTGTTGTTGTTGTTGTTGTTTTCGTTTTTAGAATGATGTATGGCCTAACCCGCACATGGTTGCTGAAACTTTTTATTATCCACGTTAATCGTAAATATGAAGGAATATACAACTTTTTTGACATTAAAAGGTTTATAGATTGATAAAAAATCTATATCAATTTTGGTACCAAAATCTATTCTTTGCTGGCTTTTTGCTTCGTTTCCTTTTTTGACTGTGTCTATTTTCAATGTTCCACCCTCAGGTACGGATGTGACAATTGTCTCGCGTTTATAGTCGGCACTCGAATACACTGCAATGAATGCGTGGACTTCGACCTCTGCTTGGGTTGCTTCAAGAAGCAGGCTGGCTCTGGACAGTAAGTTTGACGCTTGTTTGATCTTTGTTACTCGTCAGTCAGAAATCATGGCTCTATCAGTATACAAATTCAAGGGCAAGGTCAGGGAATCAAAAAAACATACGAATTTGAAAATTTTGGCATAAGTTAATTTGCACATTCAGTTTCTGATAATCTTCTCAACCAGGATTTGACTTCGAGTATTGTTAATTGATAATTTCCTGTAACAAAGTCTTCAGTAACTGAACCTAGATGCAAATAGAATCTTGAATTTTATCTAGTTTTCGTTCGATTTTTATACTTCCGAGCAAATAGTGCTACCTTTTAATATTTCAGGCATCAGTTGACACACAGCAGTACAAAATTCACAATGAATCTAAGTAAGTTTATTCAATTTTTCGATAAACCTTTGCTTTTTTTCTTATATCTTACGCTGTATAGGATTTCAGCGCAACTCTTATTGTCGCTACAGCCTAATTTTAAAACATTCTACGGCTTTGGGAATACTTTACTTGCGTCTACACAAGACTGAGACATTGCAAAATATATACAGAAATGCATTTCAACCCTATGATAATGTGTACACCAGTTAGTTACTTATAATACGTCATTCTAAATATACTGTTATCACATAGATTGAGGTCCCTTTTGCAGGTGCTATTTATGCGAGACCTCAAGATGCTTGCTCGTTGAAGACTTATGTACACCACTATAGTTGGCTTATGTTTTCATCACTTGCGCTCTCGCTCTCAGAAAGTTTACAAGAACAGAAAACATCAGGTAAATCATAGACCATAATTTCTGAGTCCCTATTAGACGTACTTCAGTTATACGAGAAACTGCTAAGCTACATTTGTTTTTGGATGATTTTGAATGGGTGCACAGGATTCTGGATGGGTATCTCTTCATCCTTGCTTTGTGTGATTCATTCCTCTGCCCTAAAAACTGAAAAAGCCAGAAAAATTCTAATCAAGAAAATAAAGAAAACCTTAGAAAAGTATATCACCCTTAACATGTCACTAAATGCTTCATCCAGATATACAGATTTATGAACCTTCTCATTGCGATAATCTTCTAATACCTAAATGTTCTTTCTTCACTTTTTTCTTCGTTTTTTCCAACCTGTATAGGTTTGGATGCTGAGTACTCGAGAGCCGCTGCTGATCTTTTGTTGAGCTGTCTGAATGCCCTTGCCGATGTTTTGGATTCGGTCAAAATTGTCCCGGGTAAGTAGATGGCAATTTCCTCTTACTTGCCTTGAGTTCTTGGCTGTAGTTCCCATAATGTTTTTTCGCTGCCCTTCCTTCGTTGTTCTTCGCCACACTTCCTCCATGCTTGCATTACTTCCTCAATGAAAACGTTCTCTTGAGAAATCATTTCCAGCATCTGTTTTGTGAAATTAAAGTATTGTAAATCATGTGTAAATTGATACCAAATTATGGCAAAGTCAATTGAAAAAACAACTAGAACCTTCTTGATGAATTTTCACTCACTTTTGTGTAAAGCTGTTCTAACTGGCTTTAGCTCTAGGCTGTTTAATGTTTGTATCATCACATAACGGAGTTAACCACTTATCAACTCAGCTCTATCTTGCAAGCACTAATCACTCTACAAATACATAAAGAACAACACTTATTATCCCAGGTTATAATCGCTTCTGGTAACGCTCATCCCCCATTATATAGCTATAATCCGTAACCAAAAGTTGATCTAGGCTTGCAAATCTAAAAGATCGTTCCATGACCCAGTTTCGTTTTTATCTCGCCCTCGTTGTTCTTTTCCCATCCCATCGAAGTTTCCCATTAGCATAGTTTCCAATATTACCTTCGCTTCTAATTATATCTATTTAATTTAGTCTTCTGCCTTTTGTTTTCATATCAAACCTAACTTTTTCATTAAGACCCTGTGGAATCAAAAGACCAGGAGAAGACATTGCCAAAAGCAGAATCAAAGAAGGTGTTAGTAAGACAAAATGGATCAGATGAAGATCCGACAGTTGAAGAGACCCCATCAACAGACGTAAGTTGTTATTGTGTTGTTGTTGTTGCTTCCTCTTTCAAGGGAATTTGAAATGTAAGATTTAGTATTTAGCAAAAGACAATATTTTTTTCAATTACTTGGACACTAATGGTACTTACAAGTATAACTTAAGTCGACAACAGAGAATCTTCTTGTCTCATGTTATAGATGATTGCCTTATATCAATTTTTCTTTTGCTATTAAATAATTAAAGTTGTGGCATTATCTGGATAAGCTCGTCTTCGTCTTCTGTAAACATGTTTTATGTAAAGAGCCGCTGTGTCAAGAGCCTTCATTCTGGTGAAAGTACAAGCACTAAATTGGGGTATATCTCATCTATTGTGCTCAATTATCTTCAATGTTTACTAGGACAAAACAGAAGATGCCGTTGTAGATGGCGCTGTGAACGCGGAAGCAGCCAATGGCAGTACAGTGCCACAAGCTGACGTATCTAATGTTTCCATGGAAACCTCCTTCGAAGCGAAAACGGAAGATACCAAAGAAGACAAGAAGACTTGCGACAAAACTGTGCCTGATGCGGACTTATTCGCATCTGTTGCACAAGATAAGATTCTCGGCTCATTAGGTGCATTGATGCCTCCAAATCGCCAGGTATGAACTTCCCATGTTATATTTAATTCAGAACACCAAAAAGGCAATTTAACAAAATTACTCTGCATTGCAAATATCCAGTATAGAATGCGACTGGATTGAATTTCTATTAACTGTGATTGAAGTAAAGACCGAATCTTTCTGTATAAAGCGACTTTGAATTTCTCTCGTTTGTATACATTGTACATTGCATACTGTATATTGTATATTTCTAAATTGTATAGACAATTTACAATTTTTATCAAGCTACTGGAAAACTTCGATGAAAATGTTCCAAACAGTGAGTTAAACCTTTTTAACATGGCCAAAAGATTGTGTTTGATGTAAGAATTTGATACGGCCAGATTTTTTTTGGCTCGCAACTTTTGCATCGTATCTATGCCTTCTTAAAAGCATTGCCGATAGGTTTTTTTTAAACAATCGAAAGCAAATTCGATTCAAATGTTTAATGTTTGATACTGGGAAACCCTTCTATATTTCGATAATTTATACATGCGGACATTAAAACATAATGCCAAGACACAGCCAAGTTACTTCAAGCTATCTCAAGAGACACTCTTTTACAAAAGATCAGTGTTTCTTTCGAAGATTTTGCTATCACAGGGCGTCATAAGTGAATAAAGTGTGTTGTGGTGTCTTTCGTTTCACAAACAGAAGCATTTATTTGTCTGATAACAGTCTCTACTTGCATGCAGCTATCTTCGTATCCAAACTCCGAGAAATTTATTTCCTTCATTTCAACCCGACTGATGCCATCCATTCTCCGACTCTTGCGGTGAGTAGGCTTTCATTGGCTAAACAAAGCTTTAAGAAATGAAGGCAACGTATTCAGCTGCTATTAATTTGCAAAAGAAGTTTCTTGTTATTGAAATGAATATTATTCAGTCTGTTTAGCAGAAATATGTAGCAATTTTTTCAATTGATATTGCTGCTATAAACTGCCATAAAATTTTTTTAAATGATGATGTTGTTATAAACCTCACTGTATGGCCTACGGTCAGTGCAAATCATTTCTAATCCAATGCGATGCCTTCTATTTTACCATTCTTCTACATTCATAGAATGGCTTTTCAGCGAAAAAATGCGAAAATGTAGTGCAAGTTAAAAATTAAATTTCAAAAATAAAAAGTAAATTAGAGCAACGAGTATGAGATATCTTATTCAAGCATCTTTTGCATTATTTAATCTTTAAGAGCATAATCATTTGTCAATACTGTCAAATGTTTTTGTAGGTCTGATCAAACCGAAATGAAAGTTAGAATAATTGCACTTGGTGTTTTATCTAAAACGCTCAGATGTGTTCCTCCAGATGTGAGTTAGTTTTGTATTACTTCAATACATCGTTTCCTTTGGAATAGCTGTAGAAATACATGGCACCCGAATACGGTATCCCTCATGCTATAATTTTTGGTAACCTCTTTTCTCCTGATTGAAAGCCATAATGCTCGAAAAAGCGTTGAAGTAGACAATTAGAGTGATGGACGTGGTCAGGTGTCAGGTATACACCTCCGTGAACAGGAGAACATGGAGAACTGAATTGTTTGAAATTCCAGCTGCGAGTTCCACGTTCAATGCGACACTCCGAAACACTGCATTGCCTTTACTTTAGAACACTACCTGACTCCAGCAGACTGTGCTTTTCAACAACTGTTTTGTTTAAGGATGCATTGCGTTCCGTTTTTCCAACCCATTCAGTCCAAGTTCCCTTCTAATGAAGAGTTTTTAAAGCCCTTCTGTCGACTTTCTCTGTAATTTCTCTTCAGTCGAATTTGGCCTCCTTGAAATTAACCCTGAAACCTTATTTCATTAGTACCATGTCTTAGTGTAATCCGTTGTTCCAATCAAAGTTTTGACTAATGTAAATTCTTCTGATTGATCAGTTTTACTACCGAGTATATAAGAATTGTAAGATTTTTGCCAAGAAAAGACGTTTTCTAACCAATGCCATTACTGTAAGAAAGATATCTGAAACTGGATGTGAATATATCAAATCTATGACAATTTAACTTAATATTCTACACAAGTGATAGACGACATGGTCGAGAAAATGATTTTATTTTGACCTCAAGCTTTTTTCGATGTTTCAACACTCTAGATCAACCTTTGTCACGTTTATTCATCATTTGCTATTCTTGTGGTTTTTATGAAAGGTGGCTGATAAAGGCGTCGCTGCGATGGAGGAAACCTCCTCAGAAGGTCAGGAAGCAAGCGCAGATGGCATCAAAACCGTGCAGCTTTTGTTTAAACTTGGAGCAGAATGCCTCGCAAGGTTTGTGTATTGACTGTTGTTTACCCCTAAAATGACATAAAAAGGACGGTTGTACAGACAGTTTTCCATCGATTTCTTTAATCCACTGCTCAAAGCTGCAACATTGATACATGCAGCAATTTTTCCTAATTCATAGTTCCATCCTTTGGCCACCAATTTGCATCATGGGACATTTGTTGCATCCATGCATACTCAATATGCCATCTTGTTGTCGAATATTCTCGCTGGAATCATGGCTGGGTTTTCTTTCTCGTTCATTTGTTCAATCAGCCCTTTTCCCGCTAAATTTCAATGGAACTAATGACACAGAGAAACAAAGTAATTGATCTGTGGTCCCATTCAAGCTCCTTTTCCAATACTCAACTAAATGTTGCAGTAGATGTTGTATCGTTTGTTTAGGACTTCAGCTGCCAAAAGAGTTGGTAAGACTCTACATTGGACCAATTTTAAGTGCTGCTGATAGAATTTTTACACTAATGAGAGTATTATAAAGCTAACACATCTTTATTTATAATTGACGTTTTCAAGAACCGCATACTTTTTGTTATGAAGCACGTGTGGTTTTAAGGATATCCACTTGAAGTTTCAAATACTTGTAATGGAAGAGAATGGAATATTTCGGGATGAAATGAAATGACAAAAGCAGAAACAAGATTGTTCCGAAGAATTTGGGAAACATTGTAGGAATCCTCATACCTAAAGACTGTGTACTTTTATTTGCTGTTTTCAGCGTGCAACTCAAAATACTGTTCTTCAACTTTTAAATCCTTGTTCATTTTTTAGAGCTGATCTTGACACGGCGTCAGGTCTAGAAACATTGTTGAAGCAGCTAACCTGCACTGGAAAATGGCATGGTATTGTCACCAAGCATGCGAATGCCTGTCTTGAGAGTCTAGCTGTGGATAGCAGGGTGAGCTCTTCATAACATGTTTGTTATTTGTTGTAGACTGGAGAGGGGTGATAAACAAACTGCAAATAACATATTAATTACCAGACACTGGGGAGAAAACAGAAGTTTTTATTTCACGCCCTTTTCATCTCAAGAAAACGATATGGTACCAGCAAGGAACACCAATTTTACCTGAAGGGAACGCCTGTGACTAACTTTTGATTAAGTAAAAGCAGTTTCAAAATCATAGGATTACATCACAAAGAATATGTTGCCAAAATATCCCCTCCACTCCTCTCCCTAACCAACATTTTCTCATCGAATTTAGACGAAATATAAAATAAATCTTGCCGAGAACTGGGGGCGTGCCCCCCATTCCCCCCGTGGCGCCTCTACTGGTTCGTGAATGCTTGTATTTTTCAAGATCCCTTTGCTTGTTGGTTGAAAATCTTCGAATTTTGTTGTCCAAATGATTCATAAATTTAATCCTTAAAACTTTTTACTTCTTGCAACGAAAGCCTCACACAGCAACTGGATTTTTAGAATTTAAAGAAAACGAAAGTTTTCATTAATACAAATCTTTTCACCGATTTTTTTATTTCACAGAATCCTTCACTGCCGTCACTCTTCGCTTTGATGTTTTTTGCCGGTTTCCCAGACGTAAGTGAATTTTTAACGCTAGAAGTACAGCTATATAGTGGATTTTGCAGGCAATGTAGGACGATAAGATTTTCCTTTAACCCAGCTCGAAACAAACATAATTTTTTACTCTATAGACGCCACATGTAAAATATTTCCAATACTTCCAAACAGTGGATGTTTTTGAACACGAAAAAGGGTGTTTCTCATCTTGTTTGTATTTGTCAGCAATGTCTTGTTTCCCTGCAAGATTAATTTTAGGGTGTGGAATGAGAGAGCAAGCTTCCTTACAAAAGTATATTACTTGATTTCTCAGTTAAAACAGGTGATAAACTTGGGACACTTGCCTGATGATCGCACTAAGCGTAAAACTTGGAGTTGCAACCTAGAACCGTTCTGTTCTATACGCCATGACTAAACTTTATTTCTCAATATAGTGCTGTCATATCCAGATATAAGTTTTATCCAGATATTGTTGATATTTGATTCGGGCTTTCCCAATGTAAAATATTGAAGAGAAATGAGAAACAAAAAGATTGGTAGACAAATACCTTTTTACCATTTCAGGTTTATCGAATGGGAACAATGGCAAAAGTCAACGAAACTGGCGCTGATACAAAGGATGTTGTGATATTCGATTACAATCAAGATCGTGGCATCGTCTCTGCCTATAATTTTAAATCGAGAAAATTGCAAATGGTAAGACTCTAATCCCTAGACCATTTGCTTCACACCGTTTTTTCGCTTTACAAACTATTTTAATATCAAACCTTGTAAAGCTATGAACTAATTATTGATTTTCAATGTTTTTGTCAAGAAATCAAGCTGCAATTCCAGAAAGCCTTAATTTTAAAATGGAGAAATTGTTATTGTTGTCATCTTGTCGTGAATTCAAATTGCATTCAGCTAACTTGATAACGGCAGGAATACTGTTCTTGTGGATTCGTAAATATTCATTGCATTTACCTTCTCTGCTCCCTTCTTAGATTAAGGAACATCTCATTGACGATGATGATGCATGGTCAGAAGGCACAGACCCAAACCGAATACCTGTTTTACTGAATATCATTAAAGACGTGCTGTCAAACAAAAAATGTTAGTAACTTTATCTGCGCTTACTTTGGAAACCTCACTTTTACTTTCAAACTTGCGAAGGGGGTATTGTTATTAACGGCTTCTACAAGTATACATAAGTGAAAAGGTTTGGCAATATGGAAATAATTAGCACTGAAGTCTTTTGAAAAGATTTCTTTTCTCCAAATGTATTAGCTACTTTGCTGACTTGTATACAAATACGTGATTCTAGAATTTTGTGAATCTCAATAAAACATATTTGTGCTGAATTTTGAATTTTTGAATGGTTTGGGATAACTTTATCAACCTTTAAAGATTTTTCCATCTGATACTTCACATTTCTCGAAGAAAGATTGATTAGTTATTGTTCAAGAGCAGCCAACCATGTTAGCAGTATAAGTTTTATGCCAAAACTATACATAGCATGAGCTGCTCTTGGCCTTTTGTACCTGCAGAAAGTTGATTCTAAGATGTATTTTAACTCTGCTTCAAAATTTCATAAAACACCTTTAAACCGCAGATCAATAATTTGTCCCAACCTTTTCTTTTCTGCCGTGAAACCTCAAGTTAAACCTTCCTACAGAGGAGAGTATTTATGATCCCCAAAAAGGTTTACCATAATCTGTGTTTTTGCTATTTTCAATAGATTTTGCAGTACTCTGTTGACTTTTAGTGAAAAATATTCCTGCCTTTGCTAGCTTAAAAAGTGTTAAACAAACCTATTGCACATTGTTGATATAACACTATTCAGAAAACCCCAAGTGAAGAAAAGATCTCTTTCTACTTCGCTGTTTCTCATTCACAAAACTGCAATATGACCGCCCCTCTATACTCAATTAAGGCCATATTCTGTTATTATTTGTTGTTTATAATTACTTTTGTGTTCAAGGTTTGCACAGTTCCGTGGAGCAGAAGTGGGTGCGTGCGTTAGTTCTGAAAGCCCTTTTAGGAAATCTCAAGGTACGTTGTCAACTGTGGCCTTACAAGCCCTTTTTATTTTCACTACTTGGATTAGAAGTTTCAAAATACAGTGATGTCTGCAGGACCGTTTTTGAAAATGTGAAAGATTGAAATTCTCCGTGGTGAGACGTCCATTGTTGACGTAACATTAGAACATGATTTGTAAAGCCAATCAATTTTGTTTTAGGCTGGCATTAGCTCTAGTGATATGCTCAAGATCATGAACAGCTCTATAATTTCACTGGTAGTCAACTTGGCTTGTCAAGGGACACGTTTCTCCAAGCAATGGCTTCTACGCGATCTTGAGGTATGGATTTATATGAACAACTAAACTGACTGTCGGATCCACAGCCAGTTTTACGGAATACCGTGCTGGTTTGTCATCTTTACTTGATTGATATAGCTTGGTTTGTTTTGATTTCATCAACATTTATAAGGAAGGGTCCGTTTCTCTCCTGTTGCATTTTTCATCACATGCAACAGTACAAGAAACACTTTTTTCAATGAAATACTCATTTATTAACATAGTTTTGCGATGTTTTGAACAAATTGTTACCTGGTTCGGTCAGTTTCGCTGATAATATGGCGCTTTGTCGATACCAAGATCTTTTTTCTGTTTAGAGCCAAAGTTAGTTTGTTGTTATTGTCTTCTAGAAGTAGATGTTGACGTATGAATTTTTTTGCCTTACCCTTAGATTTTGTCATGGAAACTCTATAAGCAGGTGCACACTACCGTTCAACCTGTCAAAGAGCAGGAACAGAAAGATCCTCTAGAAGGGCTTGGCAAAGATGCAAGAACTCTGATGGAGGTAAGGGAAACAATTTTTGCCAGCCATCTTTCCGATTCCAGCAATCGTTTTTCGAATTACCTACTTTGTTTCTTGCAGCAGCTTCTATAAAGCTTCCCAAACCGTTTTATATTATAGCATCATAATATTCAGTTTAATATTCAGACGCGAATCAAAACAGGCACCACGGGGGAATGGGTGCATAATATTCAGTTCTTTAAAAGAAAGAGGGGACACACTTCCCCATGTGCCTGCAGACATGCACATGGTCCTTTTGGTAGCAGCAAAAATTCAAATAATATTGACAGATTTTTTCAGAGGATATTTAACCAAAATCTGTCATCAAAGACTTCTCGTGCTTGACATGTAACTTGTGCATGTAACTTTTGCATCTGCACCTCTTGGTTTAGCTTTTAACACTTTATATCTTTGAAAATTCAGAGAGAGCATTAACGTTTTCTTTAATTTTCAAACAGAATATTCACGATGCATTGAACTGCTCGTACCCAATCCTAAGAGCGATGTATGAAACATGTGGACAGGATGACGAGAAACTTAGAGAAGAAGTTCAAAGAAAGTAAGTACCAATCCAAAAGCATTCGACTTTTTGTGCTTTCTGTCTCCTTTGTTTTTGCTACAGATCAACCAGTTTTGCAGGGTCCTGGAAAATACCTATCTTATTCTCCCCAACGTTAAAAAGCTTGTGGTTAGCTTTTTTGTTGGACTTAGGCCTTACATTTAAATTTGTTTTGTTTTGTTTGGCTTTGTTTGTCACTGTCTTGGATCATATGAACGCCATGCTTTCTAAGCTTTCGCTTCTTCGCTTTGTAAATGGAAACAACCCTTTGCTTTGTAAATGGAAACAACCCTTTGCTTTGTAATGGGTCATGTTTCTTTGTATTCCATCATACTCTAAACCAACCAATGTTAATTTTCCAATTGTGTAGGTGCATATGTTTACCATGGCATTGCAACGAAACATTTCCCTCTGTGTGTTAACTTACATTCCCTTTACAAATGTGTATATGCAGCTTTTTGACCTCAAGTATTGCCCGATGTCGACAGGGTAGTATTATTGCTTTTTGAGTACAAAGTGCATTTACTTAATGGATTGCTTGGTTTTTATTTAGTTTGATTGACGGCGACGGCGTGGCTTTGCGAGTTTCAGAGGAAATCAGAGAGAAGGCAAAGAAATGGTGAGGGCTAGCTGTTTTTATACAACGTCTTTATCCCTTCGTCATTCCTGCTCGTATCTATTTTCTTATATTTGATTTAATTTGCCTTTTATGCCTCAATGGCATACCGCAGTCGCTGAGGAATTCTCAGAAATTTAGCTGCTTTCGTCATGAATATTTATCAGTCTGTCTGCTCTTTGCTTTTTACCTCGCTTTTCGGTGTTTTTGGTGAGCAAGCAATATAGAAGCAGACGCCAAATCGCGGATAATTTTTGCATATATTTAAGATATGATAAACGTGACTGATACGTGGGAAATATTCTCTTTATTTGACATGTTTTCGATTAAATTACTAAAGTAGCCATTTATGAAGGGAAGCTTTCACGGCAAAAAGAAGATGGCCACACATGGCTTCAAAATATCGATTAGTTTTTCGTGATCACGCAATGGCAAGTTGACAGGAGCGGCTGTATGAGGCTAGGACCTTAGTTTAACGATATGGAAGATTCTCAATGGGTTTCTTCTTAGGCATTCAACTTCTAATGGTATATTTCTACTCTGTTTTGGTTTTGCAGGGAAACTGAGCCAGATCCGAAATCATCGCCTTCAGATTCTTCTGTTGACATTGGTGTTCATAGAGTTACCCCGCAGCTTAAAGAGAGCAAAGAACTCCGAGCGAAACCAGAGTCAGGCGAAGCAACGCACAAGTTTATCACATCATTGACTGAGGCAGAAAAATTTGAAGTACGTTTTTGAAAGGACTGAAATGATAAAACAGCATTGCAGGCTTGTGTCGAATAAGGATGTTTTTCGATAAAGAAAGACAACGTGTTACTAAAGTCATTTTATGATTTAATTCAGAACTTTTTTATTTGTTCCAGTAGAATTTAGCAAGTAGTTTACAGAACCTTAGGACCTTATTCTGCCAACTCTTTCTTAGATTTGAATTTTATACCTTTAAGGAACATACTGGCCTACGCCTCCAAAGGCTTGACTGGCCAAGGGGTAAATTTGAAAGCTGTTTACCACCTGTCAGCTTTTTATGATCCAGTCAAGTCATAGATGTACATGAGCAACCCTCTAACCTCCTTCTGTTACGTCATCTGTAGCTAAGATTGTAATATAGTGACTTTAGTTTTAGTTTGGAATATTAACGTGTCAATTTTATTTGTAATTTGCAGACGAGAGGACGGCAGAGAAGGTCAAAGTCCGCAGAACTTCTGAGAGAAGAATTGGAAAATAAGCAGCGAACAGACACGACTAGTTTTATCAAAAAGGTAGAAACAAATTTTGGCTTTCTTTACATATATTATATTTTGCTTTTATGAAAATATTTTCGATTTCGATAATTTTTCTTTAGTATTAATTTTCAAATTACCATGAGGAGTTTGAAGCAGTTTGGGCTATCGGGTAAGCAAAGTGAGAATTCGTCCAAAAGAGTTTTATTTTTTCTGCCCTGTAACTACGACGCATGAATTTCTTGCCCTAGGTGAACCATGCTGTCTCGGTTGGCTATGCACGACATCTTGTTGCTTGGCTTTTTTCAGTATGGCCGGCGAACCAGAGGATAACCAAGACCTACCTGAATAATATTGATGCATCTAAGGTGGTAGGACTTTTAGATTTGATACAAGAAGCAGAGAACAAGGAACACTTTGAAAAGGTAAACTGTCCACCCTCTTATTACAATTCACATTTCAGTAAAAACAACCTTTCGATTACTGCGCGATATTTCGTACTCTGCGATGAAGTAAAATGTTGAGGTGCGCTTTGAAAGAATCTTCGCTCCTGGATCCTGTATCTGGGTTCTTTTGCCTGCACACGGTAGCATTTTAAGGGGTGTTAAAGAACCACGAATTCACGAAAGGACCTGTTCCAATTTTTGTTTAACTTTTGATAAGTGCTGAAATGCCGTAAGCGAGAATCATGTAGAGCTGTTCTGTTTTCCACTTTCTTTCTGAGTTAATTTACTGCTTGATGTAAATTCAAAGCTGCATATTATTCCCACAAGCGATTTTAAAAGCTGTGTTATTTGATTTGATTCTTTCTGTTACAACCAAATTCAAACATTTCTGGAAATTCTTCTATTCGATAACTTATTTTTATTGAAAATTAGGTTGTATCCCAGACCACTATTATTGTTGTGAACTTTGCTTTTACGAGACGTTGCTTTTTGCGTAGGTTGTGTTCAATTTTGTACAGCTGTGCGACAAAGAGTTAGTAAAGCCATTAGCCTTATCAGCTGTTCATTCGATGGGAGAGGTGCAACTAGCCTCAGTTACGAAAGAATCGGAGCACAAATATAAAAACAATGCCAGGATAGAGGTAAGAGCATAGCTGTTTAAACAATGTCTTGCTAATAATACAGGTCAGGTAGATGCTCAAATTGTATGTTTATCTCATTCTTAAATTCATGTGTAAAAAATGACCCAGAATCGATGCAAAACTGTCTAGACGTCAATGCTGGCATAAATTGAGCACCTTCTTTCTCAATCGCGTGACTCCATCTTGTTTTTCGACACTTGAAACAGGACAGGATATGTTTTTAATCATTATTTGATCTTCACAAGAAAAAGGTTTGAAAATCTTATGAAAGCTCCCAAAATCCTTTAATATTCTATATAATTGCGCTGCATCTATGAAAATGAAGAAAATGGAAAGTTTTGTTAAACCCTATAAGATATTTGTGCAATGGGGTCTCGTCATAAAAACATTTTATAGGGTTTACGAAAACTTCCCATTGTGGAACACTAGTTCAAGATTGCATGCCCAAGTTTCCAATTGCAAACCTTTGTTCAGTTGGTAGCTATGACTCGTATCTGTCATAGTGACCTTTATCATACGAACTAGACTGTAAATGAACAGGGTGTAATTGTTATATTGCCTTGATCAATCTCCTCGGATCAGTCAATCTTTCAAAGTAATTGAATCTTTGAAGCAAACATTATGTTTGCATCAGACTTGAGTTTTCTTTGCCTGACACAACTAACAATCGACATTTCAGACAAGTTGGCGTCAGATGAAAGTGCTTTTGTATGACGAATAATCTTTTTGCTATTGTACATTTTCTCCGTCGTATTAATACATATTTGTAAACATATAATCGGCTTCTTTTGTTAAAGGATAAAGTCGTGATTCCTGGAGCGATCAGCCTCTTCATTCGCTTCGATAAAAGGTAGATAAATTTATCTGGTTTGTCAAAATGACTTTTTGGTGTTCCGCAAGAGCTAATTTGGCCCCTTTTTCATTCTCAATATTTGAAGTTTTTCATTTTATTGAATATTTGTTTAGATTTTCGAACTTCTTTGCATCCAGGTTAAACTTCTCCCGCAGTTTATTTGAAACTGTTTTATTTGCTTATTCGGATCAAAGACAGATTCATTTCTCTTAATTTTTGTCGTTGTGTGTCAGTATGTATTCTTTCCTATTTTCAAGTCAGTTTGTCCGTGCAAGAAGCCTACTTTAAAGGGGGTCCAGCTCGGCCTGAACTCTCAACGTACAAATTATTAGCGTGAAGCTAGTTCTCGGTCCAGACTTCCAGAGCCTGAGAACCATGGCAGTTGTACGGTCAATGACCGTAAGGAAAGCCAATGAAAGCACGGGAAATTTGAGTGTCACGCCTTAACCCTATCTAAATTTTCGTGTTTGTTAAGGAAGTTTTGAAATTTTAAGGAAATTTTCCGGAGGAGGAATTATCACGTCTGGACTGTGCAAACATCCTCACCCAAAAATCCTTAACCAAAGATTATAAAAATCATCGATTGTTTTTAAGTTATCAATTGCATAACTGTGTCACGTATGGTTATGCATATGTTGTGATCTATGGTTGCTTAGTTTTGCTCAGTTTCTGCATTGTTTAGTAAGCTTAACCTGGTGCAGCATTCCTTTTTTCGTGTCATTGGCAGAAATGTTTCATAAACAACACCTTTTCTTCAGAACACCCTATTCTCCTCTCTTCTAGGTGCGCGACAGAGAGCAAATGTGACATTCTTACCATATCATCGTCTCCAAATTACTCTCAAAACTTTAAGGAGTACAGCGGCACTGGCTACTGGCCTGAATTTGAAATGCCAGGCGACACGGTCTATTACAAGTTTACATCCGATGCCAGCAACACTGACTGGGGCTGGAAATTCACCGTCACTGGCGGCCAGCTTGGCAGGTATGTCAAAAGATTTATTGAAACTTTGTTGGGCGTTGATCTGGAAATGCTTGAGTGGGGTTTTTTGCCGTCAGCACTTCGAGTCTTGGCTATTCATGTGATGTGGAGGTTCGCCTCATGTCCATGCGGCAAAAGAAAGGCAAAGACAAGGGTAGCCTATACAATAAACTCTCGACTTTGAAGTTAAGACTCTGAAGCACAAGCTAGCTATAGACAGCAAGGAAAGTGCTAGCCAATTTCTTCTGTTGGCTCGAAAGGACTTTTTTGTGTTTTCTCTTAAAAGCAGATTTGACTTCCTTACAGATTTCACTGGTCACGTCTTTAACTTGTCCTCTATATCTACTTAGCTGAATTTGCTGGATTGTTTTGATGCATTATTGTCAGACGAATAGAGACGACTGGATGTTTTAATCTTGCAACGGTTTTGCTTTATTTTTAATTCTTGCAAGTTGATTGCACTGCTTTGTTTCCCAATTTCAGATTCGAAACTGGATGTGGAATCTTAAACGGTTTATTAGCCCAAGACATCGAGTTTTCAAGGTAGGTTTTTTCCTTCTGCAGATACACTCAAGCACGTCAATGTCTGAATGGACTCAGATGACCTCACGTGCCTTGATAATGAAACTAGACGTGAAAAATATACAAAAAGAACTAATTTGAACCTACGAAAATATTTCCAAAGTGCTTACCTAGATGCAATAATCAAATATATTTATATGGAAGCATCTGAACGAAAATGTGAAGTATTTCTTATTTTGAAAATGACTTGGTGTGTTTTAATGGCATCATATTTGAATCTGAATCGACTCTAAAACTAGGAAGAAAAGAATTACCTACTGTGACCAACCATGTTACCATTAAATACTTCAAAGAAACACTTTATTATGTATACGGCGGGGAACGCGAGCATAATCCCTGATAATCGTAAAGCATTGTTTGAAGATATAATTCCAATTGCAGATCGCTGCCACTGAAGCAGTTATGGTCTTGGTTGATCGTCGTTGCCTGTAATCAAGTCGGTCAACAGAGGTTAATGGCCACAGGGTTGTTGCTAAGAATTCTACAGATTTCTGCTGGGTGAGTTCCTGGCTTCACTAAGATTCCTTGCAAACTTTTGTAGTGCTTGTCTTGACGTCTGCCAGTTTGTGCTACAAAGTTTCAATCCTTGACGAAAAAACATTTTGCAGCAGTTTTCTTCTTGTAATTCATGTTTGTAGCGGTTATTTGAAGTTGCACGTTTCTTAATTAAAATTGAAATTTCAAAAGAGTTCTCAAAATCAGTATGACCATCATAAGGGGAGTCTTTTTAAGTTTCGATTGATCAAAGAAGATTTTCATAATTAGTGGTTAAATTCTTGTCTCAGTAAAGCTAGAATCAAAGAACTGATTGTTTTGTAATATTTACAGAAATCGACAAATCGAAGTGTCCAATTTAGTACACTTTCAGTTTCCAGGTTCTTATTTTATATTTTCAACAATTTTCACATTTCAACATCGCATTGACAAGCGGAAGCTTACGTTTTATGCGACCTGTTTAAAACACTTTGAATTTCGCGCAAATGCATGTTATTTGAGACCCAAATAACTTTTTCTTCCTATTTTCAGTGACCCACTGCTGTTTGGTGAAAATTTTGCACCTTTACGCAAAGAAGAATGGCCAGATTTGAGCCAGCTTAGGCCACTCTGGGCGCTGTACACAAAAACAATGACGGCTGAAACAGGTACAAAACACTACATTTCTTATTGATGACAAAGATTAAAGTCATTTATGATAGAATGAAGCAGTCAGCTAGTTTGTCTACATAAATTCACGGCTCAATATCGTGGGTTTCATACATGGGTGTTTCTTTGACCCATGCTCGCCCCTTGTCTCTTTTTTCTTCTCAAAAATCGTAAAGGGACTCACACCATTACCTTTTTGCTTATAACGTAAAGTAGTGAGGTAGACGAACAAATTCGATTGAAATAATTGCATTCAAAGCTAATGTCTTTTTTAGATCTTTGGATGATTAATTGATTCGTTTGAGTGATTCATTGATTCTACATAGTAGCTAATTGCCTTTTTCCATTGCTTATTTTGATAGATAAGTGATTTGACATTATTCTGCTTTTGTGAAGATTGAAACTTTTTCATCAAGACTTGCAGCCTGTGTTTCGGGAAAAATGTTTTCATTAATCTAGATAAAATGGTTAAACTAGGGAAAATTCGTGGTGTTTTCTTAGCTCATTAAATGTACTTATTTACCACTACATTCAATTAACTTTAAACTGTTAGCAAGTTCTTCTGTTTTGGTTCAGTGAAAGGTACAAGCTATACTCTGATGTCTCCTGTTCTTCGTGGCTTATCCGAGCTTTTCCTTGTGGTGGAAAATGTGGCCCAGGTTTGTAAATAGTCCAGTATTGAGCTTTTGTGATTTTTGCTTTGTGCAATGTAATATTGTGTTATATGTAGCATGGAAGTGATGTTTTCTTTCGATCTACGTTTGTTTAATAAATTGTAAATCACTGTGGTAAGCAAGATTTTGGTGAATTATTTTTGAAAAAATGAAACAGAACTTATAAATTCTGAAAAAAAAGCTTGCTAGCCTCGTGTTTTTAGGGATTCGAAGAGATTTTAAACTGAAATTTCAAGAATTTTTTCGTGTAATTTGTAATGATAAGACAATTGAAGCACAATTAGTAATTATGTCCTGTCGACGACCTTCCGTATGAACAACCACCAACTATGCTCATTGAGGATTGTTTGAACAAAGACTCTGCCCATCGCAGGCCCTAATAATCTAATAACCTAATAATCTCAAGGCAGCTCTTCTTTGCCACATTCCACCAGCTTGCACATTGCACAAAGATAAAAATCCGTGTCGTATTTATAAAACTTTGATGAAGTAAATACAGAAATTTGACATCGCATTACGTTGATAGGCATATTTTAGTTGGTAGGTTAGAAATACTGTCCCCAGGTGCAAAAATATTTAATGCATTCTTAGTCAATTGCTTTTGAAGATATGACGCGGGTTAAGCTAACACAGAGTGGCTCTGCATCAAGCTTATGTCTTCTGGCCCAACGATCATGGCTCACTATGTTACCTTTGCTTTTTTTTAGGACCTCGGTCTTGCAGATGAGCTGGTTGCGAGGCTTGCAACTGAAGACAAGTTACGGAAGCGACTTACGCAGGTGAGAATGTTACTGTACAAAGCTATTCAAATGCATATTTTTTGCTGAGCTTTTGAAACGAAATTTGTACGGGGATGTGGAGTAATTTCCCGTCCAGTATCCTATCCTAAAGTGCTTGAACCCCTTTCTGTCAATTCATGCCCCCTCCCGTTTTGTCAATTTATGCTCCCTCCCGTTTTGTCAATTTATGCCCCCTCCCGTTCCCCCTCCCGTTTTGTCAATTTATGCCCCTATCCTTCATTTTGCCTTTGGAGCCTTCATACCTCGTGCTTATCCTTTGCCAAAAGAAACGTTTTCAGTAATGAAATCTCACATTTTCGTTGGAAATTTGTTTAGGTTCTCGTACGTACTGCTTGTACTCAACATACTCCAATTAATGGTTGTGTTATAAAAATACGGGGAGACTTTTTTCATCGCTGCATGCTTCATCTATTTTCTCTAGTACACAATTCAACATCTTTAATATACCTCATCTTAAATATGCTTCGCTTTCTTACTTTCTGTTAGGCCGTGACAAATATTGCTGCCATCGGATTGGCAATTGAAATGCCAAACAAAGCTTTGGATATTTTACGGAATGCCCCCTCATGCCCTACAATTTCGCAGGTATATAAAAGTTCTTATAGTTTTTGCTTGTAATAACCCTGCCTTCATTTATGATTGCTGCCTTTGTATGAAAATTGTTGACGCCATGGTGTAAAGAAATGAATCAACCTTACTGCTGTATCTACCTATTGAAGGAATAGCCACTAAATCATTATTTTTGCACTCATAACGAAGCTATACCATTTAAATGCAGATTCTTCTCCCTTTCTTTATTTGAAAATGGCTTTGAAAAGAGCAAACATTTGAGTAAACTAAAGCTTTTCGTCTGACACTCTTCAGAGTTTAAAAGGTAGAACATAGATCGAAAACTCTACGCTAGGAAATATATATACCCAGTTGTGGATCGTACCGGCCAATCAGAAACGCGAGCACGTGACTGTTGAGGTTGACAAATCAGTGCCGCTTGGCTATTTTCGTGCTTATGTAGATAGATTTCAAAACTGCTAATCCGAAACATGTCGCCATTATAGTTTTTTGCGCGATCTGGGTTTTCCAGTAAATGCTGCCCGATAGCAGAATCGCAGGTTTTAGCTTTGCAAGACAGGCTGTTCTCTTTGGAAATGAGTTTTGTTTCTAATACTAGACGGAGCATGTTGTTTTATTCTATCTTCCAATCTTTTGGTAGTGTGTCCTACGTAGCCAGAATCACACTGGCACGTAAATTCATATATAACGGAACTCTTTTGTGTGGTAGTAATACAATCCTGTTGAATAGATGGAAGGGCTTTTTGTACTGTAAATAACACGTGGATTCACTAAACAATTTGTAATGGCCTGATTTATTTGACTTTCAAAATGAAGGAGTTGTTGTGAAGGAGCAGCACGCGATTAATCCTTCACTCGTTCCTAGACCTCGAAGTTGCATTAGTCAGTTGTTCACGCCACGTTGTAATGAAAAAGTGTTCACGTTGGATCATGTTTATTGTACATAGTTTTATTATGTTCCTGTTGATGTTATGAAATGTTTGAAAACCCAAATGATGTCTTCTTCAAAATCTCCTGACCTAAATCTCTAAAACAGGAGTTTTGTACCACCAAAATATTGCTTCCTTTATATATTCAAAACTGTATAGATTTTTTTTATGCCAATTGGTTGAGTTTTTAGGACAACAAGAAGCTTAATGAAATCTCAGAGTCATTATGAACAAAAATTTTCCAGTTGGTTATTGTCCTTCTTTAACTTTTTTTATCAAGATTATTTTTTTCTGATGCGTATGCACAAGTACAAATAGTTTTTGTCCCCTAAGTTCATTATCGTTGATATAATGTATTGTTTTAAGTAATTAGCAAGTTGTGTAGAAATAAATATGTAATGTACATTTTCTATTTGGGTAACCATTTTCTGTCTAAGTAACATGTAAAGTGTATTTACTAAATTTTCCATTGCAGGAGGGCTCTGTGAAAGAATCCGAAAGCCAAAGGTATACAACCTTTCCGGTTATTAATCTAAAGTTCATTTTCAGTCTGTGTTTGTCATGGTGATAAATTGAATTCAATAAACCACCAACTCAGTATATCAAACTTTAATTCAATCCTTTCCTAAGGAGGGCTGCTTTTCCCCTCCCAATAGTTACCTTGTTCGATTATTTTCACGAACAACCTAGTCAAATAATGAATGTTTTTTTGCTGTTGAATGGTCATGTAATTCTGAAGAGAACATGTGCGTTAACTGCCAATACCAGGTGTCACATCGTCCCTTGAAGCGTTCAGCACAACGCAAGAAAACCCCTATAAACTTATTTTTTGGACACAATAATGGACACGTACTATGATAAAACCTGCTACAAATGAACTTTTTATTGTAAGCCTTAGTAAGCCTATTGTAAGTATTGTAAGTTCATCACTAAGACATTTCCCATGAAACCTGAGCCTCCATTTGAATGATCTGCCACTTATTAAATCTTTGTACAGAATGGTCTCTTTCATTTCAGCTACAGTTAAGCCTTTGAAACGAAATCAAAGGAACTACCAATTGAGCCCCGTATATAGACCTAGCCCACTAAAGGAAGTAGATTTTCTTTGTCTCGCCCATCTGCGAACTGGCCCTGTTTCTACTTTCATCATCAGCGAAAAATTACAACAGCCTAATGCCTTAGCGCCCTTTTGCAGCCGCCGAAGATCATCGATCATTGAAATAACAGGAAACAATTCAGAATGGTCAGGCAGTGATGATGACCAAGAAGATGACACAGAAGAGGAAGGTGATATGGAGATAGACGAAGATAGCAGTATGGAAAGCTTGGACAGCCCCGATGATTATAGTTTTATTTGATTCTTCAACCAATCATAAATTCAATATTAGAATAGCAAGTTAGATATAATCAATATTGAAACAAAACTCGAATTGAACAAATGCAAAATGAAAGGGCCCTAGTTAGTACGATTGTATCCTAGGTTAGCTGATGATAGGGGGCTTATGACAATTGGAGAGGATCTAAACAAACAACCCCTTTCCTACCCTCCCTCACAGGTATAACTCCTGCTAGTATCTGTTGTAATGTTGAAATTTAACCTTTCAATTTATAATATTCTTGGTTTTAAAGCTAAATAAAAATTTTGTTTTAGTTTAAACCCAATAATGCGAGATGACTCGGCAGATTTGAACATTTCTGTAAGCCACTTTGTCATTTAATATGCACTTTATAGTCCCAAAAATTCAAGATGATAAACTGCCACTGCACTAATCTAGGTGCTTATAGAATTCCAGTAATGTGTTCTTTTATATGTTTCATGTAATTCATTTGAGTTTTATTGCTCGTACGTTTATATAGGCAATTTTTCACAAGTATTCTAAATTATGATTTCATAGAGATTTTAACAGTGATTTGCAGATCTTCTGACTTAGAATCCAACAATCGTTTTTTCCGTTTTTGATTCTTGTAAAGGAACGCTGACAAATTATCTATTTTTCAATTCAGTACATCTTGAAATGCATTGTTTGACATCGAACCAAAAGTGTTGTTGAATAATTTGTAGATGAGGACTTTCACCGAGTTTAGACAACTGTCGCCTGTTTGTTTTGAATTTGTACTTTGGCAATGCGTTTAGAGTTTTTCAAATTTATCAGTTCGTTTACATTCATAACTAATTTAGTTGATAACGAACTTTTTTGCTAATATGAAATGTGCCTAGTACCAATGTTGTTTTATTTCATGGTGTTTTTAGTGTTTCGTCTACCAACCGTTACGAGGTTATGAGGCAGGTTTTATCAACATTGGGGGGGGTATGGTCAATGAGCTATAGGTATTAAATCCCTCTTTAAGGTTTTAAATAGGTAATCTCCCTTTTTTGGCCCCCACTTTAGAATCGGTGGCGTGGTCCCTGATTGGGGAGAAGAAATGGAAAATACATTCAATGTTTTTATAGTTGACATGGTATGTTTCCCAAAAGGAGTCTTCAGTTTCACTGAGCGAATGAATACCTTAAGACTCCCAAGAGGGGGATAGTTTCACTGGGCAAATACCGTAAGGCTCCCAAGAGGGAAAAACTGCTGCGAGTGCTTGGTCTCACTGTCCCAAATGGTTTCTTTCCACATCGCGCAAGCAGATGCATTTCTTCGGGTTGAACTGAGTGGTGGCCTAAAGTTCCATGTATATTGGTGAGTTACCAGAGAATGTCTCGAAATAAACTTCAAGTAACCGAAAATCACACGGTAGGAGATTTTGCGAATGAATATCAAACCTCCATTACTACGAAATATGTTTATTGAGCTGTCATAAGCCTAGCTTGTTTCAACTGAGTCGGCTATCAAGGCTCTATGTTTTTTTAAACAATTATAGTTGTTTGATGTCGCTACATCGATTTGTGATCGATTTTTATTGCTGTTGTTTAAAGTACAGTTGTCGAAGCAAGACGGACTACTTTTAGGATTATAAGTTATCTTTTAAGCAACGGAAAGTAATTACTTATTGAAATAGGCGAGGAAGTTTCTAAACACTTTGTCTTGTGTCTCGAAAGATCCCAGCCTCATTCTCAAGATAAAAAGATGCGCCTCAGCAGAGATAATAAGATAAACTTTTTTGTAACAAAATGACTCGAAACTCCTGCGACAATCGCTTTGAAAGGGAAACCTCTACTCCCTTTCTTTCCCAGACGATAACCTGACTAGCAATACTATGAAAGCAGGGTCCCAGGCACACATCAACTCTCTACAGCACAGTGTCAGGATGGTTAAAGCCCAATCTCCAGTGAGAAAAAAATCTTTTGCTGGGATTTCTCGCGAAAAATTTCTCTGCGGAAAAAAGTTAAAATGAGTTTACTTTTTTCGCTTTTCCCTTGCGAAATCCTCCACGCGACAAATTCCTTTGTATCCACGTGTATCCTAATCGCATCTTATACAAATTGTCCATTTTTACCAACATATTCCTAATAACATCTACAATTATGTCAAAAATTCTATCACAGACCAGTAGCTATAATATTCCCTTGCTGTTCCCATCTGTCATGGTGTACTTCAAGAAGACTGGCTGGTTCAATTCATTTTCAATCCTTTTTTTCAACACTTCCTAACGTATACAAAGACTAAAAATACAATCAGTCAGGTTTCCTTCCTCGTGTTTATTTTCGAGTTTGCAGAACAAGCAATGAGAAAAAATTATTAACATTCTTTCTATATTTTTTACTGCTATTTTGACTCTCCCTGATGCTAAGAACTATCATACTATCCTATTTCAGTTGCTGTTCTTCTAAACCATTCTGAACTTGCAAAGTTATGCAGAAATAGACATACACCTATTTTTTTATTCCTATCTGTTTAAATCCTCAACATGGTTTGAAAGACTTAAAATTACATATCTAATGCTAGTTTTCTGATTTACCCCCCTCTGCATTAATTAAAGTTGTTATTGCGCAGAAGTTTGGCTTGGACAAATTTCCAATATATCCTCCTCTGCATTAATTAGAGTTGTTCTGGCGCAGAAGTTTGGCTTGCACAAATTTCCAGGATACCCCCCTCTGCATTAATTAAAGTTGTTCTGGCACAGAAGTTTGGCTTGCACAAATTTCCAGGATACCCCCCTCTGCATTAATTAAAGTTGTTCTGGCACAGAAGTTTGGCTTGCACAAATTTCCAGGATACCCCCCTCTGCATTAATTAAAGTTGTTCTGGCACAGAAGTTTGGCTTGCACAAATTTCCAGGATACCCCCCTCTGCATTAATTAAAGTTGTTCTGGCACAGAAGTTTGGCTTGCACAAATTTCCAGGATACCCCCCTCTGCATTAATTAAAGTTGTTCTGGCGCAGAAGTTTGGCTTGCACAAATTTCCAGTAGACAGGTTATCAAGACAAGAAAACAAAATATATGCACAAAAAATCTAATTACCAACAGACAAAAATGTAAATACAAGTTGCCAAAAGGGTTAGATTTTATTACTCTCAAAAACCACCAGGAGAGTTAAACTTCTCTTATTCATTTTGGGTAATTACTTAAGTTGAACAAGTTACTCTAAATGTGTTATCAAAGGTTTGCCAAATTTTTGACAACCTGTTTAATAAAGGTTGAAAGACTAAGAGGACTAATTTTCTTTGAAGAATTTTTATACTGCTTATTTTTCAGCTTAATATATTTCTATTAGGCATTCAAAGCTTGAGAACAAAAAAAGAATGTCAGCCTAGGCAAATAGTCATATGATTAAGTTGAGCTGTGAGGCACCCTGATAAATATACAGTCTCTAAATGGTAAAATGAAAACATCCCAAAATGATCTCTGTCATACTATGCTGGCAACTTCAAGCTTTTTCCCTTGATTACTGAAAAAGAACAAAATAAAGAAGTCAGTGATTGTTCATATTTTGAGATACATCGTGGAAATCATAATAATATGGTTTATTGAACATTTTATATAACATATAATAACCAATGTCAACTTTAACTTTCTCTAAGGACTAGTGGTTGGATTTTGCGCCTATTTCTCACTCATGTTTTTTAATCAACTTTGAATGGTCTACATTAAAAAGACCTCCAAATGGTATAATTTTTATTGCATTGTAAGCATTCTGCAAGCTAGTGGAGAAACATTCACCAAAATTTGTAAAATGTGCACTTTCATCAGAAAGATGGAAAAGAATGTTCCTTGTCTTTTTTTGCTTCTTGCTGAAAGAATCTTACCAAAGTTTGCTACATTCTCTATTGATAGTGGCAATGAATAAATCGCTCCATTGAATAGTTATTAGATATAAAATTCCAAGATAAATATTTTTAATCACAAAAACTGACACATATTTCCATATATTTTGTAAAAAATTTTACCTTGAGGGGAAATTCATATCATTTTAAAAGTTTTCGATTCTCATTAGGTAAAAAATCTGAAAGTCTTTGCTTCATGCTGTTTGGCCGAAAGCAGTCTTTTGACTGAGATGCTGTTATAATCAACAAACCAGGTATGCTTGAAATTTTTACAAAATTGGTTGATAATGATTTTATTCTGTACTCTCTGTGTTCATCAACGCATCAATGAGATGTTGTAGCAATGAAATTAAAGTTTATCATAACAAATATTGATAATGATACCCAAAGGGGCAACCCATTAGGGGACCTCTACTAAAGCATATCAAAAACAAAAATCATGTACCTTAACCCACCTTTGGTAATGTACAGATAGAAAAAGTCGCAGTACAAGACAGTCTGTACACATCCAGCAACAATGGCAATGAGATCAAAGAATCCTTCAAAGTGATAGCGATAGATCCAATTCAAGATGTAGAGTGCTCTGTATGAACCAAGGGCAAACAAATAATGGCTCGTAATGCTTTCTGCTTCTCCGGTTTTTGAGATCATGAACAGTTGGGGCAAGATGGCAACTGACTCCAAATAGATAGAAAATGTCCACAAAACCTGAGACAAAACAGCAAAATGATTAGGTGTCTTAAAAAAACTGTCCAGAGACATTTTCAAGTCAATAAGAAAAAAGAAACAATTGAATTCAACACTGTGCAAAAATACTTTAAAATGTTAATTAAACTAACCTCCATGGGGGTGAGTTCATGATTAACAAGAACCGCAAGTCCAGCAACAGGAACAACGATGAATTCTACCCTGAATGTGTCATGATTGCTATCATAAGTGGCTTTGAACTTAGCATAGATGAGATAAACTGTTGCCAAGGAGGTTGAAATAAAAATGACTTTCATGACAGTATTGTAGAGTGAGATGAATGATGTGAACAGATCAAGGTATCTGGTCAGGAAAACTAGTGAGAACATAATCTGACTTTTTCCAGAAATTCCTGCAAAAGAAACAATTGAAAAGTTATTCAGATCAAAATAAAAAAAATGCTTGACTAAGTGGTTATTCAATACTAGACCAACTGACAAACTTTCAAAATGGGACTTGAAATAAATATATAATTTTGTTAGACTAAAATAAACAGACTATTGTGACACATATATATATTATTATGTTATATATATATACATATGATAAATGCCCAGACTGTACACTTTGCCCTGTGTCTGTCAGATATTGCCTGTGTACTTTTTAAAGCAGTCTGCTACTTAAATACTTAAAAAATTATTTGTGTTTAACCAGCTGTGTAAAGCACTATAAACATGGATTATGTGACAAAAGGAGTGTTATTTTTTTGGTATTCTAATTTTTTGACAAAACTTTTAGCCATTGAACTGAATTTTACACATAATTTATTTTATACTGGCCTAGCAAATTTTCAGTAAGTTTTAGTTCAGACAGAACAAAAAGTGGGACTGATTTTTCCAGCTTATTATAGACAAAGTTTTGAAATGAACTCAGTTTATAAGTACAAGAAACAAACTGGTTTTATTTTCATTGAGTATAAGACACAGACAGCTATATATTTATTTTCTGTCAAAATACATAATTGTCATTTTATTTCAGGGTGGTCCTCCTATTTTCTTCAACTTAAAAAAACAAATTATTATTATGAAATCATCGGCATTTTCTTGAAAATATATTCCTTTTATAAGAAACTGTGTAGTCTGATTACAAAATAAGTTTCTTATATGCCAGTTTTTTCTGTATCAGAGTTTCCAATCTGGATAAATGCAAATTGAAATAATGTCAGCGTTACAGCTTAGTTCTAAATCTTCAGAAAAGCCTGTCATTGCAGCAAAAGGAACAAATCCTGGAAAATCTTTCTTGCTGCTTAAATCCAAGACCAAAATTGAGTGATTATAGTACAAGTTCTTCATTATTTTATTCTTTGCAACAGCTTTTAAGCAATCAATAACAAATCAAGGGGCACTGGAACAAAAATATGTTACCTTTTATCAATTGAAAACTGATAAGTCGTGCGTTACATTGATTTAGGCTTTTATGAAATTGTTCCGTCTGGGGCCAGATTTAAAAAATGTTGGGCCTATATTTATTACATGCCGTGTGTGTGTTGCTCATTCCCGACAGTTAACCATAACACAACAATAAAAATAAACACCTTTGAACTTACACAAACAAAGGGATCAACCGAAAAATGATAATTAAACTCTAGGGTTAATAAAGCCTAGCCCAAGATACATTATTTTTCCGCGCTAACAAAAATACGAGAAGTGCGAACAACACTACGATAATCTTTCCCCGGAGGGCCTAAATAAACGTGGAGGTGTATCATCGCTTACCAGCACATGACCGTGACTTCCATATCTTCCAAAGCAATAAAAGGATGGCTAGAACGTGGGATAAATCCCCTGTTAACCTGAAAACATTCATAGTTAGTCCCTGTTTCGAGAAATACAACAGAACCCTTTCTCTTCCCAGTGACTACAATGAGAAAGGCAATACTACCGTCGGCTCTCCATCCGCCACGTCGGCAAACCCGCATGCGCACCTCTCAGACTCAAATCGAGGCTGCAAAAGACACGTTATACGATCCACAACTAAATACTCAATTTTTTGTATGAATGGCGTTTATAAATTGCCTGCAGCAAATCAAATTCCTAGGAGATTGAAAAAGAAAAAATTATATTGCAAAGTATATTTATGCATAAAAGAAAATAGGAAAATATTCGTCTTGATCACATTGAACATCAGCAATTGCAATTTTTCACTGGGCAAAAGACACTTCGCTATACTCTTTTGAGATATTTTTTATTCTCATTTCCCAATTCAAGATCTTTCCAATTGCCAATTCTTACTGCTGTTGCTTCTGCTAACTTCACCTTGATTAATTGAAACTAGTGCCACACCTCGACTAAACGTCCCCGGGTGTTCATTTCAAAAAATACAAATTTTCCCGGCGTTTAGTCGAGACTGGAGTTTAATCAAGGCCCGACCAAATCAAGTAAACGCAGAATAAAAATTTTGCTTCGCTAAACATGAAATCCATAGTTTTATATATAAATTAACCCTGAATAAAAGCAACCTCGAATTAGGCTAAAGGTCAGAAGGCCAAAAATATAAACTAACAATAAGAGTAAAATATCAATGATATATGAAAAAATTATTAATATGTTTGATCTTTAATCGAGATTGCAACCAAATGAAAATAATTCCTAACAGGTTTATTTTGGCTTATGACTTCATTTTAGGATTTGGTTTATTCCCTACTTTATTATGTGCTTATGTCATTTCTTTGCTTTCAACACATTGGCTTACATTAAGTACCAAAAAGTCCGGTGCAAAAAATTTGGGTAGATTAATTTTTGGTGGAAAAAATTTTGGTCATATTTCTTATATTTCGGTGTAATTTTGGGTGAGAACTTGAAAATTCTTGTAGAAGGACATATTTCGGTGAGTAAAGAAATGAACCACCGAACCGAAACATTGGATCCTTTGCATGCTAGCACATAATGGATGAAAAACTAAACTAGCTTTATGGAAAATGTCCAACCCTCCTAATTTTTTTTGTCTTTTAATGTTATAATTGAAATAACAATACATTGAACTTAAAAAAAATTCACAACACATCCCCAGAATGGGACCAACTGACGACGATTGACAGAGGTACTTAGGCAAATAAATATTCAGTAGTGCTGTATTCTTCACCGAGCATCACTGATCCTTTCAACAGGCCTAGCCGTATGCTACTGAAAAATCAATGAAAACATAAAATGAATATGGTGCGACAGAATTGGTGACTGACACTGGTCAGTGAATGTTAGAATTGGTTGGGAACAGCAGGAAATAAATGTGATTTTTAATGATTCTGTTTGGTTTTGTAGCAAGAACATAATCACGCTGAATAGCTTCCAGTGCCCTTGCCTTTATTCATTTGTTAATCTTTATGCTAATGCTTCAATTTTGAACGTCTCATTCGCATTTTGAGGAGCACTTTTGACCAAAATCCCTTTTTGTAAATCCAAAATTCCATGCCCTGGTCTTAATTCATTAAGTAAAGCATTGCTTTGTTTGTGACCCAAATTTTTAAAAATGCAGCAGCTTTTCTCTTGACCCATCCTGCACTAGGTCCATCGGTTATTTATGGCTGTTAATTAAATTAACTATTTCACACTAGTCAATGATAAATCTTCTAAGTATTATGATATCAACTTGTCAATGGCTGATAAACTTCTTTAGAAATACAAAAAGGGTTTCATCGAAGCAAAAATTAGGACAGGCACTGTTATTCTATATTAGCTCATTGAAACAACACGAAACCAGAAACAAATGTATTACATTCTCAGGCTATGATCCAGGGAAGTTTGACTGGTATGCCAAGCCAAACGAGGGCCTACTTTTGTTACCACTGCATGAGGGCCAGGACCAGTGTTTTTGTATTTTCATATTAAACAACATATATTTCCCTTGAATAAACAATATACCGATGCATAAAATCATTTAAATATCAAAAAGTCTAAAATTTAAAGCAGCTAGGATGATCTTTTTACTTGCAAATTTCTTCACTTGACAGCTGGTATTAGGTCTCAAAATGCGTTCAGCTTTCGTCAAGTGCTATTGGCACTTAACCATTCATTGATTCTCGCTTTAAAAGACTTTAACATATGTTATAATGTGAAGCAACCCTCTTAATTACCGAACTTTCATAAAAGCTACTTTAAGCTTCTATCATCTTTTAGCTTTTAACTAAAGGTTTGCCCATGATATGGGTCTATCAGACAAAAAACTTTGAACCTTGCATGTTCTAAATATTTTTGTCACAATATCTGTGCATGCAGTTACCAACCTTGCTGTTGATTTGCATCAATAATTCTTTGAACTATAATTTCTTCCATTTTCAGAGGCATATTTAGCGCCAGGGTGCGAGAAGGGTGTGACAACGCACAATCTTTCATGAGTTGGTCGATTAATCTTCAATTGCTCCACCAGGTCCTTAGTTTGGCATTGCAATTATTGGAAGGTTGATGAAATAGCAACTTAAAGTCCCCTCCCCACATTTTAAGGTGCAGCTGATTTTTCCCTTTCTCCCAATCAAAAAATATCTGTCAATCATTTTCTAACAAAACAGCCAGGATTTCCTTATTTTTAAATTTTGCAAGCCTGAGTCACAGACGATAACAAGCAAAAAAGCTATATTTGCTTCTTCTTCTTCGTCTTTGTCACGTTTTTAATTTTTCTCATTGAGTATCTTTTTTGTTCATTGAGTATTTTTTGTGCATATAACATGATCATCCTGTCAACTAATGGTCTTTATAGGTTTTTCCTTTCTATATATCCTGCAGAAACAGCATTTTAATTTATCTACTTATTATTAAATTCACTGGTAACCGTTTTGTTTTAATCAATGCCTGTTACGCTTTGGTATGGATAGTATTGGTTCTAAGTTGCAACTCTGTCTGGGTCTATTAGTTAAAACAATCATGTAGCATTTGCTCGATTCAGCATAAGTTCTTCTTTTTGAAATTTCACCATCACATGCTCGTACAGTATAAAACAACTGAAGATGTAACGAAAATGTAACTAAATACAGCAATATTGAACTAACAAATTAAAACATAATAACTATAAGAAAAGTCCAGAATGAGAAGCAATATATATCATTACATAATTTCACGTATGAACTTTACATATGAAGGAGTGTCAAAAGATAACTAATATGAATGATCAATCTTTTGATTAATATTTTGTAAAATTCATCTGATTGAACAGAAAAATCTTGAACCTTTCATGAAGTTTGAAAAGGGACCATTTCACAAATTTTTGCATACAGTTTTCTTAAATCTGTAGTTATTCTCATGGAAGGGATTTTTCAGCTAACAACGATAAACTACAGATGGAAGGCTAAGCTTTCTTTTTCTTGAAAACAGCACACTTACTTGAAAACATATGAAAGGAATATGCTTTCGAATTTGAAAAATTTAATCATTAGTAATTTGGTGTGATTCATCATCATCATCATCATTATTCGGTGACTGTTTCAGTTAAGAAGTTTCGTCGCTACTCTTATCCAGTAGTCACGATCTTCAGCTCCTTTTATGCACTGCTCAAAGTTGAACTTTGTCCATTCCATGATGTTCTTCATCCACGATTTACGGGGACGTCCCCTTGGTCTTTTTGCACATACTTTTCCTTCCAACAATGATTTTTGCATTTTGTTTTTTCTTATTAAATGTCCAAAATACTGCGTCTTCTTCTCATTTTTATATTCTTTTCTAGTGACAGACCTTTTTCATTTACACGTTTTAACACCTCCTCATTTGTAGTGTGACTTGTGTATGAGATCCTAAGCATTTTTCGATACATCCACACTTCAAAGCTGTTTATTTTCTTACATGTATCCGCGTTAAGCGTCCAGGCGTATAAAAGTGTTGATAAAACATAACATCTGGCTAAGCGTTTTCTTGTCTCAATCTCGATGTTTCTTGCTGTTAAAACTGTTAAAACAGAGGGGTATGATTCATATTTATGAATAAATCCCAGTCAAAAGAAATAAGGAAGACATGAGAATTGACTGAACCGACACAGATATAAACAAAACTAAACAATTTAAGTTATGCAAGATCGTAAGTGAGAAAGGATTGGTTCAGAAGGAGACACAAAGTTTTTGAATGAAATAGTGCTCCAACTCCTTTCTGAAACAACTTTACTTTAAAACAGATAAGATGAAAAGATAAATAAAGAAAAATCTTGGCGTCATTTGATTACTACTGACTACAAAAAACTGGGTATGTATAGCTTTCCTAGCGTTGAGTTTTCGATTTATGCTCTGACGTTTTTTTGCTCTGAGGAGTGGCAGACAAAAAGCTTTAATATGACTCAAAATGTTTGCTTTATTGATGATTACATCATTAAACCAAAACACTTATTGCTGAAAGTGTATGGCTTTGAAGAAGACACCATAAATTCTGGACGGTGTTAAAAGTGTACTGAATGAGATTTCTTTAATATACTGTTTTCCAAAAGAACAGAATAAATGTAATAGCTTAGAATTTTCTGATTAAACGGTTAAGAATTTTGATTCTGTGTACCACAGTGCAAGTATACCGAGACGATTTGAAAATGAAGAAATAAGATGCACTAGTATTCGTTGCCAATTCGTTAAAATCAAGTCATGTTTCACTTTTTTCAATTATTTGTTTACTACTCTTTATGGCTTATAAGGATCTTTCTCTACTTATTAAATATTCGCATAAATTACAATTAAATTAAAGTCTGATTTTGAGGTTAAAGGAGTAGACTATTAATATAAATAAGAAAGGGGAAGAGTCAAGAACAGAGCCCTGTGGTGCCCCAAGGACAACATAAAACTTGGGTTAGATCTATCCACAGATGATACTGCTACCTATCTGAAAACACACTCAAAAATAGTTCCTCTTGCGTCATAGTCCTATTAAAATAATGTTATGATTGCAATATTGATAGATCCTAGAAAATTTTCAGCAACAAAGTTTCATTAAATATTAAGATTCATTGATATTGACAATTTTAAAGACATTGATTAAGGTTAGAAAATATTCAAAATGTATCTGTATTAAAATTTTTAAAGAAATTGATTAAACTTTGACAAGGTCTAATTATATTTGAAAAAGATTCATTAAAAAGGAATCTATTTAGATCAGGCGTTATGTTTGAGGACACCTGTAGCGGGGGGGAGCAGGATCAGTAACCCCTTTACACTCACAAAGTTTAGCATTTAGATTTTCTTTATTTTCAGAGCTTTTTTAAGTAACTTTAGAGTTGCTCATTATTCTCTGGAGTACTTTTTTGAAGGAATAATTTTTAGTTCTTATAACTATAAATAAACCTGGAACGCAGGTATAGGTGAATACTGAAATTATGCATGTTCCATTGCCATGCCTATGCTAGGACCGCGGATCATATTACAGATTTTGGGGACTAAAACGTTTTAGAAGACTAAACATTCTTAAAACATGCACAAATTTACTATCGTTTGTATTTTTTTTGAGTTGTGCTAATATAACACTCTATTTTAAAGAAAATATTTTCGGACAGATTTACAATGCTTTGTCAAGTTGCTCGACTTGATTCTAACTCGGATAAGAAGCAAAATTATAAAGTATATCATAAGGTATTTCTATATCATAATAGAAAATCAAATATTTGCACATACAAAGAGAATGATTGTATAGAACTTCAATAAACCGTTTAATAGCGTTTTAATAGATAAAAATGTTTGTAAAATTTTTAAATCGTCTTTATTTCTTTGAGTTATGCTCATTATACGGACAAAATTGATGGCGTCAAGGCAGGAAGTTGTCTCTAGTCCGGAACGTTTGCATAAGTAGTAATAGCACAGCAGGAAATTTAGTTGACTGTCTGTGTCTTTTCAACATACAACTGTATCAAAACTTATGACATGATTTATTGTTGGCTCTAATTTTTAATTAATAGACTTTGACTTTGAAATTTAAACAGGTTTCTGCTTTGACGCTATCAATTCCATACTTCGTGTATCCTTCACTCAAAAACGAAAAACGTCAGTGAATTTTTTGTTAGTGAAAGCTCCTTACCATTGAATGTCTTTCTATACAAATAATTTTCCTAAAAAGTGTTTGTTTGATTTATATGCCATCTTTATTAGCATGCATTTGTAGTCTTTTCCTATTTGTATTTTTACTAATTAAAAAGTTTGGCTGTTTTTTGTACGCTTGTTTCAGTCTTATTCAGGCACGCCGGAGCCGGGGGCCTGGGGGCTTGGGGGCTAGGTGAGCTGTAGCCTCCCACTTTTTCGCTGAAGTATGATATCATGATTGCAAAAAATAACTGCAAATGACTGCAAGAAATAACTGCAAGAAGTTTTTTGAGGTCCATTTTAAGCTAATCTGAAGGATTTGGTCGCAAAAATTTTCCGCAGAGGCATCGTCTTTCCATGCTGCCCATGAGCTTCTGAAAACCTCTCGGCAGCCTTCCAGCCATATTTACCCTTAAATTCTTATAAATTTTTATAGATTAGAGGACATTTTATAAGCTGAAATTATTGTTATGAGGAGCTCAAAAGAAGCTGCAGTTCATTTTTGCAGATTTCCTTAAAATTGGCTTTTCGCAAAAAGATGCTCATGGATTCACCCAAAAACGTGAACTGCAGGAAAATTAGTTTCCGCAAACTTAATTTCCTTATACCTTCACAGTGCTGAGGAGGAGAGGGGGGATCAGAAGGGTCACTGATCCGGGGGCCCTTGGCTATAGGGACCTATAAAAAACAATTCAATTAATAAAATTTCTAAGTGATAATCCAACCTCTCCATTTCCACACATTGTCATTAGTAGAGACAATAGTGACAAAAGTCTATGAATGAAGTCAGGTAGAAGCAGTTTGAGTCTTTGACTGTCTGAGTGTTAAATACATTTTTTGAGAATTTTTCATCTTTGCGGTTGAAGAGCTTCTGAATGTAACCAACAAATGTGATTGCAACAGGGCAACAAACAGCAATATGTATGTCATACAGATTTACACTATGACATGGGCATCTATTTGCAACAGTGTTAACGAAGTAAACATTTGCCATTTTCTAAGACTGTCAAAATTTCTAAGAAATGTTCATTTTCATGCATTATGGTGTTAAGATATCAGTTATGCTCAAACTATATCAAACATCAAGCAGAAGTAATAAATAGCCACCAGACATGGCGTAGATAGGAAAATTCGTAGGAGGGTGAGAAACTTCGATTTTCCGACAAAAATCTAGCAAGCATTTATATTTTGTCATAAATTTTGACATAACATAACGACTTCGGAACTGGCATAAATAAATATTTTGATATATTCAGATATTCTTATGTTTATTTAGCTTTAAATTCTTTCCTATAAAAACAGAGCAGTTAGATAAATAAATATAGACAACTATGTTAAGTTTCCAACAAGACCAGAGGTTTTCCGATAATATAGCAGTTTAGCTCTACAGGGGTTTTTGCCCCCTCTGACCCCCCTCTATCTACACCACTGCCACCAAAGCAGTTTAGCCACCATTGCAATTTAAGCAATCATCAAGTTCAAAAATTTCAAGGGGAGCATTCCCTGTACCCCTTAGAAGCGTCTGCCTTGGGCATGTTTTGTCCTGACCCAGGGCATTTTATATTTTGTCCTGACCCGGGGCACATAAATCCTCTCCGCGGCCCTGTACCTTCATGCCATCATTTGCTCTTACTTGTTATCATAAAGTGTGTATATGATCAGATATTTCATTGTTAATGAATTTTCTATGCAGAAATAATCGGTTAAAAAAGTAAAGTTGGTCACTTTTCTCTGAACGCCCAATAAACAACTTTACTTGTCTAGGCACATCACTGCCTCCTCCGAGTCCTCCCCTCTTGTCTAGAGCCCCACACACCTCAAAATGTGCTTCGGCGTTCCTGCTATTCTGTACCTCGGGTCGCCATTGGTTTATTAGAAGCAATAATTGTAACCAATTAATGTTAAAATAAAATGTAAACATGAAGAAAAGGTTGATAAGAGAGAAGATCCCTAATTTGCTTTTCTCGATTCCCTGTGTCTGAATCACATGACTCATGTTACTACCAGCCATATTTCAAAATGGGGTCATAATGTTTGGAAAGAAAATTTCCTTTATTTGTGAAAGATCCCGACAGCAAAAATGTACTGAAACTATGTAATGGTTTTCAGAACAAGCAAAGTTTACTGTATGATATGCAACTCGAAGAAAGATTAAAACTGCGGATTTATCTCACGGAATGATCAAGATGCAGAGGGAGAGGAATGGACTGTTTCTTGGAGATGCGTCACACAAAAGTGTGAATTCAGACCAGCCTCAATCTTTCTTCAGACGAAAAATTCTTCCATTTTTGCACAAGTACTTTCCAATCACGAAATGGCTACCAGAATACAGACTGCGTCATTTGATCTCGGACTTCATAGCTGGGACAACTGTTGGCCTAATGGTAATACCACAGGCTTTGGCCTATGCATCTTTAGCTGGACTCCAGAACCAATATGGATTGTACTCGAGTTTTATGGGGTGCTTTATTTACTGCTTGTTGGGTACATCAAAAGATTTAACCATCGGGCCTACTGCCATTCTGTCCCTAATGGTCAACTTGTACGGAAATCCACAAAATCCCCCTTACACGGTGACTTTCACTTTTTATATTGGCGTTATTTTGCTGAGCATGGGGTTGCTTCGTCTTGGATTTTTGGTGAAAATGATTTCAACACCAGTTATCAGTGCATTCACATCGGCAGCTGCTATTGTGATAGCTACAAGCCAAGTAAAGGACATTTTAGGTTTACATGAAATCCCCAGAGATTTTTTCTGGAGCATTGTTGTCATGGCTAAGAAGATCACATTGGTCAAGCCATGGGATATATTGTTTGGAGTTTCGTGCATGCTGATTTTGATCTTGTTGAAGCTTCTATTGAAGTTGAATTTCATAAAAAATTCATCGACAGATGATACATCAGTTTGTAAATTAGTGATAAAGAAAATTCTTTGGTTTTTTGGAACAGCCAGAAATGCAATTGTAGTCTTTATATCAATTATGATTGGATACACACTTTGCAAAGAGAACTTTGAGGATGCTTTAACATTATCAGATGATATTGACTTTGGGCTTCCTCCCTTTGAGGTAAGTACTCACTGTTTAATTGGACTGTCATTTATTTGCTCTTAAGAGCAAATACTAAGTAGTAAAAAAGTTCACACCAATTATTGTGTCAGCTGCTGTTCTGGCAAGGAATATAACTCTTTGCTGAAGTTCTCAAGGCCTAAGTTTTTGGAATTCATACTGAAGTGAGATAGAAAGCATGAATTATCATTTTTGGTATATTTACTGTTCTCTCAAAATGCACCAAACCATAAAAATTATTAATGCAAGTCTGTAATAGTCTAATGTTGACCAAAATGGGTAGTAAGCTTTTCTATCAGAACCATCATATTGAAATGATGTATTTTATATTCTTTAGAGCTGTTTGCCATTAAGATAGAAAGGTCAAGGAAACTGTTATTTGTAAAGTTGTTTCCTTTTTGTAAAATGATATATTTTCAAAACATAAAAGCTACAAAGTTTGTAAATATATTTGAATGCTTTGTGTAAGTAAGTTTTTAAAACTGAGAAATTTATCCTTATCCCTTTGTTTAATGTTTGCAGTAAAACTTTCTTGCAGAAACCCTATTTTACAATTAAAGAGGGCAATAAAACTATATCAGCGGCAGATATGCTTGGAAAATATGGTAGTGGGTTGGTTGTTGTCCCTTTGATTGCCTTTCTGGAAAGCATTGCGATTGGCAAGGCATTCAGTAGAATCAATGGATACAAGATTATTCCAACCCAAGAACTGATTGCTCTTGGTGTAGCAAATATTATGAGCTCATTTGTTTCATCATTCCCAGTCACGGGAAGTTTTTCCAGAACAGCTGTCAATTCACAAAGTGGAGTACAGACACCTGCTGCAGGTTAGATATTTTTTATTATGTTAAAGCCATTTTTCTTTGATTGGAGAATTGATTTTTGTTGGAGGAATGAACAATAAACTGTTCATGAGCCTTCACTTTATAGTTCAATGGTGAATAAATTACAGGTGTATGTATTGAAAATTCTTTTAAGTTGCATTTTCATAATTTTTTTGAGTCATGTCTTTCTCATTGAATTTTTAAGACCAGTTCTTCATATCAGATAAAAGTAGTATTGTTATAACTCTTCACTGTTTTACAGGAATCTTCACTGGCACTGTGGTGATATTGGCAATCAAATACCTCACTCCGGCATTCCAGTACATACCCAGAGCATGCCTTGGCTCGATAATTATTTTAGCTGTCTTGCCAATGGTAGATTACAAGATTGTGAAGAAGATTTGGACTATCAAAAAGCTTGATATTTTACCATTAGCTTGTACCTTTGTCGCCTGCTTTTACTCCTTGGAAATAGGGCTACTAATTGGCATAGGAATATCACTGATTATCATTCTCTATCCACTGGTATTTCCAAGAATTGATTTGGATGAAAAGGAGATCACGGTATTAAAAGTCAACAATGGTATTGCATTTTGTGGTGCAGAGCACCTTACAGAAAGCATTGAAAACTTGGTCAAATCTCCAGAGAAACCAATTATGATTCTTTTGGATTTTTCTGGGGTCACAGAAATGGACTTTACTGTGATAAATGAGCTTGCTGCTATCTTCTTGGAAACAAAATTTGCAGGAATTGAAATTTATGTAAGCAATCTCAGGTTGAATGTACGCCAGTTGTTTTTCCAAGCTGAGCTTCAAGACTTTATTGCACGAACCTCTCTTGAAATAGACAATGAGCGTGCCTCATTGATTTGATTTAATTTACAAAGTTTGATTTTTGATATTTCTGATTTATTTACTGTTTTGGGAATACTCTGATATAATTATAGTAATAGAAGTTCATCACAAAAAGGTTTTGATATGTGAACATTTACCATAAGAATTACCATGATTTTGTAATTTTCCATTTTTAAGGTTGGTTGTTGTTTTTGTAAAAAGAATATGCCACAAATATGCCCTATTTCTAGATTTACAGACCATGAAGTTAATTTTTTGAAAAAAGCTATATTGGAAAACTGGTCTTTTTACAAGTGTTGACATACCATCAAGAACAATTTAAGAAAATAGTTAGGGAATATATTTAGGCAACACCTTTTGTGTTGACGATTCAACAGTGTTGTCAATGATAAAAGAAATAAAGTTTGTTTTCTGAAAACTTTTTGTTTGTTTTTTTCTGTCAAAAGGAAAATCATTAAAGTTATGTTAAATTATTTGTCGAAACGTAAAATTATCTCATTCTTTACAACCAAGCTATTAGTGCATTTCAGAACAATTATTTTTACCTCCAATTTGTAGCTTGTTATTATTCATTTGCAATCATTCAGTTTATAATTTGTTTTGATGTTTATACAATTATGCAAAATGTTTTTAATAAGCCTTTTTAATTAAGGTAGAAGATTTTATATAAGTTAAGATAAGAATTTAAAAATTTAAGAGTTTTAGTTTAATAGTTTTAAGAGTTACAATTTTTGTCTTTTGTAGACGGAAGTAGTTAATGCTGAAGGCATATTTCATGTCCAAAGAATGTGTTTATTGTTAAGAGTAGTACATAATGATAATAAATAATATTTTAGTCAACTCACTTAAATGCATGTAGCATGCTTATATATTTTGATAACCTGTCTAGATCTATATAGTTATTTGTTATCTCCCCTAATGGTTTGAAAAACATCTAATGATTAACTGTTGATAAATGATTGAATTTTTTTTAATGTTTTGCAGGAGCAATGAGTGAGATTGTATCAAAATTTATAAAAATTTAGTTGTTTTCATGTTTTAAATTCTATCTATGGACTTGATCACATTTGAATGATTTTTTGCAAGTTAACAAAAGTCACATATTTTTTGTCAAATATAGTTGCTTTCCAGTAGAACCAACTCTCTTTATAATAGTGCACAAATATGAGTCTTTCATGCTAAATATCATCTTTAACTCAAAAGGCACCTTTTCCTTTACTTGGATATTATCGGGGCAAACATTTTGAGACTGTTTTCTTAGCATAAATGTTGTACTATGCACTGTGATGTTCCTAAAATAAAAAAATCCGATAGTACAACTCATCATCCTTAGCAAAGAGAAAGCATGTGTCAATATCATTTTTATAATCCCCAAAGTTCAATTTGCACTCAAAAAAAGCTAATTTGATGTGACAGTCAAAATCCTTTCTCATTTGATGTTGTACAATGATGGAGAATATATTAAACCTTTCTTACTGCAAATTACACAGCCATAGAGTTTTGCAACCCAATTTTCCATACAACAGTCTTTAAACCAATGGAAGAAACTCACAAAACAAACATGATAGAATGCATTTTTGGTGGTCATTAATAACAAACTGATGCAAAAATGTACTTAATTGATATTTTTATCTTCTTTACCTTGAAGTTAAAAACTGAATTTTTGAAATGGGAGCTTCCATCATTTTCCAGTCATCTAAAGGGTGTGACACCAAAATCCAATCATTTTCTAAACCCCCCCCCCCCTCCCTCCACTCTTCAATCCTTGCTGCTTAAATCATTTCCCGGACATAAAGTTTTCAAGAATGTGCTTGGGTGTTAAACAGCTCGATAAGCTCACAGTGGCGAAAGTAAGAGCTGGGATCAAATCCATGACAGTAAATGCTCGATCCAGTCTTTTTGGATATGAGTGGATATATCAAAATGCTACGATGACCGAAATTTTCAAATCAGGAAGCTGACGTTAATGAACTAATACTTAATGAAACAAAGACTAAAAGACTGATATCCCAATTTTGATTGTTCCCAATTACACAAGCATCAAACTGAACATCTATCGCCTTAATGATTCATAGCATGCAACTTTGCAAAAGTTGAACGATGATGAGTTTTTGAATACAATCAAGAACAATCTTGTTTTTCCGAACTTTTCATATAAAATTTCAATCTCGTTGAACCGAGCTTTCTTCTCAAAGCCGCAAATAGGATGCTCAAACAGCGATAAACTGCGATTATCGAGACAAATTAATCGGGCTTTTGTCAGTATTCTATCAATGTCGCCGTTTTAACGGTCTTGCCCAATTTCCTGTTATGCCTCGTTCTACTCACATAAGTGTACATTATCAGAAAAACTTGTCAGGTCGGTCAAGCTACATTGAAAGTTGGTGCTGAATAAAGGATTAAAGGAAACTGTATTATCTTACTGAAAGATGCAAATATCACTTGAATACTGTTAAAAAGTTAATAAGTTTGATAAATTAAGATTGGTTTCCCGTTTGGTTCATGATTTGGTTCCAATCTCTGGTTTGATTAACTATATCTTTTTGTTAGTGTACCACGCGATGTATAAAAGTGTCAATACATGAAACAAGATTTATTGCAGTGAAAATAAGTAGACCACACTGGCAACCATAAAAAGTTCACCAGTTTCAAAACATGACTGTTTTCTCTATATACAAAATGTAGAACACGACTAGTTAACTTCATTTATTAATTTCGACTACTATAAAGTACATTATCTTGTGTCCTTTTAACCAAAGTTTTTCGATAAATTTTTTGTTTGAAACTTCAAATTTGATGCTCATTTGTTCAGTAGAATATGTCTCTCTAATGCGTTTAGGCAAAGAGTTGTAGCTCTTACACCCTCCTCGAAATAATTTGAGCCGTTCGTTTTTTCCTGTCTATGAACTTTTTGAAGTCCAGATTTTAGACATAATTTAAACGAATACTTCCTAGACTAAAAGGGCAAATATTCGTAGGACAACGGTATACATATGTAAGATTATAAACAGTCTCATCAATATATTGTCTTCTCATTACAGAACTCTCCAAAATTCCAAAATGGCTCACAAGAAATTTAACTGTTTTCTGGTAATAACAGGTTGGTACTTTAATATGCTCTTTCATTTACCTGCTCAACCTCAACCTTCCTTTTTATTTTTATCATCGATGGTTACAAATATAACAGATTTTGGTCGGAATCATTCTTGCCTTAGCTGTTCTCTCTTCTTTTTAATTTTTTATCCTTATTGTTAAAACAATTTTGTTCTGAGTTTCAAGGGCGTGCGATTTTCTTCTGGACTGGATACGCATCTCTTATAGACGGCTTGTGGAGAGTTTCAGCACCACATATTACACAATTATAATTCCAAACGGTTCTCTGTTTGATAAAGTGGCGATATTCAGAGTGTTCCCACTTGACAGCTTGGTTCTGTGCTATTTTGGGAACGGTTCTGCTCTTCGACTACGCTGAACAGTGTAGCCATTTGATTCCGTTGCCGAGTCGTATTTGACTCCTGCAATAGGAAAAGTCAAGAACAGAACTGTTCGGCTACAACTGGTAATGAGGCAGATTTTTGCACTTGAAAGAGGCTTTCTGTAGCTATTGGACTACCGGTACTGATCGTTAATGACCAATCCAGCTACTGCGCATGCTTGGCATAACTGTTCCATTCTTGTTTCGGTCCAATATAAACCACTCCTATTTTGGTCCCGTTCTCTCCTCTTCGAAGTAAACGAGAGGGTCTGTGTCGAGGCCCTATAAAGAACGGAGCCTATTCAGTTATCTTTACTCGTTTGTAAACGGAGTCTAAATCAATGAACCGTGTCCAGTATTTTTCACGCGTAAAACTTGGCGCCTTGGGACTTGCACCTACTGCATTGTCGCCATTTATACTAAATAGCAAGGGAATCTTGCATTTGTTTTAAAGCTCAACTCTGAGCTCTCTTTAGAAATCCATTGGCGCCACTTTTTACAAAACTATCAATTTTATTCAAAGCAAGAACCCCGTTTGAAATAGGCTTGCTAGCACCTTAAACTCTAATGCAGTTCTTATGTAGTGTAGACCGAACTTTAAAACAAGAATTTTTCGGTGATAAAGCCAAGATTTTATAGCATTAAACAAAAACAAACATGCGAACGATAGACATTTATACTTCGAACGATAGACAAGAAGATAATTTTTACAACTGCTTGATGCCAACTACACCCAACATGTCTCCAATCCCTGATCAAGCCTTGGATATGACACCCTGGCTCCTCCGTCCCTACGCGAATGTAGCGAAGGCCTTTGCTAATTAATACATACCTTTGGTCAAGCTAAAAAAGAAATGTTAAAGTAAAGAATAAGTAGTGATTTACCAATCATTGAAAATATTCACTCTCTATTTCATTTATCATACAACGAAGACTTGAAGATGAATAAATATGACATTTACAACCAAGCGGCAATTTTAAGTAACTAAATCATACTTGCAATCAACTTTTAATGATTGCTTGGGTTATCTGAAGAAGGCTAAGTTTATTTTGATCTGAAAAGTGTGAAACAACTCGAAAGCAAGCCTCAATGTGCCCAAGACAGCATAAAGCTTTTGAACAGTCTTCTGCAAACAACAGCTTTTCCCATTGTGTCTAAATGTTTTACTCTATTCCTCTGATTTTTTACACAAACACGTTTCTATGTTTCTATGGAAGTCTTTTGGAAATGCTTTTCTTTGTAATTGATACGGGAACAAATTTTATGCCAAGATTTCGATGTTTTAGAGAATGTATAAAAGGATTGCTAACTGTTGTTCTGTTTGTGGATAAGTAAACATTTTACGCCTTAAATGATCAGTTTTAGGCCCAATTTCTTGGCATCAGTTTATGTCAACCAATACCATTATTATTGCTGACATTAATAAAAATCATTAATTCTGAGATATCGAAATGATACTTAGCTATCTACTCTAATTTGGTCTCAATCTAAGTAGTGATAGCACTGTTCTTTGCAAGCATCAATGTCTTGATTCTTCTCTGCATGAGTTAAAGCTAATTAGTTTGGAGGCTTATTTTCGGAAGAAATCTAAACACTCAAAAACAAAATACGTGTTGTTACAATAATAAAACTAAAATTACAAAGAATGTTTTATGAATAAATTTGCCCCAACGTCTTTTTGTTCAATGCTAAAGCTATGATGTCTATTTTTACAATTTTATTTTAGTTGTCTTTCGTGCAATTGTTTAAGTTTCCAAACTTTGCAAGGTCGGCCTAAGGTTGAAAGTGAACTCAGGGAAAAATGACACACATTGTGAGCTAGCTGGAATCACAATAACAGTCAAATTCGATTTAAGAGAAAAATGAACAATTTGGGGAACCACAATGATAAGAAAAAGATCTATAAATAAAACTGTTATTCTCTTTGGAGAATATGGATTTTCAAGATAAACCAGCAATCTTTTCTATTCAGGTAGTCGAAACTGATATTTTAAATGCTGCGTTTTGTATTGAAGTTGACCGCTTTGGCTTTTCCTTCGAATGTTATGAAGCTCTGACGTTTGGTATAAATTGTAATATGCACGTCTTCAGGCACGTAAATAATAGGGGGGGGCGTGGGGGGCGTAACGCCCCCCCAAAGTTTGGAAAATCCAGTTACAGTTGGAAAACGTAACGGTTGACTTGGAATTTTTTTCTTAAGACCAAACTTGTGAATTTTTTATTTTAAGAAGTTTTTTTATTTTAAATATAAAAATTCTAAACATTAAAATTCACAGGCTGAAGCTGACCCATCCAATCGTTTTCTATTGTGAATCCCGTCTCCACTGGATCCAAATTGCACACTTGCCCCGTTTTCTTTTTCTTTCTTTCTGACGGGAGTTGAATCAAATTACGAACAGGCAAGGTGAACTTACGGATAAGAAACTTGAAACTTACAGTTTGGAATAATAATACCCGCATTGATCAGAAAATATTAGAGTGGGAATTTTTTTAGAAACTACGAGTAGTTAATTCAATAAAAGATTAAGAATCTTTCAGTACTAAAAATTCTCAACGCTTCTTATAAAAAACGAGTTTATGCTAAACTCCCCTGTTATCTGTTAATGTCCTTGAATCCTTATCATAAATTCCTATGACAAAACTGCTGTGGAGCAAGAACACATTGCAAAAACTGCAGTAGAAGTATTTGATCAAAGAAGAGTATTTCATCTTTCGAATCAGGCATATGCACAAGTTTGTTCTCAAATCATCATTTCAATTGTAAAGAATGAAAAGGCATTTGGCCCTCTGAAAAGTTTAAAGGTAGTTTTCTTCGATCAAGAACGAAAATAAAAGGCCCAAATTCTTGGTGCTTCTATATCGTGAAAAAATGTATTTTAGATAAAATTGATCAATTGATCTGAAAGAATACTACTAATCATTAAGTATATCTAATACTGGTTTTGCTTAAATGTTGCTTTACTTCTTACAGTATGTTTAATGTTTGTTTCATGTTAATCAAAATTTAGAGATTTAGGCTTTTATGCTTTAGGCTAATTATTGAGTAAAGATTTGGTAATTATAAAGAAAATAGAACTATGGTGCTCGGGCTATTTACAAATATCAATTTGGTAGGTACAACAGATATACTGGTCGAATGAAAAATATATCACTTGAAGTTGGAATTTTCATACTTCCACGCCCCCCCAAAATTAGCAACTTGTTTTCGTCCCTGCACGTCTTTATGGGTTAAAAATCTTATCAGTACAAAATTTAACATAATCTATCTAATCTCGGAGGCTTTCATTAACTTCACAGGTAACTGCATAAAACTTCCCATAACTGCAAGTCTTAATCAGTATAGCTACCATAGAGTGAGGAAAAAATTAGGTGAACGTCATACATTGATCTGACTTTTTCGTATCTGTTTCTTTTGTGATGGATTAATTGTTCTTTTGAGCAACCTAGCAGTGCCTTTCCAGCTAGATCCCAGACTTTTGAGTGATTTTTGCAAAGCGTTGTTTCGTCTAAATGGGAAATCGTTACCCCACATGGAGATTTATCGATTCATTCCAAATCACTATAAGCCGTTATAACTAGCAGAATTGTAATGTCGGCTGCGTGTTTTGTTCCCCGATTCTTTGCGCCGCTACGGCAGTACACGCAATCCGCTCGTAGAGCTGCAACAAACTTCGTCCACCAGCTGTAGCCACGCAAACAAACAGAAACCTAAATCAAATTAGGCAATTTTCACTACAACGAAGTCTCATACTTAAAAGAGCCTCATTGCCATACGGATTTGTTATTGAGGCAAAATTAACAGGGTTAATAGGTGATTAAATTGATTATGTAAAAAGCTTTGTAAAATTATCGATGTAAATGATGGAGACAATGAGGAATTAATGCTGACACTTTAACTGATCTTCACAGAAGTTAAGTGGATTGTCTGTGCTAGCAAGAAAGCTGCAGGCAGTAGCTTTGCCAATGAGGTGACGTAGTGATTGCCAGACTCGTGGAGAAGATTGTAAGAACCGAGGAACCTGGCTCCGTCGGGCATTTGAAAGTTAGCAAGACGAGATAGTTTTCCTGTCTTTTTGCATTTTGATTCTATTTTTCAGATCATGCTTTATTGTGTAGTGGTTGGCGGCTTTTCCTTTTGATGGTCTTGCATTCGTTATCTTTGTATGTCTTTATCTTCTAGATAACGTATCCTTGTCATTTTAAACGAAGAAGGTCTATTATTACGTAGAGACGTAGAACGAAGAACGACAAAGCAGAATCCTCTGTTACGCAATCATTTTCTAGGTTTTCTAGGCCTAAATTCTTAAACAGAGATTAGCGCGTTCAAGGTTCTGACAAGGAAGAAAATTGCAAGGAAGAAAAGAAAAATGTTGAATGCCTTTTGAGCATGGTTTTATCTGTTTCAACAGCATAGCCAAAAGGGGTGTTTTTAGGACACTTTAACGGGATCTCGAGACGAGGAATGTGAAGCACATGAAAGATAAGTAGAGGGACTAGAACACCTTCAATATGCTAAGTAAATAGGACGGAAACAGTTCAGTGACTTTGGGACAGATCCCGCACTCACCACCACCAATCCTTCAGCCCACTTTCATGGTTTGTAAGGCATTGGTTATAAGTAATGCTGGTCCGACCATTCATTAGTCCACGAATTATCTATAGATGCAAGTATTCTAGCCTCACTAGTATCGTCCGTAAGTGTGCAGAACTGATAACAATGCGAACAATGGCCAGTGGTTTTGATAATGTTTCCAGACGTCTGGTGCTGGCGCCTTCACAAATTGCGATTCGCCTCGTTCGCATAAATACCCTGTACGTAGATTTCAGGATAAAGCTCGGTTTGCCGTTAGTTGCTACATTGCATTGTTGGAGCTTCACGTCACCACAGAGACAATTATTGCAACGTTACATTAACGTAAGTATTTTATTTTTCTCTTTTTACTTGATAGTATTGCTTCACGCACGTACTGATGATCAGAACACACCCTGCTTTTTAGTAATTATAAAGCATTTCAGTTTCCATTTTTTGATCGTTCTTATAGACTGTGGTTTGGCTCTAATTTCTAAATACTTAGCCACTTTTGCGATCGATATCTATCGTTTTCTTTTAACAAGAAACTTTGCATAATTTTTGAATTGCATTGACTCATGCTCTACTTCCTTTCGTGACTAAAATCCATTCTTCCGTATTGCTTATATAACAGACCGTTTGATATATATTTTCCGAAAAGCCAAAACAATGTCTAGCTTGATGAATCTTCATAAGTCGTCATGAGCAGTTGCTGCACGACCATGAAAAAATTTCCAATGTTCCAAATTTGCAGTTTCAAAAGAAGTCTTGTTTCAGAAAGGTTATTAAGGAATGTAGCTGGGTTTAGCAAAAAACCCAAATAGGAACTTAACTCAATAAAAGTTGAATTTGATTCAGAATTATATGTTAGCCAATGTGAATTATCTTACTTTGCTTTAGAGACTTTAAAGCATTGTTTAACATGTCTATAAAACGGATGAAATTAAGTAAGTCGTCGATGTTTAAAAAAGCTCTGCAAGATCATTACAACTAGATATAACTTTGAATAAGAAGAAAAAATGAAAAAATTGGAAAAAGATTAGCCATAGCATATCAACTTTATAATGAAAATATTTTCCAAACAACAGTAAAATTGTTTTTGATCCATCGTGATAAATAAAGTCGCCTTATCTTTTCCAAGAATAAAAACCCACAGCGATATCTCAACGGTTGGCAACTGTAAGAACGAATAGATTTCAAAGTCTGCAGATGTAAAATGATTGAAAACAAGCTTTAATTTAATGCTTGCATGTTAAAATACGAGGGGCTTCTAACATAGATTGTTAACAAAAGGAAAAGTATAACTCTAAAGAGGTTTATCATCAAGGTTTGTAATTTATGATCACTAATTGTATTAGTTAACCGACTTAAACTTGTAGTGACAAAATTTTGAAGTTCTTGTTATAAGACTCTCTAAAAGTTATTTTACTATTTAAAGTTGAAATATCTATAGCTCGTGGGGATTATTGGTGGCAATTCTAATCAAATCTAACGAGGAAAATACCAATTGCAAAATGCTAGGCCTAATGAAACTGTATCTCATTGAAATCAAAACATACCAGATCTCGAAGAAATAATTTAACCAAATTACTTTTGGTTATGGATACACAAGAGGACTAAGACCTTTCAAACATATATATGCAGGTCGTCTTTATTGTTTGCAACTGGCGCTAAAATTATTCTCGATCACCTGCAAAAATTAACACAAAAAGAGCATTATGTCTATGTTTATAAAGTTTCAAATCTCCTAGAGAGACCACAGCTACCGAACTCGTTCAAAACTGCATTCATCATTCTAGTTTCTAATAGGAGCGTTTGAAGTTTTTAGTTTATGCTCTAATTCTGTATATCTCAAAGTCAATTGAAAATATCGAGCAAATATATATCCATCAATACTCGAATCATGATTTGATGAATGAGTAGTTGATTGAAATTAAGCGCAATAATAGCTGAAATCAAATCAAACATGACTAAGAAGAACTGTTAGCTACTTAATTAACTAACATTTACCTTCTCTGTAAATACGAAACTAGATCTAAATGCATTTCATTTCTAGATACATCTCCTTAAAAAACTGTCGAATTATCAATGCTACTTTATAATACAATGAGAATGTATAAGCTAAACACCTGTAGCCTAATAAAACGGCAAATGTAAATAACGACATAGGCTTTGTTCATCGGAAGCATTATCTGTCGTTTTCTTTCTTCAAACCATGATCACTATTTTGGACGGGACCAAAAATATCCGCTAGAGATGTACATTCGTTTGTGAATCTAGCTATTTAACGGTTTGTGAATCTAACTGTGGGTTAATCGCAACAGTAATGCCTATAACACTAATCCACTGTTGATATGTTGCCTTTGCCGGCCAGTGATAATTCCCCCCAAACAGAAATATTTTCCACACTACCCTACACTATTCCCTTTAACAATTGTGGCGAAGACTTTGTTAAAAGAAGACATAAAGATGTATCTGGTAAGCTTAATACCGACTTGAGTCTCAAACGCATAACAAGTTTCTTTCATATTTGTATGCCTATCGATGCTGTGCAGGAAATTCTTGCGGCATCTCTCGGGAATGCGTAAAGTGTCTTGATAATTCTATTTCGGCAATTTGCAATCACGCTAGGGTTAAGTGTTTTCAGGAAAATTAGTCCTCTTTCATGCTTTGTTCGCTAGGAAATCAGATTAAAGAGTTGCGGATTCGTAAGTTGCGTAAACAAATACAGTTCCTTTGCAATAACACACCCAATTCCTTTCTACATGCCTTATTGAAAGGCTTTGCTTATGAATCACTGCTGATAGTCTATAAAAGGGGTATTAACTCAATGCATCAATTAATATAATCATGTTGGTGTCCCAAGAAAAAACTTAGCTGCAAATCTGTACATTATTCTAAACGAGAAATACATTCCTCTCACGCTTTTTCACTTGCAATGAAGTCATATTATACTGGTTTAAAACCAAGTTACAGGATTGGAAAAACGTCTAGATGAGGCTCGACAAGATGCATTACTGGATCCGTTGCTATTTATCATAGAAAACAATAGAATCAAAGAGAACTTTCTGTTTGCAGTTGTAAAAGATGCTGCAGAAGGAAAACGAATAAATTTTTATGTCAAGATATTTAAAGATTTGAAAGCGTAGCTTCTATCTTTTATTATTACTCTTTACTTTAAGATTTGATCATTGTGGATAAATCAAACTATAGCTGCTTAAAGACTTATGCTTACTGTAAATGTTTAAAAGCAAGTAAGGATCAAATTTTTACAGAAGATTTTTTTCTTGTAGCTTGTAAGCTTGCACTCGCATTGCTGGTGCTGAAAATGCCACGGCCGAAGAAAAGCTCCTACAACAACGAGAAACCGCCATTGTCGTACGTCGCTCTTTGTGCAATGGCTATCCGTAGCTCCTCCACAGGAATGATGTCTTTGAATGATATCTATCGTTTCATAATCAATACTTTTCCATACTACAAGAGTACGGTTTCCAAGTGGAGAAACTCTCTCAGACATAATCTTTCGTTTAACGATTGCTTTGTCAAGATTATCCAAGGTGGCGAAAACGGTCATAAGCGAAGCTTGTGGAGTCTGCATCCAAACTGCGGTGATATGTTTGACGATGGTAGCCTCCTTCGCAGGAAACGGAGATTCGTTGCAAGAAAGAGACACAAGGATGAGACACAACGACATTTGGTAAAATTTGGAACGCAAACGGCAAACGCGACCCTTTTACCCACCATGCAGCAAAGTCAGGAAAATCAAACCAACAAGTCACGTATCTGCGAGATTATAACAAATAAACTTTCTCACAACCGCTTCATATCAAAAACAATAATACAAGGCGCAAAGAATGATACTGCTACACACTACGGTGAAATAGGCTCGAATCCGACCAACTTCTCAATTGACAATATACTTAAAGGTACGGTTTCCAAAGAGAAAAGGCAGTTGTACCAAGGTGAAAAGCATGGAGTGCCCAGGCTTTTGAGAATATCTGGAAGCCGACATCCTGATGAGCTGTTTTGCGCTGTGTCTGAATACAGAGAACATTATGAGCATCAAAGAAGAAGAAAGCTTTACACGCATCAAACTTGTTCCTGCAAAAGCTTTATTGGGTTTGAGGCAAAAGAGCATCTGTTCGATGCAACCCTGTACAAATATTGCCATCCAAATGTATCCGCATTTGAGGAAGAGACCCCCTTGCCCGGCATAGAGCCCCACAGAGCGTCTCTCACTCTCCATTACAAAGCTTGTTGCTCGTAGCTATATTGTGGCTTGGTATTACGTTTTTAACCACTGTGAAGATAGTATGGGGAAAAGAAAAAAATATGAGTTCACGACTGATAACAGAAAACTTGGTTTTCAGTTCTTATTTTAGATGGTTTCCAGTTAAATGAATTCCAAAGATAGCATTTAAAATCTTGTCTTTATCTTGTTAGCTTAATGTAAAGTGGTTTTATGATCCTATTGATGTTTAAAGGGATTTGATCTAAACTGTAACATTGTCATTATGGAATTTAATTACGGGCTACCAAGATCTGTGATTTGTAACACTTTGAGCAAGAAGGGTATGTGGTATTAAGTATAACTGTAAATGGGGTGGTTTAGCCAAACTGTATCACGATATATTATCCATAGTCAATTAAATGTGTACATAAAACAGCTCTAGTAGTACTATCTTGTGTCCAGAGTGAATCATGAGTTTCATTTTCTCTCCAAGTACTGACAGCTACCACTTTAATCAGCAGCTATACAATACTTTTCTTACTTACGCTAGCCATAGACCTGCTGACCTTGACAATGCTGTTTTCGTGAATCTAATGAGATTGGTTCTTCTTTGAAAATTGCTAGTTGTATCCTGAGGAGATGGAATTGGAAGAACCGTTAATATCTTTCAAAAGTTTTAGCAATAATAAGTCTCAGTAGCAATGCAACTTCAATAAAGACTGTCTTTCAATGGGTGTTGGTGATTTTGGGGCACTAAGAAAGCAGTTGCTTCACCAGTTTAAAAAATTGCTGTGTCATTCACGGTAATACAATTTCTCCCGGTTTTCCAGATAAAGTAGAGACACCGCAGTTTTTTCTTTGAATTTACCATTTTCTCCCCATTTAAACCCTATACGAGTCTATCATATTCTGCTACCTTATATTTCCATTCCGTACCCTTTTCTGTCTTTGCCTTTATTTCTGCTTAAGGCAACCTAGAACTGTCTCCGTCCATTACATTTATGTCTAAATCAATAACAACAATAGTAGTGTATGATGCTGAAATGTAAAGTATTTTACCATGTGATTATTTGCCGATTTTTGTGGAATTGCTTTCTGACTGCTAGAAATGGCATCATGTTCAAGGACCACGCACTTCATATCATCATGTTTTTGGCAGATCACATTTATTTTATTTTGGATGTACCTTACTGCACCGACTAAAGACATGCGTTCGTAACTTCACATAGTTCTAAACACGAAACATATTTCTAAACATTTTCTCCCTCAGTAATAACTATTTCATCACTTCCCACGAACTGCAAGTTTTTGAAGCATTTATATAAATACTGGAAGTGGCAAGATTCCAAGAGTGCTAAAAAATATTAAGAAGGGGATTTTCAAACCCGCTCACTGGTTGAATCATTGCCCATTCACTTGCCTATAACTGAAGGACATTTGAATTGCTGAAAGACAAGGGATGGCCAGAAAATAACAAAGCTATTTAAAGTTTGCAACAGAAATGTTTAGAACATGAAAAAAAATTTCTATGTAATCGCTTGAAATAATACAACTTCAAAGGAATCATTGGGACAGAGATATAAGAACTGCAGGTTTTAAGTGACGACCATGTTATGGAGAACATATAGTATTACTGATGATAGTTACAACTTGTTTTATCTGATCGCCAGATCTCATTTCGCATCCAAAGCTAAAACTAACTAATAGCAACGAATAACGCCCAAAGAAATGAGAAATTTACAATCAGAAAGTGATATCAGATGACGTTTTTCTATCATCTCCGTTGCTGAATGTCCTTGGTGCTTTCTGTTATTGTTTTGCTTGATCAACTTGGCTTTAAAAATGATTGACAGCAAGTAAACAACCTTGGAATTCCGACGATGTTTAGAACACACCAAAAATTCTCGTGCTTCTTAACTCTATGGTACCCCCACTGCCTTTTGTTCAAGTCTTAAGTCTGAAATTTAAATGCGCATAGCTTCTTGTTCCAGGCCATTCGCACTGTCTTCCTCCTTAAACAAATTGTGGTCACTTAATCAAGCCCAATCTAATAATTTATCATGATTAGTATAGCCATTTTATTTCTGGGTATACTATCAGTGGATCAGTGACATGAACAGCAGTGAAAAGACCCAATATTCATTAGATCTAATTAAAAACACCAAATCTCGTTATTATTCATACGACACTTCCGTAAACATGTTTCTTAGAAATCTGCAAAATGTATATCATATGAATGAACTGTACCAGTTCCATCTGATGCTATCCTGGTAGAAAACAAACTCTCTGCTTTTATACTGTTAATGTCTGCAGTGTTTATTAAAGCTTCATTCTATCACGAGACAACAAAACAAGGGTGCTTTACTTAAAAACTAGAAACTTCGGCATAAAGTCCCTGGCAATAAAGATACATTGACACTGTGCTAACAAAATAATGGAATTTGGGCACTTTATGCACTGTGATGTGTCAAATATCTTACAACCTTCCCGTTAAAACTCCCTTCTAGCTGCGTTTAAGATCTAATTTATCCATTTAAGAAGCTCTCCCACACAAGCTGCAATTCTCATCATTAAAACTTTTTGCTCCTCCGTACTTTCCCGCAATGTCTGAAATTGCTCCTCCGCGCTTACAAGTTGCAAGTGAATGTAATATGAATATTGGCTTCCAACTTTTCAAAATTTGATCAAACATTCTTCCCTTAAATAGCAAATAATTTATTGACCATTCAGGCAAGATAGCAGGAAAATTAATCGCACGAAATAATAATTGAACATAAAAGAAAAGGAAAACAAAACAAACTAGAAATATGTAGCCTGCACGCAGATTCTACAGTTCCAGTTCCAGTTATTCTACAATTCCAGTAAGAGACTTTTGAGTCTGCAACAAGGGTAGAAGAATACTAGCGATGGCAAGATATAAGAATGGCCAAGTTGCCAGTCTTAGGTTCTTTGGTTCATCAAAAAAATTTCTTAGGCCAAATACCATGGAGAGCAGTGGCGGCGCCAAGGGGTGGTATGGGGGGTAATTACCTCCCCACTTTTATCGTGGGGAGGTAATTACTCCCCCTCCCCACGTCTAAAAACGGATTAAAAAACGCTAGGTAGGGGTAGATCATAATTCCTAGGGAAATTTGACCTGATATAAAGCACTGAAACGAGGCCAATAGGGCGTGGTCTCACAGGTAACACCCATTACCCTCCCACTCTGTAGCAGCTGACGCCGCAACTGATGGAGAGTATCGTCCAGTATACAAAATAAAATGAAAGGAAGCTGCAACTTAAAGTTAAAAACAAATTTATAATGTGAGCAAAATAAAAACGACAATTTATAATCTGTATGGTGGGATATCAGTTTTTGGCGTACAAGCCATTGATTAGCACTGTGATTGCACAAAACTCCAGTTGCTGGCGATAAGATGGCCATTATAATCACCAGTATATTCACTCAACCTTTTCAACAGGATTGATCACCGCAAGAAGCTTCTACTTAATAGCTTGTGTCACCCAAACAAGCCAATTGACAGCAGTTGGAGTATTGTTCTGGCTACTTGTGGAAGATCTATTCAAAAGCAAGTTTATGTCCATAAATGTGTCACAATATTTTTCCAGTAGAATTGCTTTGAGTCTTATGGAAACATGTAGATATCAGTCTAACGAGATTAGGTAATTACGAACATTTACTGGCCAGGAATATGTCACCTAGCAACGTAGAATTGCCCCAGGATGACAACAGATAGAACTTTATAAATACTTTTCAAATACAAAGGTTTGCTATAGGAAGAGAAGTTTCAGAACAGTTAGACGCTAAATAATATATCAATGTGTCTCAAATAAAAAAATAGAATGCGAAAAGGCAAGCCAACTAATGGTAATAACATCAATAGTTGTGAAGATTCCACTTCTACGCAACAAAACGTTGGTCTTCTTATATACAACGTTACCTACCAAGACTAGCTTTAAAAGCAGTGTTTCTGGCGATAGAAACAGCCATTTATGTGTATATTGGGCCAAATCGGGCACATTTTGGTTCTCTAAAGTATTGGATATACCAATGATAGATTCCCTGGATGATAAAGCTGGGTCTGTGAACTATTGCTTTGTGGGGGTTGTGGACTAAAAATCTAGCTGATTAAAAATTATTGCCTGAAATTTTTTAGCTGCTGTCACAAACCTCTTATCAATTTAACTCTGTATGATAATAACGGACTTTCCTAATAGTCTTGTCAAATCTCTATATCGGGACGGTCAAAGGATATAGTTACTGCCTGAGGCATGGTTGCCGCCGGAGGAGCAGGAAATTTTCGAATTTTGATGCTTCTAGTTCCCTGGAAAATGCACTCTTTTAAGCAAATTTCACTAAAGCAATCCTCCTAATCCTATGAAAATAATTGCTTTTTTGCAAAAATTTTTAAAACAGATAAAAACAACAATTTTGCCGTGGTCTTGAAAAATACCAGGTTGTCAGTTACTTCTAAATTTAGATCCCTCTCTCCATCTTAGTATGCTTTTGAATGTTAAGTTTGTTTACCTTCATTCATATCAAGGAAAATCATATTTTACCAACGGAGAAACTGCCTTTGCTTGATCCTTTATTGATTTTATGACATGAAGGTCTCTAAAATACCTAAAGCGTTTCTTCCACCGAGCGGATTTTACCTGATATTTCCTATTGAGATACTATTGGGAGGGGGGGGGGTGTGACAGCCCCACACACCCCCCTGGTCGCAACGCCCCTGAAAGGAATATACAGTTATAAACAGTTATAACAACGTCCTTCTGTCTATAAATGTTTACAAAACCTTACAGACTATAATTTCAACTTCAGCAAAAATCAATCTATTCGCAACCATAACACATGCTACCACCGGACTTGCAATTACCACAAATACGCACCAATTGGGATAAAAATTGGGATTTTTGTTTCATGAAACCTACAAAAGGAACAATTCATCGATTTCCACCAGATAGGAACCCAAAATTTATGCTTTTAAAAGACTTTATGATAAATTTGATTAAACTTTTAATATTATTTCTATTTCACAGATTATTGTAACGTTTGATAGCTACTTTGAACTAAAATTATGTCTTTATTTTCAATTTATGTAGTATTACCCATTTAATTTTAACAAGACCACTCTGACAAATAGCTCACTGTTGAGGTCTTCCTTTAGAAACACGGTTCTGTATGCTTGCTTTATTAGAAACATGGTTCTGTATGCTCCAGGTTAGCCACTGGTAAGTTGCCAAATTATTTTGAGGCTCACAGTTCTATTATTAAGTAGAATGAATATGAATATAAAGGGAATTTCTAAAAAAATTATTTTTAAACAGACCATACAGACTTAGAATCTTCAGGTCAGAGAATATAGGTGAAGGTATGTAAATAATATTGCAATTGCAGCCCGTTTTTCTAGAAATTCTCTATAAAAATCTCGTAAGTGACGCTCTAGACCAAAATTCCATATTGCAACAAAGGTTAACCCAGTGTTTTATTCAGGCAGACGAAAGAGCGACTAGGTGAGAAGTTTCTCATGTACCTCTATTTACTCACATATCTTGTACAGTTAAGCCCTGTCCACACTACACAAACTAACCTAGGTTCGCCCCAGGTTAAATTTAACCTAGGGCGAACCCTGCTTTGTCCACACTTGATTTTCATGTTTTGTGATGTGGACACAAAGTCGGGGCGAACCCAGATTAGCTGATGCTACGCATGCGTAGTTAAATTACAACAACAACAAAACAACGGCAACAAAACAAATTTTCCACAAACGCGATCAAGATGGAAGTTGCCGAAGTCGCAGTTTATTGTATTTTGTAGTTTCGCTCGTAGCCACTTTCTTTTACTAGGCGCTGTGCCATCTTTTCGTAAACATGTCTTTTCCTTGTACGGTTATTCAACTGTTCTTGAATCTTTTCGTCTCCCCAGATATTTATTAAGCTGAGAACTTCTTCGCGGCTCCATGTTGATCCACGATATTTTTTGCAAGTTTCCATATCTTCATATATTCTATTTTATTCATTTGAACCTTGCCTGGTGTTTGCATGTAACGTATTTTTATTTTTCGGCGCGCAAAATGAAAACACATTAAAATATGCGCATGCGTTAAAAAAACTAACCCAGGGTCGCCCAGGTTTTGTGTCCACACTAGAAATTCAGGATACTAACCTCTGGAGATGGGTTTAGAACACTAACCTCTGGTGATGGGTTCAGAACACTAACCTCTGGAGATGGGTTCAGAACACTAACCTCTGGAGATGGGTTCAGAACACTAACCTCTGGAGATGGGTTTAATTAACCCAGGGCGAACCCAGGCTAGTTGTGTCCATACTGCAAAATCTAACCTGGGTTAGCTACAACCTTGGGCGAACCTGGGTTAGTTTGTGTAGTGTGGACAGGGCTTTAGAAACTTGAGCATGTCTAGAATACCTTAGTTCTGAGTAATCCACCGGATTATCTTGAAATGAGTTTGAAAGGTAGCTTTTTCTTATTTATTCCCTCCCTGGATAAATCAAATGGATATGGCACATAAGAATCTGCACCATGCTCTCTGCCAAGTGGCCAAATGAGTCCACTAAAATTTGTTGAACCCATTTTAGACCTATTCGAGCACTAAAAAAATTTGGTTGAACCCATAGTTTTGACTCAAGCCATAAGTGATCCACTGAACAATGTTGCATTATTTTTGCTGAAATCTAGTTTGGTAGCATCTTTCACGAAAACACGAGGTAGTATGGTATTCAGTGAAATGCTCAGTAAGCCTAGGATAAGGATTCAAAAAGCCATTATAAAGCCAAAAACAAACTGGTAAACATATTCTAACTTCTCTGTTGTTGTATATTTTAGCTGTCATTCTCAGGTTTAGGCCATTGTTCTATGCGGACACTTGTACGTTAAGGCATGACTACTATCACCCGCTTACGAAGTTTATCTCTTTCCTTTTCAAAACATTGTAAGTGCGCCACCAATACAGAGACAATTGTATAACATGTAGACAAGACACTTTTTTGTTTGATGACGACAATCATAAAGAAATTAAACCAAATCTGAGACAGTATGTATTTCTACTAAATGCGCAAATTGGCTTAATAAAGACAGGAATACAGCCCATTAACAATGGATTTCCCACCTAGCGGTTCAGAAAACCTGTTAAAACCTCAGAAAGCATAACTAAATGATGCAAAGCTAATATTCTTTGCAAAAGGGTTTAT